CCATTTACTAAGTAGGTTATGTGTTGCTTTCCTCTGCTCCACTTGCCTTCAATCTGTCCTGTGAGTATCAAAATTTTCAAGCCTTCTTTCCACATTATCTGCCCTAGAAATTTCAACTGTCTCTTCCTGATATAAATGTCCTTTCTGTTTCCCTTTTCTCTAAAACTTTGTCGTTGCTCACATATTCGGTCCATGGTATTCTCAGCATCCTTCTGTAGAATCACATTTCCTTTGCTTCATGTCTCTTCTTCATCTATGATAAGATTGTCAAACATTCACTGCCATATAGGAGGACTGATATTACATAACAGTTCAGTACTCTTTTTCGTATTTCTAACGAAATTTTCCTTTTTTTAATACTTTGCATAGGTTTTGGAAGCTATCTCAATATGCCTTCGGAGTTTGATGTTGCACTTTCTGACCTCTGTTAAAATACTTTCCAAATATTTAAAATGTTGTACTTGCTTGATTTTGATATTTTCAATTTGTAATTTACGTGTTGGGTTTTTACTAACAACCATGCATTCTGTTTTCTTGTAATTGATGTTTAGTCCTTTCTTCTCACCTTCCTTCACTACCTTCTGTTGGAGTTCTTGTAATTTCCTTTCTGTGTCTCTTATCAGCACTGTGTCATCTTAATATCTTAAGACTGTTTATATTGTGGCTGCCATTAATAAATTGTGGTGGGACTTCTAATTCTCTCGGAATCGCCTTCCTGAATAGGTTGAATATGTTCGGTGAGAAGACACACCCTTGTCTTATACCCTTTTCTTTTTGTATATTTACTCAATTCATTTTCTATACGCATGCAGGCGGTTTGTTCTCAGTATAGATTCTGGATTATTCTAATAACCTTCCCAAATACGTCAAGGTTACTTAGCAGTTTTTTGTGATGTACTTTATTAAAGGCTTTTGCATAATGTATAAAACATATGTATACATGCCTTTGCATCTGCATTGATCTTTCTTATATCATTTTGAGCATAAATATCACATTCTTTGTTCCAGTCTTTTTAATGAACCCGCACTGTTCTTGTCCTTTTTTCCGGTTAGATTATGCTGAGCACTTAATTCATCAGAATTCGAATAAGTTTTGCTACATGGCTCATAAGGCTGATTGCCCGATGGAATTCACATTCGTTTGCACCTGACAGTGCTATGGAATTTGATATACTTCTTGTATATCACCACTGTTGTATATTTTATTTATTATATCTGAAATCTTGTCAATGCCGAAATCATCTAATAAGGCTGCCAGAATCTCTATTACAATTCCGTCCCTGCCCTGCTGCTTTGTTTCTGTTCAATTTGACCAGTGCTGATTTAACTTCAGATTTTAATATTTCTGGTCGCCGATATTTATTTCTATTTATTGTCGGTTGTCCTCTTTTGGCGTGGAAGAATTCTCTGGGGCATTTTCTTTCTCTAATTTCAATGTCCCGTCATTGGATTTAATTCACCCTGTTGATGAGCAAGTCTTTTGTCTCTTATATGTTTTTATGCATATGTACTTTATCTGTAGTACCCATTATTTCTAATTTCTTTGTGTAATCTCCTATATTCTGTGTCGTTAACTTGGCGTTGTTTTTGTCTCCTTTTCATCATGTCGAGAATTTCATCTGTTATCTATGAATTTTTCTTTAGTTTTCATTAAGAAGATCCCGATTACTCGTGTTATTAAAGCTTCCCTTGATGTGTCCCACTTCGAGTTCCCATCCTCATTTTGTTCATTGTATCCGCTTTTAACGCTGTCCGTATATTTCTTCACATTCGGTATATTACAATTTGAGTGCTGCCTCATCCCTCTCCAATTTCTGTAATTTCACCCTAAATTTACATACCACTGGAAAGCAGTCGCTCCCGCAGATGATACTTGGGTATGTTTTGCAGAATAAAACTGCATTTTTAAATCTCTTACTCACAGTTTTATAGTCCATTTGTTTTTGGAGCTTTTGGGGATGGGGGTTCTCCCCACTTGGGTTTCTCCATGTCTATATACGCCTTGGGTGTTCTTGAAACCAGGTGTTGGCTACTACCTGGTCATTCGCCGTACACCATTGGACGCATTTTCTTCACGTTCATTATGAGTTCCTAGTTCAAATTTGACAACTATTTCTCCTTTTTTCTCTCCCTGCCTACTTTGATATTCAGGTCTCCTATAACGATTGTAATTTCTTGCGATTTACATTGAGCCTTGGCGTTGTTTAGCGCACAGTAAAACTTTTCAATTTCTTCTTCTGTACTTTGTGCTTTCGGGCATATAAAACTATGATGGATTTATTGAAAGTCTCCCCCTTTCAGTTTAACTAAAAGAATTCTTTCAGATATTTAATAGCATCCCAGAACACATTTGTTCATGTCTTGGTCTAATATCAGTCCTACTCTCCTCTCATCTTTCTCTCCGCCTAACTTACTACATATAAATATGATATAATATGATGTAATATAATGGCTGGCTACTGGTTTCCAAGCACACTCGTCTCGTAGGGCGGCTAACCAGTCCCAGTTGCAGACGCCTGCTCAGGCACATTTGTGTTTCTTTAACACACAAAGAGCCGACCCTTGGTTTATACTACAACTATGTTGATCTAACTTTAATTACAATTTCAGCAGTATATATATATATATTGATGGTGTGCGTGCACGCGCGCGTGAGTTTCATTAAATAAAACTGACACGGTACTTTTTTTTTTGTTTTTTATTATAATTTTCTTCTAAGCGTGCAAGTCTTTCCTTTTCTGAGTTTTATGATTGCACGAATCGTTTCTGGTTCCGAGAACTTTCAGCCAAACTATTAGTTATTTTCAAAGATTTTTTGTTATACTAATAAAGTCGAATTCATTACAATCACTTACGTGCTAATACCCTTAGGAAAGGTATGAATCATCTTCTTCCCCCTCCAGCTATGGGTAAATAGCAGGACCGACTGAGTTCTATAGCCTTGTATGGCAACCTACTGCGGGGAAAAAAAAATCTGCCTCGTCAGTCATGTATCGAAAGCGTGTATCATGCATGGCACATAACTGACTGACCCGAGGACATAATCATGTTCAAATTGGTTAAGCATCTTACAGCGCAAAGCCTTCCCTACACACAAGCCACCAATCTGCCACTGGGTGTCATACCACTAGCATTTAAACTGAAAAATGGTTGTTAATTAATTGGCTGCTGTGAGGATAATTAAAAAGAAACGGAAGAAAGAGATATATAGCTTATTTATATAATAAACCAGTAAAATACACTATGACAAGGTTCTTCTTCTTCTTCTAAGCTTGCTAGGTAGGTTATGCATTGTTTGCCTCTGTCTGTCTTGCCTTCAATCTAAGGCTGACAAGATTAACATTCCAGAAGAGAGCAATCAATAAAAATCAGCATCAAAATCTTGACTTTTACTGACCACTAGAACCAACAGGAAGCCTATATAAAAATCTGTCTTGCATTGGACAATTTTCTGTAATGCTAACCTAGTCGGCTGACATTACAGCATCATCGAGTAATGAATAGCAACTCGAGTTGATGAATCAGAAAACTGAGTTCAAATTCAAGTTGAGTTATTGCATTTCTCTTACGTGCTAATATCCTTTTCCTTGAGAAAGGTATGAATTCATCACTTCACCTCTCCAGACCAGCTATGGGTAAATAGCAGGACTGGGCCATATAGCCTTGGTTGGCAACTAGTGTAGGAGAAGGAAAACTCTGAATTCAAGCCACCTGTTGTCTTGTAAGCCCTGCTCCTTTAGCTTCTGAGAGGAGGGACAGGGTAACCTCAACATCCTCAGTATAAAAGGAATGTCATCATGAAGCACAATTGTGAGATGGAGGGAAGTGATGACCACAGTGGTGCAAAAATGCATTAACTGAATCTGATGATGTTTTGGGGGTTGAGGTAGTTGCATCTTTCTCTATGACATCAGTGGTCGATGTTTATACATGGTTAAAAGCAATAGGTCCTTTCCTCTTGATAGATTAGCACAACAATGTCGCATTTTTATTTGATCTTATGAATATCAGGATCAATCCTTTTAGATTAAATGAAAGAGCCAGTTTGAAATTTCCTGAAGGTTACCTGGGTTGACAGACACCTGAAGGGGACCAAAGAGCACAACAGATGAAATTTTAGAATAATAACAACAAAGATGGGGATATGTCTGAATATAAATAATATAAAAAAATGGTAACTCCTAATTCAAGAATTTCAGATAGAAATGAAAGATTCAGTCTTGTATTCTTATCAGATGCTACCAACATCGCACAAGATTTACAGACACATCATGTCAAAATATGAGTTTCCTTACAATCACTGAAGTTAAGAAACATCAAGCTTGGTCAGTACCTAAATGGGTGACCACTTGGGAATACTAAGTGCCGTAAGCTTGGATGTGCAGGTGGTGTAATGAAATATGTCTTGGAATTTTTAATCAGATAACCGAGTTACAATTCCAGTTAGATTCATTATATTCACGTACGCAAATTTACCCTTGGTAAAGGTATAAATCCACCTATTCTCCCACCCCCACAGCTATGGGTTAATTAGTAAGACTTGTATCACTAAATCAATATTATCTAAAAAAATTCTTACAATCTAAAAATATTTTTTGGCTTTAAATAACATGCAAAGGGTTGATAAGCCATAGAAAAAAAATTAATCTACTGATTAAGCAGAAGAAATTAAAAGAAGAAATTAGTAAGACTTGTAAACCATTATTATCACCAAAATATATTCTTACAATATAAAAATATTTTCTGGCTTTTAATAACCTGCAAAGGGTTGATAAACCATAAAAATGAATGAATCAATCAATCTACTGATTAAGCAGAAGAAATTAAAAGAAGAAATTAGTAAAACTTTTGAACCATTATTATCGCCAAAATATATTCTTACAATATAAAAAATATTTCCCAGCTTTAAATAACTTGCAAAGAGTTGATAAGCCATAAAAAAACGAATCAATCAATCAAACAACATTATCCAATAAATTATACTTTGCACTTTTTTTCAGATTGATATGGAAGAAGAAAATGTGAAAATGTCCCAAGACACTGAAGATACAAGTGCGCCATTGCAGATGACAGAAGTTACAGGTGCTGCTTGTCCTTCTGGTGATGCCCAGTTAGATAAAAAACAGGAATTAATAGGCAAGGACAGTACAGAGGATGAGGAATTAGCACATATGGTTGTTCCTGGAAACGATGGTTGGTCTCTCTTCATCCTTTCATCTTTTTTTTAATGATTTTATTTTCCTTCAAATTATGCAGAATATGTGACATATTCTTTTATATTATTTTTTTAATTTTTTATTAATGTTCAGCCAATACAAGGCTCAAGATCCACTTAAGGTTGAGGATTACGCTGTGGAGTTGTATTATTGTAAGAGAGGACAATTGTTAAGAGTATAGAGTTGAAGTAAACTTTAGAAGGAACCAGAAACCCAATCTTAAACAGGAAACAAAGGTATTGTGTCCATGAAAAAAATAAATAAAAATTTGTTATAGTGTCAAAAATAATTATAATAAAAAAATTATAACAATTATAATTATCATTAATTCACTCATTTTAAAACATTGAGAATCGATCCCACTTTTCTCCTCAACATACACATGTGACATTCTCACTATTCGACAAGCAGTTCACATGGACAGGTCAGTAAAATGTATGTCAATGAAAATTTTGGCTCCTTTTTCCCTTTTCAGGCCATAATAGTAACATTTATCTTTTAGCACTCAACAAAAATTTGAGATAAGAAAACCCCAAACACTTTTTGTATTTTCTAACTAAATTATCTGGACACTCATTACACACATCTATAAAAAAAACTGTATACATTTTACTTATTCTTTATTTTATCATTCTGCCAGATTCTGATTCATATTTGTTCTACATTTGACCCCAAACTCACAATTTTATTGAATATTACTGTCTCTCGTGTCTCCAACTCCATATGACAACCACATAAATAATACTCCTTTTGTTGTTTCCATGTCTTGCTTTTTCTCTTTTTACATGTATTTTTTTATATATAAATGTGAGGGAGTTTATAATTATTTATTCAGAATTATAACTCCCTTATAAGGGATAAACCTCTACTCCTGTTCAAAAGACCAGGGAGGAGTGTGAAGTAGACGACAGGGGAGTCTATCAACTCCTATTAGTGGAGAAGAGAAAAATACATAAATAAAATGAAATAAATAATTAGTGAATAAAATTTCATAGTTCAGGTGCAAATGTACAGAGCTGAAGCAGACTTTAGAAGGAACCTCTGAAGGAATCTATGAACAAAATTTAGATTCTTCTCTTCACAGGTCAGTTAATTTGCCATCTGATCTCAATAACTGGTGTATTTAGGGCCAGATTATGACCTTTTGAGGTCCCTAGGCTAATGAAATTATAAGAAAGCCCCAAACCACAACCCCAGCTCAGATGGAGTCACCCACTAACTCACTTGTACTCATCTTGAATATTTTTTGGTTGTGATAGATAGCAACATTCGTTTACATAACTTGAAGTAAACTTATTGAAAATTCTTTAAATAAACTTGAATAACTATCTTTTGTTTGTCAATAAGAAATCTTTAAGAAATACTATTTTACTATTTATTGCAAACCAAATTGACAGATACTTCAACACAACCATAGTAAAAAGTGAAACAACAAATTTTTTATAACCAACATTTTGGTAATAAAACTATCAAATTAAATATGAGTTTGTCATATTGTTATCATTTCAGTTTATGAAACTATTTAGAAGTTATCTAGAAAATTAATATCACTTTATAAAAATTTCCCTAAGATTTAAAATTCTGAATCAAAACCAAACATATTCTCTACTTGAAACACAAGGACACAGACTAAAACATTATTTCCTTTGCTTTGCTTCCTGCAAAGTCAAATAAATATGAGTTTGTTATATTGATATCATTTCAGTTTCTGAAAATATTTTGGAAGTTATAACATCTAGAAAATTAAAATCTTTACTTTATAAAAGCTTGAGTGGCCTTAGGCTGCAGCTTTTTAGTAAAAGCTGCAGCCTAGGGCCTAAAAGATAATTCAGTTTTGTGTGTACTATTTGTTTCTTTGTAACATCTACAGAGCAAAAATGGTTACCTAGCACTGGCCATCTCCAATTCAAATAATGTGAGACATGTCTACATAGTACTCTGGCCATATTCTTCTGTTAGCTATTATAGTACATCAATACAATACTCTTATCAATACATCTTACAATGGGACAGTACATGGTGTAACTGAATGCTGGTCTCAATGAAAAAGATCCATACTTCATACTAATGTGACCACTTTATTCAGGAAATACACCATTATAATGGTAAAGAGCTATGATAGAAAGATTTATTATCGCACTTGTATTTCCCCCATTATGTCATTATCATATACGATATAAAAACCATATTTCAGAGAATGGCTGAAAGGAAAAGGAATGACAAATATGCTTTAATATGGAGATTTTTCTTTGTTTCTAGAGATGCCATGTTTAGGACTCCAGATTCAAACAGGCTGGATTCATCTACTATGTCCCAGGTGAGGACATATTCCATGAAGGGGAAACAGTGAATCTTGGGTTTTCACAAATTGAGGACTGTGAGCCAGTGTTTTGTCTATATTTAGGGAAGATATATTCCCAGAAGGAAACAGCATCATGGATTTGTAAACTGTAGCATTTGCTGGAGGAGGCATATATATATATATATATATATATATATATATATATATATATATATATATATATATAACCATACAAAGAATATTTGCTCTTGCTTTGAATACTGTTGCCACATCTGATCTGGTGCTTCTGCTATATATTTAGAGATTCTTGATAAAATCCAAAGAAGGATCTGCAATGTTATTAGTCCTGGCATAGCATTTCCCCTTCAGTCACTTTCCCCCTACCATAACATAGCTTCCTTGTGCCTATTCTATAAATACTTTTATGTCAGCCGTTCTGATTAACTTTTCTCTATGATACCTACACATTATGAATTTAGGTGCAGTATTAAATTTGTGGCAAGGTCAATTCATTTTACAGTGGAAATGACTAGATGTAACCATAAGTTCTATGCTAACAGTTTCTTCTATCACACTTCTTACTTGTGGAACTTTCTTCTGGCTTCTTGCTTTCCAGTTACCTTTGATATTCAAAAATTTAAATGCAATGTCAATCATTATCTACTGTCATCTTAATTCTTGTTCTTTTATTGCTCTCTCTCTCTTTAATGTTTTTTCTTATATTCTCTAAAGTTTAGTAACCCCTTGTATCTTAGTGATTTTATTGCTTTGCTTGAGGTGAAATGATTAAAGAAAAATGTGGGTATTTGCTTAAGTTAACACTAAGCGAATAAGATTTTGAATATTACGCTCTAAGAATAGCATGTGTACTGTTCCCTGTAAGAAAAAAGGTAGACAAAACTATCTAAGGTAAGTGTTGATGTTTGTGCTAGCACAAAGTAACAAGTTCTCATGTAATGGGCAGAACTCTTCAGTTTTCATTGGCAATCTATCTTGAGAGAGAGCTTGGTCACACAGGGATCTATTGGCCAAGAAACCTCACAGTGACTGACATTAAAGGTGAGTAGTCAGGAATTGCAAATTCTTGTACTGGGATAGATTGACTGAGACCAGTATCAAAGAGAAACATTAAGCCAAGTTTGACCTCTTGAAGATGAATATCAACCTCGGAAAAGTTGAAGTGTAGACCTCTTATATTGGTTTAGGAGATAGAAAAATAATGATTTACATTTGTTTTGGAAGAACTTAGTTTATTTTAGGTACTGATATGATTTTACATTTTCTCTGTATTCCATTTATAAGGAGGAAGTTCCACACTGAGAGATTTTCCAAAGAACTTTTATTTTGTGGAATAAACTACTGCATAGGTGCTTACCTAAACTACAACCTGGACCTCTTCAAGTCAAGGGTCAATTACTATCTGTCCTCCTTATCCCCATAGTTTTCACTTCCTTCTATCCCCTGTAATATTTATATATCACACACTTTATTCAAAAACCCTCTACCATGAGTGTCTCTTGAGCCTTGTTTTAGGTGAACTTTGGTATAAAAAAAATCTTTAAAAATAAGTCAGATGAGTTGGCAGACAAAAATTGGCAATTTCCATTTTGAAGAATGCAATTTGCTGCAGACAGATATTTTACAAGTGGATGAGCAATAAAACACCTTGGCATTTGGCATCTTCAATTTTCAGATTTGCAATTTTACCACAGGTGAACATTTTCAAGAGAACAAGCAATAAAATATCTTGTCATTTGGTATCTCTAATTTTTAACTTCAAATTAAAAATAAATTCCAAAATGAAACAAAATTAAATTCTATTCCTGCAATGCTTTCCTGAGATGATACTTCTCAGATCAGTAAAATCTTAATCTCTTCAAATCTATAGAACGGTAATGCTTAAGCATTACCTTTCTATAATATGAAAACAAGAAACTATTTATATAGTTATCAGCCAGGATAATTATATTATTTTATTTTTTTGTGACACATCTCTTCTGCTGATTCATTAATACACAAATAGCATCAATGTGATAATATTGTTGCAGTCACTGCTGAACAAGTGGAAAAAAACTGTTAATTCTAATAATTGATTATATGTCATATGCAATGTCAGAAGGTAATTATTCTTACATTTATCATTCAAAGCATTCTTCTTACCTCCTTTTCATACAGACATCAGCCTTAGTCAGTAACACTCTAATTTGAGTGGCTCCTGGGCCTTGTATTTAGAGTATCCTGCACATACAGATAGGTGAATAGCTTATTTATCATGTTTAATTGGACAAAAGTTTATTTGTCTCAACAAAAGTTTATTTCCTTTTTCAAAGGCATCTGTTGCTATCCCAATGTGATTCTAATTTGTTTTTGGTGTCACATTTTCTATTAGAACAATTTGCTAGAGATTTAAATTTTCATACTCGCATACATTTTGGCATCTCCAGTTTGTAGCTTACTTCTTTGGCTGTTCTTCTTCCTAACAACTACTACCACATAGAAATGTTCATTTGGCCCATCTCTATATGGATGCTTTTAGGATTTTTTTTTAAATCATATCACCCCATGAAAGACAGTGGAGACAATAAGACACAAGGGGTTACTGAGTGTGAAAGAACAAGAAAAAAAAAGAAATATTTGAGAACAAGATGAATAGAAGACTAATCAAGACAGTAGATAGTGATTGACATTGCATTTAAATTTTTGAAGATCAAAGGTTGTTGGAAAGTATGAAGCCAGAAGAGAGTTCCACAAATAAGAAATGTGAGAAAAGAAACTATTAGCAAAAAACATATGGCTGCATCTAGCCAATTCAACTGTAAAATGATGCAACCTAACTGCCAATCTAGTACTGCACTTAAATTCATAAAGATTTCGTCCCATTGAGGAAAGTTTATCACAACGATTAGCATGAAAATATTTATAGAAAAAGCACATCAAATCTACATTATGGCGGTGAGAAAGTAGCTGAAGCTGATATGCCAGGTCAGGAACAATGATATTGCTGATTCTTCTTTGGATTTTATCAAGATCTCTAAATATACAGCATGAGCACCAGACTATATGTTGAAGCAGTATTCAAAGCATAGACAAATGGTAAACTTATAAGTATATAAGATAGATTCTGGAGAGAAAAATTTTCCTGTACAACTGTGAACCAACTTTCTTAGCAGCTGACTTAGTAATGGATTCAATATAGTCTTTCCACTTCATATCAGCTGAGAATATTAAACTGAAAAGACAATGAGTCAATCTCATGGAGACTAGCATCATCCATGGGAAGCAGAAAGGGGTCTTTCAAGTGATTAATAAAAAGAAGTTTTGTTTTAGAGACACTAAAATTAACAATCCGCTTTTAAAGTCTATTCATTCTTGTTTCTTTTTCTTGACAGTTCCAAAATGGTGTTCCTGCCGTTGGGCATTTTGCTACATCAGCTGTGTGGCTATGATGTTTGTCTATTCTGTACGTGTGGACATTAGTGTTGCCATCGTTTGCATGGTCAAAGCAAAACCGCCTAAATTTATGAATGACAGTCAAGAAAATCAGTTGTGTTCATTAACACATTCAAATAGCAGTAGCAGTGTAAGCTATTTCTTTTTTTTTATATCTTTTTAAGCCTTTAATTTTTTACTTTATTTCTTTCATCTTAATTTTTGTTGTTTTTCATCACAACTACCCGGGCCATCAAACCTATTGCCATATGTAGTAATATTATCTTGAATTTGTATGAGATGAAGTATTAGTAGCCACTTTTAATTTTTTAACTTGTATTTCTTTCTATCCAAATTTCATTGATATGGGTGGATGTGTCGATGGTTTAATGGATAGTAGCTCGGAACAAGAAATCAGAGAGCAGAGTTTGAATTCCAGTGAAGGTTGTTAAATTCACTTACATACAAATACCCTTGGGAAAGGTATGAATCCATCTTCCACCTCCAGCTGTGGGTTGAATAGAAGGAATTTTTTTACTTGAGAATAACAATGATTTTTTTCTAGATTTGTTAAAGCAATTTTTCAGATATGTTAATGCAATATTCACTCAAAAAAATCATTGTTCTTACAATCTAAAATATGTTTGTCTTTAAATGACCCACAAGGGGTTGGTAAACTGTAAACTAGTGGTTGTGGTGGTGTTTCTACTAAAATTCTGAAATATTGGCAGATTTTAAATTTTACATAGACACTCTGTAAAAAATTGGTGCCATGTATTAATGGGTTAAATCATTTCAGCATCCTAATTTAATAAGATTTTTAAGTCAAAGAAGGCATGATATTACTAATTATTAAAACCAGATGGTAGCCCAAAACTTTTGATCTATAGTGTTTATTCTGAAAATCAGTATTTGATGACCTTCATTATTTTTATAAAGGTTTCAATTATAATTATAATTCAATTGTTATTTGTCATAACTATTAATTATTTTTATTAATATTTAATAAATTTTATTTAGCTCAAAGTCAATTGGGATAAAATGGAGAGTAGGCACAGGGTTTGTGGAATCCATAATCTTGAGTCAGGTCAAATAAAAATACAAGATAAGCATATAGAATCCTCATTTTTATTTATATCTTTCTTTCCAAAAGTTTATAATTCATCAAACGAGAAATTCAAGGAGAAATCATTCATAAATTATTGTATATAAATGAAAAATTGATTGATATTTACACATTTTAATAAATTTTTGTGTTTTTTATATATATATATATATATATAGGTAAATCCTAATTTTCTGTAAAATTAGTTAAATTTTTATTTTTTTTATTTGTGTATTTGAGCACTTTTTTAATACTACTGTTTCAAAGTCTAACTTAACTCTGACCATTAACATTTTTATTATATATATATATATATATATATATACACACAGTGGTGGCATCCTACTGGTTCACACCAGCTCATATGAACTGATTCTTAAAATTATGAAAAGTTTATTATTTGTTGGATTATCTGAAAATAATCTTATATATTAATAGCTGATGGTCTATGTAAAACGTTAGTTATGCTACACTCATAGATGTGCTTAGTGAAACTCTCATAGACACAGACCTCCTACCATTATGAAGTTAAAAATGTGGAAAATATTCTAGTCATAAATTTGATAGATCTTCCATTGGGTCTTTGGAACTGCAACAATTCCATTCGAATGTATCTAAGAAACCATAACACAGCTGATGACACTAGAGCCAAAAAGCATCACACTCCTGAACAGAAATATGATGAGAACAGAATTTCAATCTGGAAATATCTTAATAAATAAATGGTTTCTATTAAATTATCAAAATAGTTAAATTCTTTTTGATACTATAAAGTGATTTGTTTCCATTTTCAGATTGTAAAGAAAATAAACATAATAAGTTCTTAAATATTATCTGCCTTTATAGAAATGGTTGTTGGAAATTTACGATGTCACCATTGTGTATGTATATATATATATATATATATATGACAAATTATTTTGAATTTTTTTTTTAGAGTGCAGAATTTGAATGGAGTGACGGTCTTAAAGCTAATATTTTGGCTGGCTTCTTTTATGGCTATACAGCCAGCAACATTCCTGGTGGTTTCCTGGCAGATCGTTATGGAGGCAGGAAAGTATTTGGCATGTGCATCTTGTTGTCATCAATCATGACACTTTTACATCCAGTTTTAAGTCGAGTCAGTGGTTATTTAACACTGGTTCTTCGAATCTTAACTGGTTTTGTATCTGTAAGTAAATTGCCCCGCACTTGGGATTTCTATTATTCATCTCACCTTTTAAATTTCCTATTATTTGTCTTCACCTAAGAATTCCAGTTACTCATCCCAACCTTAGGATTTCTATTACTCATCTCACCTTTAGTATCCCTATTAATCATGTCACCTGTATGATTCCTATTACTCATCTCACATTTAGTATCCTTATTATTCCTCACACAAGCAGGATTCCTATTATCTCACCTTCAGGATTCCTGTTATTCATCTCATCCTTAGGATTCCTATTATTTCACTCATCCTTAAAATTACCTTTACTTATCTCCCCTTTAAGATTCCTATTATTGATCTCAGTAATAGGTTTCTTCTTATTCCTCTCTCCCTTACAATTCCTATTACTATTTTCAGCCTTAGGACTCCTATTATTCAACCAATCCTATGAACTCCTATTATTCATCTCGTCTTTCAGATTACTCTTATTTATCTCTTTATTATGATTGAATTATACTGGTATAAATGTGTGAATGAGTTTTGGGTATGTTCCTTGAAAATGCCAGTCTACTCACAGCTTTTCTTATAATATGATTTTTTATTGCTTTATCAACTTAAGTATTTTTTACTAATATCAACTCAATGTATTCATTTCCAGTTTGAGAGGTTTGAAAGCAGCTTAAATTCACTCATATATAAAAATCATTGAGCAAATCCATTGTTTTATTTTCATTTTCTGTTTACCCATTCTGATATAATTCATTTTTCAATGTTTCTGCATAAATATCAATATTTAATCAAGGACAGATTTTTTGGCATAGAGAAGTAAAAAAAAAAAAAAAGCATGATTTTAAAGCATTTGAAACTTGAATGATTTAAATTCAATGTTGTATGCATTTTGTTAAATGTCTATTTTATAAATGCAATCAGTAAATTGAGTTCAAATTAAAAATAATTTATGTTCATTTTGTAATAATAGCCTTGGGAAATGCATGAATCCTACTATTGGAAGCATTCATATTAAAGACGTCTCCCTGCTTCTGATAACATGTAATAAATATTTTGCATCACACTTAAGAGGACCATGTGACACACTTGTGTGCCATGGCATGGTGGTTGAGAATCACTGGTCTGGCTGTACAAAGTTGTGGGGTTGATGATAAAGAAGAAGCAACGGCAGCTTTGAAAGCTGACATTTATGTTTATAACTCAAATCTTGAATTACAGAAGATTAATTTGGGTTGCCTATTTTTATTAATAAAAGTGATTTTTTTTTCATTTCATTTTAGAAAAGCTAGTTGTGGTCAATAAAGATTTTCTGATTTTGATGACAATAAATATTTAAAATATAAGCAAAATCTGACAAACTGACAAAATCTCTTTATTCAAAAATTTTTTTTTAAATTACAAAATTATCAAAATATGTGACCCATCTTAACTTACTGCATCTACAATAAGTTTTAAAACTTTGATTCATTGCCAGTTTTACCTATCTTCACTCTCTTGGCAATGATTATTGTTTTAAAAAGCGATGATTAGAATTTTAATAAAATCCAAGCATATGAAATTGAATTTATACATTTTCTTTGTTCTTGGAGTATTTGCAACAAAATATTAAACACTATTTATTTATTAGATTGTTTATCTACAAAAATAATTTTATATTTACAGCATTCTTAAAATGCAAACCAGCTAAAACAATGCAATGTTTATCATTTATTAATTTATAAAGAAATAAATATGAAAATAATTTTTTTAAATTTTTGAATAAAAAGATTTCTTTTCATATTTATTTCTTTTTAAAATGATGATAAATCTTTATAAAAGATAAATAATTTTTTATAATCTTGTAAATAAAAATTGCCTTGGGAGTGAATGTAATTAAAATAATTGTGGTGTCACAATCCTTTTGTAACTTTTCTTTTAGACATGAAGGTTCATCTTTGCCCAAAACCATTTCATGTTTTTTTTTTCTTAATAAAATATTGATTGCCTATAAATATATAGACATCTTTGATTATTTTTTAAGCTTTATATGCTAAAACTTTGTTTTTCCTTTCAGGGGCCATTTTTCCCTTCTATGCATTCCTTGTGGGGACGATGGGCACCACCGATTGAACGAAGCAAGCTCATGGCCATTTGTTATGCAGGTGAATCTTTCATTCATTTGCATGTTTAAAATTCTTGAATGCTTACTGACACTACTTTTATTTGCATGATTCTTCATTAGACACTTTCATAAGTATTTCATTCCAATAAACTTCTAAATGTTTAACTTTGCTTGAAAAAGGTAATTGCCAAGCTTAATTCAAATTCCAACTAAGACTGTTGCAGTCACTTTTCTACAAATACCATTGGGGAAACTATGAATCTATCACTTCTATATCTAGTTATAGTTTAATTGATAGTGAAAACTGGCCTCTCTAGCTGTGATTGGCAACCAGTTTCAGAGAAGAACAACTCTAAATTCAAAACCAGTTCAACCTTGACAAAGTATATATGATAGTCATTGAGAAGATTATGGAGATTTGTTTATTTGTTTTTGTTTTAATCATTTCACCCCAAGCAAGGAGATGATGCTGCTAAGATACAAGGGGTTACTGGGAGTGAAAGAGAATGAGAAGACTTTAGTGATGAGAAAGGACAATAAAAGAACAGGTTTCAGAAAGACAGAAGATTGTGACTGATGTTGCTTTTAAATTTTTGAACATTGTAAGTGGCAGGGAAGCAAGAAATTCAAAGTGAGTTCTACAGGCAAGAAGTGTGAGAAATAAAACTATTAGAACAGAACTTATGATTATGTCTAGCTCATTCAACAGTAAACTGGTGAGATCTATTTGCCAATTTAAATTCATGAGGTTGAGATACCAAGGAGGAAATCTAATTAGAACTACCATGAAAATATTTGTAGCAAAGACAGGAGAAAGCCACATCAAATTGGTAAGAAACTGACTGAAGTCAAGATGCCAGGTTAGGATTGATTATATTACAGACTCTTCATTGGATTTTGTCAAGAATCTCGAGATATATATCCAGAGAACCAGACCACATATTCAATACATGGACAAAGGATAGAGTTATAAAGTGCAAGAAGAATTCTAACAAGAAGAATTGTCTGGCATGACACAGTGAACCAACATTCTGTTGTAGCATATCTATGGACGATAATGGATATGTCTCCATTCACATAAATACAATAGTAAATACTGTATGTTGGTCTGCAGTTGGAGATTCATTGTGGAACTCTCTTGACTCACTTTTAGCAACTGGCTACTTCTTCTATGCACCACTGGTGAATCTTATATATGTTGTTCTTGTCCTAAGTATTATTATTCATTACCAACCTTTATTTGATTATTCTATCCAGTAACCTTCCCTAGGTTACAGCACATTCTTGGCAGCAAATCTAGCAAAATATTCAATATAATCACTTTGCTTCATGTCAGTGGAAAATGTGAGCCCAAGAAGGCATAAAGAGTTGCTATCCTGGAGGTTAGCATCAGCCATGCTGATGTCATGCAGAAAAGGTTCTCTATGGTGATTAAATGAAAGCAGCTTTGTTTTGGAGGTGTCAAAATTTGCAAGCCATTCCTTGCCCCACTTTAACCACTGATTGGAGATCCTTTTTGAGAGCAGCAGCCAGTTTAAATTTGTTTGAATCTGTCGGACTTACTATTAAAACAAAAGTAAATATTTGTGTCAGCAGCATAAATAACAAGTTAGGAACTGATGACATTGGGAAGGTTATTGATGAAGATAAGAAAAAATGTTGGTCTAAGGATAGATCCCAGGGGAGTCCCTGCATTAAGTTTGAATGTCTTGAAAGATGACTACGACAATCAATTGTAGCACAGGTTTTGTTGATTCTATTATCTCAACTGATGTCACATAAAAAATACAAAATAATCATTGTTTTTTGGGTTTTTTTACTATTGTTTACTCATTACAAGATAGAGAAGTGCCACTCAAGGTAGAGGGTGACTGAATAATGAGGTCATAATGGTGTACAGGGATTAAACAAGAGTTGCATATTTTGAGGACATGTAGGATAGATAAGAATTCACTGCAATCTTAAATTCAAGAATTTAAGATTGCAGTGAGAGTCTGACAGATTGCCCCTTACCATTGCATTAGGTATTTTTTATATATATATATCTGTCATGCAGCTCTTTCCTATGCTTGAAAAACACCTGATGCAGCTAGAGCATCAGATCATCCTGCATTCAGCAGCTGGGAAGTCATCTGTTAGATCAACTCTGCACCCAGCATCTCTAACATCACACTGAGTGCAAAGGTCTGGGGTGTAACCCATACATGCACCACCCTCATAATTTTTTTCAAATTCATAAATTCTCCAAAGTTATGAATTTCTTCTTTTTTTTTGTTTTAATTTTTTAAAATAAATTGGTATCTTTCCTTTTTCTTTTATTTTTTTTTAAAGTTTACACAAAATCTATAACTATATTTAAACTTAAAATACCACGAAGATTTGATTTGTGATGCTAGCTAGGACAGGCAGTCCCATAAAACTTTGATATCAATAATATAGCTGGTTCACTTGAGAGCTAGCCAACTGCTGCCTATCCCAATCACTGGAAAACTTGCAGCAATATAATCAAAGCTCCAGATAAACAAGCAAGCATATTTAAAATCAGAAAGAGGCAGCTTGAAATTTTGAGGACATATAAAAAGGAGAGAATGTTTGGAGAGCCATGATCACTCATGTCCTAAAGGGACATGTCACATAAAAGAAGACCATACCTCTTTGTCCCACCTCATGTTGAAACACCAGTTCCCATATGATCACCAAAGTTAAGCAACATCAAGCCTGGTCAGTACCTTGGTGGCTGACTGCATGGCAATACTAGGTGCTGTAACTCAAACTTTTGAACTCTCTCAAGACTGGAAAGTGAGGACAGGACATTTCCAGCCCAGATATGACACCATTACTCCATTTTTGTTCTGATCTGACTCTTGTAAAGATAGAGTATAGCAGGAGATCTACGGAGAAAGAGGCCATTTTTCTCAACCACCACTGTGAAATCACCTGGTTTCACCATAATACTGGCATGGGTAGCTTCCAGTGTTATTGTAATTATAGATTGATCTATTTTATCATATTATCAGGATCACACTATAAATTATTTTTCTTTTTTGAAAATGTGTATGTTTTTAGTTTTTGTGTTTTTAATTGTACAAATAAAAATACAAACAGTAGTAAGAAAAAAAAAAAATTGATACAACCAAAAAAAATTAGTGAAGTTTTTGGTTTCCTTTTACATTTGATAATATTTTGTCAAAATTGACTGAGTGCTTTCACATTTCTGTTAATATGGGATGCTAAACTAAAAGATTGCCTCCTATTACACAGAATTGTTATTGAATGTTAATATTTATTTATTTCACTGGTTTAATTATTATACATTTCCTTATTTTTAGGACCTTACATGGGAAATATCATCACATTAACTTTGTCTGGCTATCTTTGTGCAAATGGATTTGATAATGGATGGGGTTCCATCTTCTATATTATAGGTAAGTTACTTATTTGGTGTTATAGTTTTATTTTGTGTGCTTCTTGAAAGTCTCTAATTTTGGATTTAAAATGACCAGAATTCGGTTCTAACTGAGAACTAAAGTGATAAAAATGGTTGATTTTTATTCTTTTCTTATAAAATAATAAAGGCTGAAAATAGACATACTGTCTCGATTTTCTTGGTTATAAAATCAGTTTTCTAGTTTGCTGTTATTGACCTCACATATAATCTTTATTTAAATCCTTTCATTCTCTAAAAAGGTTCAATTATGTATCATTGAATAACAAAGAAGTTTTTTTTCTACCCAAATAATTGAAATATAGTGTGTCTATTCTCCCAGCAATAAAATCTATTTGCTTTATACTTTGCAAACAGACTTTATACACCCCAAATAATCCTGTTTTCACTACATTATTTTTTTTTCATCCAGTTTCATTTAAAAGTCCACTGTGCACTATTGGGTCACAAAAAATACATTTTTTAACAAAATCTATTTAACAGATTACATTATTTGTAAGTAGATAAAATATACATTTACTGCTTAAAATTTATCTAAAGATACATCCAGTATTATGGATAGAAGACTGACCACCAAAGGTTTAGATTGTCCAATTAGAAAGTCAGGATGATATGCAGTAATCTCATCCACCCTAAGGAGGCTAACTCCCTTTTATAATATATCTGAGTAGAGTTTAACCTAGTCCAGAATAACTCTTAAGTTAAGCCTACTTATGAGGATTACCTACTTCATACCTCAGGGTGTAAAATAGCCTAGTTGAGGGTCTAAAGTAGACCTCCAATTAGGCTAGTTTATACCCCTTTTTACTGAAGTCAACAACAGTTTTTCTAGAATGTTATGTTATAGCTTCAAACTGGTAATAATAGTTCTTTTTTATTTTAATCTTTTCACCCCAAGCAAGATGATGATGCCACTAGGACACAAGGGGTTACTGGGAGTGAAAGAGAATAAGACTTTAGTGAGGAGAAAGGACACTAAAAGAACAGGTTTCAAGAAGACATGGCAATTGGCATTGCATTTAAATTTTTGAATATTGTAGATGGCAGGGAATCAAGAAATTGGAAGAGAGTACCACAGGCAAAAATATAAACTATTAGAATAGAATGTATGGTTGCATCTTGCTAGTTCAACAATAAAACAGAGAAACCTAACTGCCAATCTAGTATTATACTTAAATTCAGGTACCAAGGAGGAAAGCTCATCAGAACAATTGCCATGAAAATATTTGTAGAAAAAACAAAGGAAAGCCATGTCACATTGGTGATTAAGTGACTGATTTCGAGATGCCAGGTTAGGAAAGTTTTATATTACAGAACCTTCTTTGAATTTTGTCAAGAATCTTGAAATATATAGTAGGAGCACCAGACCAGATATGGCAGAAATAGTGAATGCAAAGATAAATGATAGATTTATAAATGTGCAAATGGATTTTGACAAGAAAAACTGTCTGGCATGACAGCAGACCTAGCAATTGATTTTAGGTCTGCTGCTAGGAAAGTTGGTTTTGTCATGCCAGACAGTTTTTCTTGTCAGAATCCATGTTAGAATCCACTTCATGAAAACATGAGCCCATACAGGAGCAAAGTGTTGCTATCCTGGAGGTTAGCATCAGCCATGCTGATGGCAGGCAGAAAAGGTTCTCTATGGGGATTAAATGAAAAGCAGCTTTGTTTTGGAGTTGTCAAAAATTAACAAGCCATTCCTTGCTCCACTTAACCACTGATTGAAGGTCATTTTCAGGAGCAGCTGCCAATTTAAAATTGTTGGAGCTGCCAGACTTGCTACTGAAACAGAAGTAAATATTTGTATCAGCAGCATAAATATCTAGTTGGGAATCAGCCTTGGAGACAAATGCATTAATGTGAAATGAACTAGAAGCATGTCTATTGAGCACAACCTTCATTACACGATTCATTTGGAACAATTGCATTAAGCCAAATATTTATCCAGAGACACTTCAGCCCTTGAGCATGTGGAGAAAGCCAGCATGCCAAACCTTGTTTAACGCCTTTCAGATATCTAAAGCCACAGCCCAAGTTTTGCTGTTCTGAACTCATTCAACAATAATCAGGTCTCCATGTTCCTAAAACGAACTGGTCACCTTCAGTTAATACAGTGCTCTAAAATTGAACATAACAAAAACTTATATTTCTTGACATTTGAATTGGTAGCTTTTTATAGTTTTGTCAGGCACAATAGGTACCAAAAAAGTTAGTCCTACTAATATACTAACCATGAAATCAGAATCAAATTGGGGGTCCAAAAATGCATACAAGATAATTTCTGCAAAACAAATGACAAAGCAAGATCCATAGAAGCCTCAATATCATATTTGGATCCAATAATATATATATATATATATATATATATATATATATATATATATATATATATATATATAAAAAAGAGGTGCATGTTCTAGACTAGCAGAGTTTATTCTAATCCAGCCCAGTTTTTTCCAGGAGTATAAAATGGCCTAGCCTAACATATACCCCAGGGAAAAAACAGCTAAGTCTAGCCTAGAATAACCAGGTATACTCTGTACTGGGGTTATACTCTAGTCTGGGTTATGGTCTGGGCTGTTAATCTGGGTATGCTCTTGGATGGGAGTACATTCTGGGATGTTACAATTGGTATTCTCTTGGTTGGAGGTATATTCCAAGATGCTACACTAGTAATACTCCCAGTTGGGAGTATATTCCGGAATGTTACATTGGGTATATGGTTGTTTGAAGGTATATTCTAAACTGTTACACTGGGTATACTCTCGGTTGTGGGTATATTCTGGGATGTTACACTTGTCATAAACTTGGTTAAGAGTTTATTCTAGGATGTTACACTCAATATACTCCTGGTTGGGAGTATATTCTGTGATATAACACTGAGTATACTCTTGGTTGAGGGTATATTCTGGGATGTTACACTATGTATACTCTTGGTTGAGTGTATACTCTCACTTGGAAGCATACTCTTGGCTATTGCATTGGACTTACTTTATAAATTCCTAATGTGACTATTTCAAAGGAGATAACATATAAATATAAATAGTATATGAAATATTATTTACTGGAGTAATTCTGTACTTTTTACACCTAGATCAGATACTTTCTGAAAAACCTTATATAACAGTGAGAATCGAATGAATTATTAAGAGATTGACTTGCTGTTGTAATCTCGAATTTATAAATTTAAGATATTTTATATCAGATTTTATGATTTTCTAATTATTAATTTAGTTTTTTTATTTATAATTTAGGCATCCATATTTTAGGCTAAAACCTTTATTTTAATTTAATGCTTTTTCAGCTATTGGGTTGTCAAATAAATTTGTTCGTTTTTTTCCATTTATTTTAGTCCTATTATTCACCAACTATTTTAACAAATCGGTCAATGATATAAAATGATCAAAAATTGTAGAGGAAGAACAGAACTACAAAAAACCATAAAGATATTTTGTGTGTTAATTCAAATAACATTGTTTAAAAAACAAGTTTATCTTTCAATCAGACTGGAAAATAGAGAACCAGTACCTGATCAAAGACAGGACATAGTGTTAAGATGAGTCCGAATTGCACATGCACATCTTGCACACAAATAACTACTCAAAGCAGAAACTGCACCTTGGTGCATCTCTTGTGATTAAGTGCATTTTAACAAACTGCAAAATATGCAAAACAAAAGTGCAACAAATATTATGATGTACAAAAAAATAACATGCTTTTCAAAAATGTATCTGTTTCTCAAATAAAAGGCTACTTGAAAAAAAGTAGGTTGCTTCTATAAATTTTAGAAGAAATCACATCTTATTATCTATAAACTATATAATTTTTAGATAATAAGATGTATTGTGTATATATATATATATATATATATATATATATATAATATGGCCTGACTATTGCATATAGCATGAAACAGACTGTCGCCTCTAAGTGTTGACTTCTATGTTCACTTTTATATTTACACACGCTCTATCTCTGATATTGAGCACTTTATCCCATAAATATAGCACACCTTAAGACTATATTTCTTCATATATACACATATATATATATATATATATATATATATATATATATATATATGAACATGCATTTACCCTGAAAGCATAAAATTGCGTACAAAACATCTGTAGTTGAAGGCATAAAGTTGTGTACAAAATATTTGGATTTTGGTATTGAGTGGCCTATGGAGGTTGTCATGTGGCTAAACAAAATCAACTAACCAACAGTTATGGCATTAATGACCCGTAGTGCTTGATATGCTGGTTAAATAACCAACTAATCAATCAATCATTATCTGAAAATCCAATACATTAGAACTAAATCCTTTTTGTTTTTTCTTTGAACATTTCCTTTTCTTTCTTTTTTTCCTTCAGGAATTGTGGGCATCCTATTCAGTCTCCTCTGGCTCTACATTGTTCGTGAAACTCCAAATACTCATCCACGAATCACACAAGCAGAAAAAGATTTTCTGCGCGATGCTATTACATGCAAAGCAAAGGTAAACACATTTCATCTTACAGTGTTTTTTTTTTTTTCTTCACTATGAATGAATTCAAGAAATAGTTTCTGTCTAAATAATCATTGGAGAATCTACACCCAGCTCCCAGACACAAGGGGTGAACTTCCTTAGCCTCTTCCTCACCTCCTACCCTGATAAATGCCTATCAAAAGTTTTACCTCTAATAGGCACATCAGAACATTCCCTAATCAGTGTCCAGATTGATGCCAAACCTAAGGCATCTCCTGATGCATCATTCCATGGAATGATTTTTCATTATTCAAAGACAGACTCGGACAGCTTTTAATCCTATATGATGGAAGCTCTTCTCCTAATCTTCTTCAAGCATGATGCCTTAAAAAACTGCTGCCCTTGTCACTGATTGGATCCTTTTTGAAATGGAGAGTTTTATAAACCCCCAAAAAATTCCGGCAAAAACCAAACAGTCAACCCTGGTTCACCCATGAATGCACTTCAGCCATTACTCACCAAAATCACTGCTTCAATATCTATTACAAGGAGCAATGTATTTTGGTCCACACTGCATTCAGAACTGCCTGCAATTGCTGCAAAAAGTTCTAGAAAATGCCATGTGCAACTATGCACAAACAGGCCAGACCAAGATTGCAAAGAAACAAATTGGATACTGCAAATTCTGGAAGATCACCAACCAAATCACAAACAGATGTAAAGCAGCTGTGCCCACAATTATAAATGGCCCCAAGGTCATATCTTCCTCAACAGATAAGGTGAACCTCTTCGCCTCCATCTTTATCATCTAACATTGAGTTAGAGGCAAAGACCATCCCCCTCTCCAAGTTCCCATGTCTAAGTGAGGACAATCTTAGTAATATTACCATCACAGCATGAGAAGTCTCCAGACTTATCAAAGGCCTTGAAGCTAAGAAAGCCACTGGTCCAGATAAAATTCCAGTGGTTGTCCATAAGGATATCAACCCAGAATTATCCTCAATCCTAGCTAAATTATTTTATTGCTGCTTGAAAGAGAAATCCTTCAGAAGCCTGTGGAAATTGTCAAGAGTATGCCTGTTTTTCAAAAATATGGGTGTGCAATCTTTCCCCTCCCAGTACAGATCCATCAGTCTCCTCAGTATCATCAGCAAGATAGTAAAACACCTAGAAAAGGACAAACTCTTCAGCGACGACCAGTATGAGTTTCAGTCAGCCCGATCCACTGCTGATGTCCTAACTTTCATCACTCACAGAATCAATAAGGATCTTGATGACAAACACCTCAAGGACCATAGCACTAGATATATCAAAGGCCTTCGACAAGGTATGGCGCAAAGGCTTACTACACAAACTCTCCAGTTATGGAATCACCTGAAGGGTCTACTTGATCATAAAATCCTTCCTAACAGGTAGGTCTCTGAAGGTAGTTATCAATGGCCAGTCCTCCGAAGCCCTAGAGGTCAACACAAGCATCCCCCAGGGATCACTCTTTGGGGTAACCCTTTTTTTGATTTATATAAATGAACTACCTGAGAATATAGTCAGATCATTTGTAAACATCTATGCCAATGATACGACTGTATATGGGCACACCTCTAAAACTCTCAATGGTCAGAGACTGGCAACTGATCTTTCTTCCAATCTTGCACAAACTACCCAACGGGTTAAAAACTGGCTTGTTACATTCAATGCTTCAAAGACCAAGCTAGTTATATTCCATCATCGCTGATTGAACTACCACCAATCAGGATGAATGGAGCTTCTCTTGGGGAAGCACTATGCCTTGAAAGACTGTTGGACCTCAAACTCACACCTGATCTTAAGTGGAACTCGCACATATGATCTATTGCAGGTAAAATGGTCAGCTCTCTGTACCACTCCAGTAAGTACCTGACTCCTCCTGATATCCTCTACCTTTACAAGAGCTAGATCAAGCCAAAAATGGAGTACTGTTGTCATATTTGGGCTGGAATTGACCTCATTCTCCAGCTTTGATAGAATCCAAAAATGTCTCTGAGGCTTTCTGGGTGACAAATTATCCTCTACCCTTCAACCTCTCTCTCCCACAGGCAGAACGTGGCAAGACTCTCACTGCTCTACCACTACTTCCACAGAAAGTGCTCAGATGAACTACATTCCCTGGTCCTGCCAAGGCAAACTTTTTCAGCAAAAACACACCATGCCACTTACATGGTAACAAACCACCCATATTCCCTCCGTATTCCATTGAGCAGCTTCTTCTCGTGAACCACTGCCCTATGGAACCGACTCTCAACTGGATGTTTCCACAGCCACTACGATCTTAACCTGTTCAAGGCTAGGGTTAACTGTTATCTTCCACTCACATACACACAAATGGCCTCCAAATATAACCCTCTATCTTGAGTGACTTCCAGGCCTTGTAAAGGGTGAACCTCACTGTAAAAAAAAAATAACAAATTATTATACACTAATCTATTTAAACTAGTGTCTTCATTCTAGTTTCAAATTATCAAAACATTTCAGTCTTTGAACTCTCCAGCTGTCGTTTTTTTATTGAGCAGCTTTCTTGAGATTTTGAACTTAAACCTTTTGTGGTATAAGAAAGTTGCAAGTCCTGAGGATATTTATTCTGTAACATACAGAATTGTGGCAAAGTTGCAAGTCCTGAGAGAGCTAATTTCATCATGCAAAGAGACATAAAAAAGAAAAAAGCCTAATGACCCATTCTGGCCAATTAAGATCCAGAATTGAAGAGAAAGATGCCATGATGGAAGGGTATCTTCACATCTGGAGCTGTGTGGACGATCATTGTTTTAAAAGGTTTTCATTGAATTTATATTGGTTGTTTCTCTGTGACAGGTTACACATATCTCTTGGCAGGGTATCTTCACATCTGGAGGTGTGTGGACCATCATTGTTTTAAAAGGTTTTCACTGATTTGATATTGGTTGTTTCTCTGTGACAGGTTACACATATCCCTTGGAAGAGTATCTTCACATCTGGAGCTGTCTGGGCCATCATTGTAGGGCACTTCTGCTATAATTGGTCAAACTATACATTACTTACCGTGCTGCCTCTTTTTATGAAACAGGTTCTATATTTTGATATCAAAACAGTAAGTTCCATTTCTATTTATTGTATCTGTTTAATTTTATCTTCATAAAAAATCATTCCAGTTTAATAGTCAAGATTCAGTTAGTAAAATATATGGTCTAAACTACTTTAAGGATTTTATTTTTGTCTCTAACAAACAATTGAAATAAATCTTTAAGGGATCCAATTCAAGAACCAGAAAGACATTTATATTTAAAAAGTTCTTCTCTGTTAATTTATGAGTCTACTAAAATAAGATTGATGAGCTACCACCATGTTTGCTATGCTGACCTTGAGTGTCTTGGAGAACAGAAAGTTTACTCTGAATACCAAAATCCCAGTCTATAAGGCATGCATTGTTAGCATACTTCTTTACGGCAACAAGATTTGAAGCCTTTACTCCAGACAGAGACACCTCAGCATCTTTCATGTTCACAGTCTGAGATGCATTTTGGACATCAGTTGGTTTGACCAGGTCACCAATGCTGTTGTTCTCACCCATGCCCAGTTACCCAGTCTATATGTCCTTCTCCAACAACGCCAATGCCACTGGCTTGGACATGTACACTGTATGCTGGACAGGAGGATTCCAAAGGTCCTTCTGTATGGGAAATTGGCCACTGGCAAGAGAAACCAGAAAAGAGACATTGAAAATAAATAGATAGAAAACAGTTAAAAACAATTAGGTGTTTGCAAATGTTTCCAATGTCTTCTTATTAAAAGAACCTGATTCCAAAACAGAGCACACTGCTGGAAACTTTTGTATGAATCTAAAATTAACAATGATAAACTAATAATAATGCATATGACCAAATGATGACCAAATCTGTGTGAAAAGCAACTAAAATCAAGATAAAAGAAAGGCTAGTCAAAAATTAATAATGGTTGATCATGCTTCTGCTAATGAAAAATAAAAACCAAAATAATTTGCAAACCTAAGAATTATTTTTCCTTTGTTTTCCACAACTTTTTCCCATATTATTTATTTCTTTTTCAGAATGGTCTAATGTCATCCATTCCTTATCTTGGACAATTCCTTGGATACACAGTAATTGGTAGCATTGCCGACTTTATTCAACAAAAGCAATGGTTGTCCACACGCAATACTCGTGTTTTGCTTCAATTAATCTGTAAGAATCAAATATCATTTCTTGTTAAGATGACTAACATGAGTCAGCCTTGAAAAACACATTTATTTTACTATTATTTTTATTTTACTATTATTCCCCCACTATTTATTTTCCTATTATTTTTCTATTTATTTTCCTATTATTTCCCTATTATTTTCCTACTATTTATTTTCCTAATATTTTCCTATTATTCCCTTACTATTTATTTTCCTATTATTTTCCTAATATTTATTTTCTTAATATTTTGGCAATTTCCTACAATTTGTTGCTTTCATTCTTAAAGAAATATCACAGAAATTAACTTTAAGACTTTTCTCCAGAATAGCATCCTCATCTTCTGAATTCACAAGTTTCAGAAAAACTTGCATGCACTTTTATACACCATGCTCTGACATGTATGACAGCTTTGCTATATTTTTCCTTATCCAAATAGCCATGCATTCAATCCTTGGATGAGGCAGTGTCTTGCCATGAGCTTTATTCTTTACTAGCAGTAGAGCCCGGCGTTGCCCGGGGATGTAACAGTAAGAGACATCATAAAGACTGAAAAATAAAATTGACAAAGATTATTGTTTAAGGTTGACGGACACACATGTGTTAATTAGTTTGTTTTTTTTGTTGTTTGTTTTTTTTTTTTTACGAATTGGTCAAACCCAAATTCAAACAAAAACATTGTTTACAATTGTTATGAGTCTATCGATTGGTGAATAGAATTTTATTATAAACAATTGTCTTGTAAATGGATTTTTTAAAGCATTCTGAATGTAAAAATAAAGAAAAAAAAATGTGCAAGACAATAAGAAACACTACCTGCCAAAAAAAAGTGAAGTTTTGTTGAAATCGGTTGAAAAATGTAGGTAGCCTTTCTCTGTAATCTTTTACAATTTATGATTTTTACTTATTGAATACAGGAAAAAAAATTGCATATTTTGCTTGTGGTGATTCATAATTAGAATTCTGATTTGAATATATTTTCCACTCGTTGTTTCTAATACAAAAAATATTAACTTTATTTGGGTTTATTAACTTATTACAAGTACTGTGTTCTTTCCTTAATAATTATCATCTTCGAAATATTGTTGTTTTTTGTCTATCAGATTTCTTACGTCGGCATTTTTAAATTATTTCTTAATACTTTCTTTTAAATATTGAATTAATTTCAAATAGAACCAATGCCTTATTGATCTGCCTTGTAACAAATTGCAAAGGAAATTGTAAAAACGGCCCTAAAGTATGTGGAATTATCTTTCCCTAAAGATAAAGAATTATCCGATTTTTCGATTCGTACAATCAGTAGAGATCGTTAGATTATTGTTTAGGTTGACGGACACGCATGTCTTAGTTTTTTTTTTTTACGAATTGGTCAAACTCAAACAAAAACATTGTTTTCAATATTGTTATGAGTCCCCCGATTGAATAGAATTAGAATTTTATTATAAACAATTGTCTTGTAAATGGAATTTTTAAAGCATTCTGAATGTATAAATAAAGAAAATGTGTGCAAGACAATAAGAAATACTACCTGCCAAAAAAAAAAAAGTGGATGTTTGCTTTATCGGCTGAAAAATGTAAGAAATCCGATCCCATATATAAAGGAACACGCACATACTCAAACAACCTGGGTTTTTTTAACCTAAGTCACTCCACAGAATCGCTAAAACATAGAGCATAGTCTGATGAAAAAGACGCCAAAGTTTATGAAAACAAAATTTTATCATAAAAATGCTTATGTTTTTATGAAGAGGATAGACTAAGTTTTTTTTAATTATTTTTTAAAATTTTTCCATCTTTTTAGAATATTCTAAATTTTGATTTAAAAAACCTTGTTTCTCTTTGTCGCAACAAGGGGTAGTAAATAACATAGATAATTTTTAGCACATTTTGTATTTACACATTAATTTGGAAAATCTTGCAAAAATAAAAAAATAATTGTCAGATGTTAATGAAACTTTCAGAAACTATTCACAGATGATCAAAATTATTATAAATATGTTTTTTTTTATTAAAGTCATGGCAGAAATATTTTTTTATATTTATTAACACCCCCATAACTAATTTTATGAAAAACTCTAGAAATTGAGACCATCGGTTTTAGTGATTACAATAGTTAAAAGCACAAGGCTTTGAAGAATACAAATCATTTTTTTTTTTTTTTTTTGGCCAACGTACCTGAAAATCAGCTGTGAATTGTAACATACAAAACTCAATAATACAAATATATTATTTAGTTTCAAATGCTTTTATTTGTTTTAATTTGTTTTTATGAATATGGACAATATTTTCTGAAAGCAAAAAAATTTTTCAATGAAAATTGAATTTTTAATACAATTATTTCTTATTTCCTTAATTTTAAAAAGATTTAAAAAAAAAATTTTTAAATTGAATTTTTAAAAATATTTTAACATTAGTTAAAAGCAACATCAACCTTTCAAAATGTCCGTGTGATTGTCTAACGCTTTGAAAATTGTATAATTTGGACCAATCAGATTAGCCATGGTAATTAAGAAATGTAATTTTTGTGTTTATAGTCGGACAGTAATTATCAAGTACGGAAGACCAACCAGAATACGATTTAGTTGCATTATTTGAGTTCAGCATTGTTCTCCGCTGTTAAGCCCTTTACTTTTGCGAAACACGTATGGAGAAGTTAATTTGAGTTTTCAATTTCAACTGAGAAGGGTACCTACAAGTAACAGTATCATCTTATGAAATTTAACTACTGCTAAACTTTAATTTATATGATCTTATTTTTATATTAATCAGTTATGACATTTTTCCATAAATGAAATATCAAAATTAATAATAAAATGAATGGAAATACAAATAACACAGTAAAATGTAATAAATGTACATAAAATTATAGTATTTTATGTACACTTCTGATAAGATTTCATAAGAAAGGTACCTAAATTAATTAGATACCTTTTTCTTATGAAATTTAATCTCACTATTAACAGTCTTATTTTTAATTTCTTTATATTTTCCATAAAGCATCGTAAAAGTAAAAATGAAAGCTAAGTACAAAAAAAAAAAAATTAAAAATTAGAGCACTGAAAGTTTTCCTTAAAAAGTAACGAGGTAAATAATTTGTTCACTTAAATAATTTCACTTCCTTCCATCCGTAGAAAGAATTATCCTCCCGTAAGTTATCTAAACGTCATGAATGTGCCTTTTCGTCAATCGTCAAGCGACGCGAAAGGTTATGACCTGCTTTTGTTTTATTTTCAAATTACATTTTTTCGGCGCAGAAGCTAAGTTAAGCTTGGTTCATAATATTTAAAATAAACAGTATAATTTCTGTTTTTATTAAAATCAGTTTTGAAAAAATAATTGATTTTAAAAGAATATCAAAGTCAGATTTTAATCTTTTTATCAAATCGAAAAAATGATTGAAAATGATTGATTATCTGTCCTTTTTTTGACCAAAAAAAAAACAATATTTTTAATGAAAATTTCAGACGTGCTAGGAACAATTAAAAATGTAAAAAATACCCAAAAATACTTTGATCTTTCCTCTTTAATAATAATGTGAACATTAGACGATAAAATTTTTGTTTTCGTCAAGTTCGGCTTTTTTCATCATGCTATGCTCTTTTGTTTACATTTTCGTGGGTGAGTTGTCCCCTTTCATTCTCACGATGTGTCTTAATCGTGTTTTCAAATTGATTTTGTTAAAAAACAATTTTGATTTTCCCATTTTCGGCGCCGTTAGAACCATCACAAAGTAATTTTATGTAGTCCTGTGAAGTTTTGTTGAAATCGGCTAAAAAATGTAGGAAATTCGATCCAATATATAAACGTTACAGACACACACACACACAATCTGCGTTTTATAATAAGTAAGATTTTCAATTCACACTGTGTACTACAGAATTTTCCTATGCATTTATAAAAAGTTTTTGGCACTATTTGGATGAGAAGACAGATATTTCTAGAATTCCTCATTTTTATCATGGCATATTGTACAGTGCCAAAAAGTACCTGACTTCTTCTGCTACACTTTATCCTTACAAGAGACAGATTTTCCCTAAAATTAAGCATTGCTGCCCTATCTGGCCCAGGCTGCCAATCCTCACTATTCATCTTGGCATAGTTCACAATTATTTGTAGAGGATGACACATTTTCTGCCTTGCAACCCATTTCCCACAAATGAAACATTACAAGCCTGTTGTTACTCTATTGATATTTTCATGGCAAATATTTGAAAGAGCTCCATTCTTTAGTTCCATCAGTTCAAACCTTTACAGTTAAGACCTACCATGCCATGTACCACAGAGTTGAATCGCCCTCATTCACTACATATTCCATTTGTAATAAGGAAGCTCCAAGAATGACTGTTTTGTGGAACAGACTCCCAGTTGGATGCTTCTCCAAACACTACAATATAAATCTCTTCAAGTCTAAGGTCAATCATAACCGATCCTCCATATCTTCCTATACTTCCTTTCCTACTTCCTACTCTTACATTTATATTACACCTCATTCAGTAGCCTTGAGTTGTTCTTGAGCCTTTTATTAGGTGAAAATTATTAAAAAAATTCTCCTGGCTGTGATGGGTTGTCCACATGGTGAAGATAGTGTGCTATAGCCTTCTAAAGAGTTTTCTATTCAGAGAACTAATCTCTGGCCAACAACTAGACTGAAGAAATACAAAGGCGCCCTGAAAAGGACCCTTGTTTCCCGTTGGTTCAACTACCATTAAATCAAAACAGAGGCAGCCAACAGGGCAACATGAATGTACGTGATCTGTCAGGCAACCTCCCTTGCATGAACCTACTTCTTCTATGTGCTGTGTCCCTTCAGGACATTAGTAATCATGGCTCTGCACAATTTCCAGTCCTTTGTAACTTTTAATCAATTTTGTCATTTTGTTATCTCTCCTCAGCCCTGTTCTGCTATCCAAGCTCACTCAGTAGGTTATGTGTTGTTTTCCTCTGTCCCTCTTGCCTTCAATCTGTCCTGTGAATATCAAATTTTCTAATTATGTGCTCTATAAATTTCAACTCTTTCTGATGTTAAGTATGAGGGTCCTTTTTGTTTCCATTTTCTCTGAAGGTTTGTTATTGCTCACATGTTCAGTCCATGGTATTCTCAGCATCCTCTTGTAGAACTACATTTTTGTTGTTTTAAGTCTCTTCTTTATCTGTGAAGAAATTGTCCAGCATTCGCTGCCATATAGGAGAACTGATATTGTAACAGTTCAATACTCTTTTCTTTGGTTAGCCACAGAAGAGATTTAGCAGATTTCAGAGGTTTAGCAGATCTACAAGTTTGGAGCTCCTCACAAGCTGCCAAACCTTCTCCTAACATGGAAAACATGACACTGTAATATAAGCCTCACTAACAATGTGAAAGTATATGATATGATAAGGCACACTGGTGCAAACAACGTAATTCTCCTATCAGAGAATGTAAATCAAGTGATGGGATTATGAATCTGGACTACACCTACAGCATTCAGGATTCCATCGTTGAGCGACAGCGCCCTGGAGAAATCCTAAGTAAACCAAGAACCCAGTGGCCCAAAGGTAATCAGAAGGTTATTTGGACAAATCTTGACAAATAGCTTTCTTTTATCCTTAATACCAATCTTAAGAGTCCCATAGGGCAACAGATCAGTTCCTTTTGTAGAATAGTATACAACGTTTGCTTTGAGTGGTTTAGACCAGTAATGGAAAAGAAAGAAAAAAGAAGAAAAATGACCAAATCGATGACAAATCCAGAAAGGAAAATTACGATCAGAACAAAGATTACTGACACGTCAAGTTGGATTTGGTTGAGATCAAAACAACAAGCAAATGAAATGCATGCAACATCACAACCTAACATGTGCAAGTGAAATATTTGCATGGTCGTTTATAACGATTTCTACGAGCACATCAATAATGGCAAGCACGTTCAGAAAATATCAAACTTTCATTATGGATAGAAGCTACAAAGAGGAACAACCGTTTTGTTTATCCCAAATTTCATTACGAGAATTTACAAAGAGGAGTGATCGATTTGCTTATCTTCATACCCTGTCTAGTGGCAAATGCTGCTGGTGGTGCCAAGGGTAGCAGTCGCTCCATAGACATGAAAACTGTGATATCACCCCTGGTTATCAGCTGATGAAGACAGAGTATTGCATGTGCTAACACATGTTGCATGTTAAAAAAAAAATCGATAGAAGTGTATGAAACTGTATGATAGATGGAAAAGTTTCCCAAATCTTCATACATAGCAAAAAAGAAACTGATTATTTAAATTCTCCAAGTTCTACAGTAACATATATTAGTATCATTTAGACAACAATTTTTAATAACACTTTTCAGCAAGGTATTTATGCTCCTGATACAACTGTTTACTTCTATCTTAGTAGCAAGTCCAGCAAGGTAAAACTGGCAACTGCTTTTGAAAGGAGCTTTGATCAGTGGTTCTAGGGCAAGGAATGGCTTGTAAATTTTAATGCCTCCAAAACAAAACTGCTTTCATGCATTCACCATAGAGAACCTTTTCAGCCTGCCATCAGCATGGCTGATGATAACCCCCAGGAGATCAACTCTTTGCACCTGTATGGGCTGATATTTTCTACTAACATGAAGTGGAGTGATTATATTAAATCATTTGCTAAGACAACTGCATGGAAAGTTGGTTCACTGTGTCATGCAAGACAATTGTTAGCTTATTCGATCACACCTTGCACATTTATAAATATACCATTCATCCATGCATTGAGTACTGCTGCCATATCTGTTCTGGTGCTCCTACTACACATCTTGAGATTCTTGACAAAATTCAGTGAAGGGTCTGTACTGTAATCGATCCAGTCACTTTCTTACCAACATAACATCACTTCTTTTCTACAAATATTTTCATGGCAATTGTTCTGATGAGCTTTCCTCCTTGGTGCCTCAGCTGCACGAATTTAAGTGTGCTACTAGATTGGTGACAACATCTCACTGTTTTATGACCTGAATGTTTCTTTTCTCACACTTCTCACCCGTGGAACTCTCTCCCAGTTTTCTGATTCTCTTTTTTTACAATCTTAAGAAATTTAAATGCAATGCCAATCATCATCTTCTGTCCTCTTAAAACCTGTTCTTTTATTATACTTTCTTCTCACTAACGTCTTCTCATTTCCCTGTAAGCCTTGTGTCCTAGTGGCATTATCACCTTACTGTGAATTTGGGCTTGCCTTATGGCTGAAAGAGTGATGTGTTTGAGACAAGTTAAAAAGCCAGGATTTTAAATATTGATCTTCATGGCAGGAAGGTCCTCCTCACAGATGTCTGTAGCAACAAAAGCTTCTTATCTCAGTCCCCACTCTCTCTCTCTCTCTCTCTCTCTCTTTCTCTGACCCAGAGATTCTCCAAATTTCATGGAATCCTTGATCCTTCATTGATTTCCAGGCACATACCCACCACCACCACCATAAAATTGCCTCTGTGCCTTTTCTATAAATACTTTCATGGTAATTGTTTGGATGAGCTCTTCACCTAGACTTCATGAATTTAAGTGCAGTAGATTGGCATTGACGGTTGAGCTGGCTAGATGTAGCCATAAGTTCTATGCTAACAGTTTCTTTTCTTTCACTTCTCGCTTGTGGAACTTCCTTCATAATAAATGACTGGATGTCAAAAAAAGGACAATAAATAAATCATGAAGGCTTACAACTAAAACGTCTCCAATTTCCAACGAAATATTAATGCTCTTAGTAACTCTCATCAAACAATTCTCCTCCATTAATGATGTCAATCAATTCAATAAAAAGGTATTTCTAATGTTTATTATGACCTATAATATTTGCAAAGTTTTTTTCTCATTTTTATTATTATTATTATTATAACTGATAGAATGGAGAGATATTATTATTAAAACCTGGAGTCCCCAAAGTGGTAGATATTGACATTTAGGATTCAATGTACTATATCATCCTCATTTTGACATCCAGGCATTTATCAACCTATTTTTGATCTACCAGTTATTTACTGACTCCCTTTGGGGACCCCAGATCTAACCACATATTCCAGATAATTCATAATGGATAATATAGTACAGAAAAGTGAATACTTTTACCAGTGGTAATAAAATAAGCACATCCCATCTCCTCTATGCATATAACTATCCATCACAATAAAATAAACGTTTTTAGTGCTAAAGCTGAATTAGTAAAATAAAGCTTCATAAGCTTCTATTTAGAGTTGTTGCTGTTGTTAAACGGTGTTCATTCTTTTTTTTTATATGTTTTTCTCTTTTTCTTCATTGGTAAAAAGCAATTATGAATTGGTTAAGCAAACACCAAAAAATGACTTTTTATCATCTGTTACATTTTTTTCATACTAAATTATTTACAGAATATTGTCCTCATCTTTGTTGTTATCACGTTTTGACTGTCATTCCCTCTGGCCCTCATCATGTGCGTGTTGATCAAAGTAATCCTCAGGGAATTTCAAACTGAATCCTTTATTTAATTTACAGATGTAGATTGTTCATATTCTGCTGACCATGTCTACAAATATCTCCCACACAGGTGTAGACTCTGTGGAAACAGGGCAGACAATAACTGAGCAGTACTAAATAAGAATTAGACAAGATATCCTGAGATAGATCATGGTCAGAGGAATGAGAACAGTCTCTCCCTAGAGATTAAATAATAGGTTCACTTTGAAAATCTCTGTGGGTTACCTGGATCACCAAGCAACTGATAAAGGTTAAAGGGTACCATGGCTGAAATAATGTAAATAATAATTCTGCATTCCAGAAATTCAGACAGAAATTATCTTAATCAAAGTTAACCAATTTTTCTTTACTTTTTCTTTAGCCTTCTTTGGCACTGCAGGATTCCTGGTAGGCACAAGTTTTGTCAAATGCACATCAGCTATGTCAGCTGTAGCATTTTTATTCTTTGCTGCTGCATTCATGGGGCTCAGTGGAGGTGGCTTCTTTGTTAATCATGTGGATATAGCTCCAAGGTAAGTGAGTCATAATGTATCAAATCAGAACTAAATTTATTATCAAAATGGCTAACAATAACATCACATTAGTTGCTATAAAATTTGTCTAATTATTTCAGTCAAAGTATTTGTCATTATTTTATATTAATGCATCTCCAACACTGTTACTACAGGCCCAAGGGACATCTTCAGTACTGTTACTACAGGCCCAAGGGACATCTTCAGTACTGTTACTACAAGCCCAAGGGACATCTTCAGTACTGTTACCACAGACCCAAAGGCATCTTCAGTACTGTTACCACAGACCCAAAGGCATCTTCAATACTGTTACCACAGACTCAAAAGCATATCCAATACTGTTACCAAAGACCCAAAAGCTTCCTCAATACTGTTACCACAGACCAAATAGTATCTGTATCACTGTTACCACAAACTCAAAAGCATCTCCATACTTTTACCACTAACCCAAAAGCATAACCTACTAATCACTAGTAATGGTCAATTGATCTAGCACATTAACCATTACCCTACTTCAAGGCACACAGAATCTTCAACAGTTATCACGGATAGTAAAAAATTTTAAGATGATGGCAACATACACATAATTCCATATAGCAGGTTTTACAGAGAAAGCAACAACTTTAATTTCCTTAAAAAAGTAAAATTCATTTATACTGTTTACATTTTGAAATTATTTTAATGTATTTGAATTAAATATGTTAATTAATTATAGGACCACATAAAGATTTATTTCTCTTAAAACATTTCAAAGACAAATATGAAAATATATATGTAGCAGTTCCTAACATGACCTTGACTGTTAACCAGAGGTTTTGCAAGAAATGTTTCAAATTGCACCACACAGATTCTAAGCCAGCTCTAACAGTTTATAAGATAATAATTGCACTTTGAGAAACATTAGTTTCATTATTTGTCTCTGGGAAAAGAGGACAGAGAGTGCAGCACTGAGATCCAAAGACATAATGGGAAGTCCAAAGATGCATTCTAAAAGCTAAGCAGAGTATTAAGAGACAGAAAAATTTCATTAGAAAAAAAGAAAAGAGTATTGAATTGTTATGTGATATCTGTCTTCTTGTATAGTAACAAATGCTGGACAATCTCCTCAGAAATGAAGAAGAGACTTAAAGCAACAGAAATGTGGTTCTACAGAAAGATGCTGAGGATACCCTGGACTGAACACATGAGCATCAACAAAGTTTTGGAGAAAATGGAAACAAAAAGGAAACTTATACTTAACAACAAGAAGTGGTTGTTGAAATTTCTAGGGTACGTAATGAGGAAGGAAGGCTTGGAAAACCTGATACTCACAGGATAGATTAAGGAAAAGAGGGACAGAGGAAATCAACATGTAACATAATTGATGAACTGGAGTAAATGGATGGTAGAACAGAGTTTAGGAGAAATAATAAAAAGACAAAACAATGGACAGAAAAATGTGGAGGACCATGATCGCCTACGTCCTGAAGGGACTCAGCACATAAAAGAATATTGTGCTAAAATTAAAACAAATCATTTTCTTCTATGTTATTACTTGTTTCATGAAAACAAAGAAAAATGATTTTTTATACTATTTACATTCAGATTATTACTATCATCTTTGTTATTGTTATCCCAACATTTCAGCTGTTGTATATTCCAGCCTTCATCAGTTGTATTTCAATCTGGGTAACCCATAGAACAATAGGCTAATGAATTATAGCACTGGTTCTAGAATTTGGTGATATAGTAATTGTGAGTTCAATCCCTGGTCTGGGCAATGTGTACTTGGATTCAGTATAAACAAGATGGGTAATAATTGAGCAGTACTAAAAATAAGAACGAGATGAGACACCCCTAGATATGGGTAGTGGAATGTGAACAGTCTATGACCGTATATTTAATAAAGGATTCAGTTCGGAATCCCCTGTAGGTCATATATGTCAGAGGGAACAATGGCCAAAACGTTGTAATAAAAACAACATAGATGAGGAAAATAATCTGCATGCCAGATGAGTTAGGTTTTCCACAGTGAATTGTCATACAGGTCAATAGCCTAAAGGTGACATACTAATTACGATTTCAATCACTGGTCTGCTGTAGTGTATACTTGGATTCAGTGGAAACAAGGTGATCAATAATTGAGTAGTACTAAAAATATGAACTAGATGATATCCCTTGACATGTAACGAGAACAGTCTACAACTGTATATTTAATAAAGGGTTCAGTTCAGAATTCTCTGTAGATTACCACAATTGATATGCACTGGATGAAGGCTGGAGCCAAAACATTGTGATAAAAACAAAGGTGAGCACAATAAGCTGAATGTAAATAAGAATAATTCCTCATCCTAGAAATTCAGAGATCAAAGAAAAATAGTATAGAAAAAGTAGAAATGCCATTGACAATATCTCTTTAAAAATTAGTTGATTTTAACTTTTATGAAATTTACCAAATTAACCAGATTAACTTTAAATTTCATTGAGCTTAGTTTAATACTTCCTCTTTTATGTGCCGTGTCACTTGAGGACATAAGTGATCATAGCCCTTCACAACTTCCTTTATCTTTTTGTGATTTCTGACAAACCCTGTTCTGCCATCCATTTGCTCAAGCCCATCAACTATGTTACATGCTGCCTTCCTCTGTTCCTCTTTCCTTCAATCTGTCCTGTGAGTATCCAGTTTTCCAAGCTCTCCTTCCTCATTATCCAATTGGCAGAAAAGGATTTGGGAAGACTGTATGGTACCAGGTTTCAAAAATGGGTAAGGGTTCAACTTGGATTCTGAGACACAGGAGTCCAGATTGCATATTCAAGGCTTGAGGTTTTGTTAATTTTTTTTTTTTTTTTTTTTTTTTTTTTTTTGTGTGGACATTTTTAAGGGTTGTAAAAACTTGTATAGAGAAAAACAATGTTATAAAATAATCTTAGATTGAAGGTTTTTGCTAGCAATGTTTTTGACATTTTTTTTTATTTTTCTTTCAAAACCTTTTACAATTTCTTTAATTTTGTTCCAACTTGAATTGTTTTGTTCTTTTACAGTTATGCTGGAATTTTGTTTGGCATCACAAATTGCATCAGTGCGCTCTCTGGATTTCTTGCACCTCTTGTGGCTTCAGTTTTAACAGGAAATGTAAGATACCCTTTACTTTAACAGAATATTAAGCAGTTATCAATAAATCTATAACCTACTTATGGAAAAAGCATATATTTGATACAAAAAATTATTTTCCCCATATAATCTTCTTTCTTGTCAATGCATCTAATTCAGTGGTGAATATTTTGCATATAGAATTATGTCGTGGGTAGTATTTTCTTCACTGGGAAACTTTGGAATAAAACAAAGTGACTCAAGAGTTAAAATAATATATTTTTATTGATTTTCTTTAGAGTGATTAGTGAGTCCTTTGCTATTTGATGTAGCAAAAAGGTTCATTGATAAGGTGAATATTGATGGCAGTCTGGAGAAATGTCCATTTCAGTGTTTTGAAGTAAGACCTTGTTAGGGATAATAGTAATCTCAGAAATTAGGTGGATGTCACTCTGCTGTGTTTTTCTTGACTCTTAGCTAGGCTAAAATATCAATAGCAAATGAGTTTTTAACTGCTTCTTCACATGTCACACATGGTAGGTTTCTAAACAGTTGTGTTCTTTTGTTCCATCCTCTTCTGCTATCCTTCTGCCACTCACCCATGCAGTCAGGTTTATATCCTTTTTACCAGGCTCAAGAATTTGGTGCAAACATTGGTTTAGGTAACATCAAAAAGTCTCTTTGTGTCAATTGTTTTGATTGGCCAAATTATTTTATTTTCTGGCCTTCCTTTTTCATTTTTTTTTTCTTTTCATAATGCAAATTATGCAAGGAGCCTCCCTGATTTTTAGTGTTTTCCAGTCACAAATATGTAGGCTCTGCTCCTGCAATCTTCTGGCATTTTTGGCTGGGTTCAGTCTTTTCTTCTTCTTCTTCCACTTTTTATTTGGGGGTTACCTTCTCATAGGTTGAGAGAAATATAGAAAGAGAAGTTTAGAGAGAGGAAGAAAGAAAGAGAGAAGGGCTTTTAAAGGAAAGCACAAATGCATTATTTTAATTTGAATTCTTTTTATTTTTTGTTTATATATTTTATTTGTTTTTTTTATCAAGAATAACTACAGAGTGAACATTATACATTGAAATTTCCAGATAATAACTGTGTTAGGCTATGAACTTATTGATTCGCCTTTATGCACAGTCAATTGTAATGAAGTCCCACTGTAATGTAAATATTTATTGAGCTTAGTCTAGTTAGACACAAATCAAAAAGTGAAATGGCAGATTTTATTACACCAAACTTTTCAAAGCTGTTAGATCACCACCACCCCAACTTGAAAGTTTGATGCAGGCCAGTTCTAGGGTATCGCCCCCTGATCCCCAATACTTTGATATGGGGTGTGGGGGTGTCCCCTTTCTCTACTACATATCAATTTCAAAGTTTCCCAACCTGGAAGCCACAAGCTCTCAGATGAAAATTGGAGGGGAAGGGCAGCACTTTTTTAAATTACCAAAAATCAGGGAATTATCCAATTTAAATGAAAATTTCAGTATATATTCATTAATTATTTACTTTTATAATGAATAGGTTTTTTTATTTTAAAAAATCTGAGTAAATGTTATTATTTTTGTTATAACCACCAATATTTTCATGACTAAATTTTACTCAAAATAAAATGTTTAAGTCACAAATTTCTACATTTTCATCTCCACTGAAAAAATACTTTTACAAAGCTATTCACAAAACAAACAGGATTATCTTTAAAATTTGTTTTAAAAACAGTATTTCAGTTTTTGGGAAAATTTTTCATGTGTTGAAATCTTTAAACATTTTTATTTCTTAAGTTATCATTTTCTTGGTTTTATCTTTCTAGAAATTTAAAAAATAGAGACTAGAAATGTTGTTTTAAATGCTAGCCATGGAATTCTGGTTAGTATTACTATTAGTAAAAAAAAAACAAATCAGAGATCCTTCTTAGTGGATGATCTTGGAATAAAAAAATGAAAATGATTTTACCAACATATATTACCCTCTTAATTGATTTAACAGAAATATCCAGAAAGAAAATTACAATTTAAAAAAATAAGCTCTACTGAAATTAGCACTTCTGCCAGTGCTACCTCCCCATTAGTCAAGGGGCCCCCATGCAGTTGAGAGATTTGGGGTAGTAAGCTACAGCTTTGCTACAGCTTTGTTGATTATCATAGATGATGATTGACAATATGATTAACTTAGGTAGAAAAAAATAAAAAGTACAAAAAGCAAAAAAGAAACCGCTGCTGAAACTAGCCCTTTTAGGACTCCAACCTCATCAGCAGTTCCTGCGTAGTACGCACCACACCAGCCATGCAGATACATGATGTATATTATTATTAATTGATAAAAAATGACTAATAATGTAACGTCAGTTTAAAAATAATTAAAAAAAAAAAATGACCATAAAACAGTGCTAAAAAAAATGGCAGAGTCCACAATGGACCCGCCCCAAAATTATTAAGTTTTCCAGGGTGAAAGCTCATTGGGAGAGATCCAGATGAGGGCCTTTATCGCTCTCTGGAGAGCCCTCCCCCATGATTGACCATGTCTTCAGTGGTGTAGCCATACTCACCATACTTGGGCAATTGCAGGTTGGTGAGGCTATTTAACCCATAGTCAGATGTTTTGAAATCAGAGTTGTCTTTCTCTGAGATCAGCTGCCACCCAAGGCTATAGGACCCAATCTGTCCTACTATTTACCCATATCTGGGGGAGAAGAGATAGATTAATACCTTTCCCAAGAATATATGCATATAAGTGAATATAACAAACTCAACTGGAATTCAAATTTGCCTCTTTGATTCCTCAATCCAAACCTCTATCCATTACTCCAACATGCCTCCTCATTTAATATTAGCATATGCCATATTTTTCAAACCAGCATGCCCATTTGGATGATTATACTCAAAACATTTCAATTATTTTATGCCCTGGCCTTCTTCAAGTGTCTTTGTAATTCTCAGAATTTTTAACCAACCTTTTTATTCAATCCACAGTTCTTATTGTTCTTATTCTGTTTTCCATACTTAGGGGAGATAAACCATATCAGTTAATAGTCACCAGTCTTATTCACCTTTGTGTTACTTTGTCTGTTTCTTCCACTGAACCAGAGTATATGACCTTTCAGCACTATCAGAGCCAGGGATTGATAACTGTGAGAGAGCCATGTTCAAGGAATACTCGCCAGTCATATTTCCATTTGTGTCTCTTGTCTGTTTCTTAAACTGAACCAGAGTCTATAACTTTTCTACTAGACTACCAAACCCAGAAATTGAATTTCCAACTGCTCAGGAACCAGATATATTTTAACCAATGCATTAATTCATTTGGCTATGTGTCTTATTTATTTCATTTGTAGCTTTAAGTACAAGGCAAAAAGGATCTGTTGTTATCTTTACTTTGTTTACTTGAACATGAACAAGAAAATGCACAGCAACATAAAGTTTTTGATATTCTGTAAATAGAAAACAATTGCAAAATTACAGTCAGTCTTTATGTCATGGAAAAACTAATTTAAATAAAAGAAAATAAATAATGACCTCATTACTCAAGCATCCTGTTTGGTACCAAATAGATTTGACATTGGAAGATACGCCAGAAAGAATTAAGAAAAGAACAAGAATAATATGGAATAGGAAGTCATTAAGAGAAGGAAGTTGTTTGATGAGGTCCTGTTCATAAAATAATTTGTCTAAATTTATTTCTATGAACCATTTTATGAAAAACAATCTTGTATTTTCAAAGTTATTTCTTATGCTTAAAATTATGAGCCTTGGCATTTGTTTAATTGTGAAGAGAACTGAAATTCACTATGTTGCCGATCCTGGCTTCCCACAATTTTCTGTACTTTGTAGCTTTTCTTATATCTTTATTTACATTATTTACATTGTCCAGTCCTCATCTTTATTGCCATATTGTTGTATGCTCTGGCTTTCTTTAGGTGATTGGAATTTTGAACTGAACCCTTTATTTTGTCCACCAGGGTAGATTGTTCTAGTTCCATGTCTTCCACATCTTCTAGATGTCACAGTTATCTCCCTTTAACTCAACTCTCCAAACCAGGTATTGAACTCTTTGGGTCAAGTCACTGGATCCAATCAACACTTTTATCCACTGGGCCATGTGTCCTTAAGAACATCAGTGTATGAATTTTTGGGATTTATAAACTTAATGTCTCAGTAACCATTTTTTACCAGAGCTCATGTTAAATTTTGTTGTTATTATTGCTTTTCTCTGGTACTCCATATTATTGGTTCCCATATTTTATTCATGTCTATGCTTAGGAAGCGGCATGATATGTGGAACTAGAAAAATCTACCATAGTGGACGAAATAAAGGGTTCAGTTTGAAATTCCAATCATCTGAAGAAGGCCAGAGAATACAACAGCCGAAACGTCATAAACATAACAATAAAGTTAATTAAAAGGAAGCATTTTAGTTTTGGAGATGTCCAAGTTTACAAGTAATTTCTTGCTTCAGATAACATACTGATTGGAGGTCATTTTTGAGATTAGTTGTCAATTTGACATTATATTTGATCAACTTAGGAGTTTCATGTCAAAACACTCATCAGGGCCAGATGCTTAATATATCTGTTAAAATAATTATCACATTGGATAATTTCAATGGATTTATTGAACTGATTAGTCAACTGTACTTGTGTTTGATTTATTGAATGTGATACTGTATAAAGAAATAAGTAGCCCAATTTCAGTTGGGATGGATGATTTTTATCAGTTCTCTGATCCTGGCTGTCATTGAAAAATACCACTGAGCCAATTTATTCACATGTATTCGCAACGCATACATTCATGTAGAGACACACATACAGACTTCATGCCATTCAATTCAACTCACCTGAAACAATTTCCATGGATGACTACTTCCTTACGAACTTACACGTACATGTTTGTACATACACATTAAGATTCCTTTTTCATGTATACAAGAGCCTTCATCTTTGAACATGTTAGAATTTGAAATTAATTTATCCTCCCATCTGTAAATATATCAAACTATATAAAATAAAATTAACATAAACTCTGTTTTTCTATTCTCATCTTTAGTGATTTTCTTTCACCCTTTTTACAATGCTTCTTCAAGATATATTTAAATATGTTTGAAACAGTACAGAAACGTATTATGGCATAAAAAGCAAGAAATTTTATATTAAGGGCCATGATAAATTTAAAATAAAAACAAAAACACGCACACCAGTCGACCGGTTTCATCCCCTCTCATCAGAACTGTTAACGGGGAACACAAATTATGAAGAAAAAAAAAAAAAAGAAAGTCTGTTGTCATGGATGACGTGAATGAATGGACAGGGAGAAGAAAAAATATATAATTATAAAAAGGTCACCTGGACCTGATGTACAACATCTCCAACACCTTAAGATGGAATAATGAGTGTGCTCTGGCCAAAACGGAAAACCAGTTCACACTAAAATCCATCATTGTACATCAGGTCCAGGCAACCTGCTCTTTGTAAACAAAGAGATTGTTTGCTTGGACTTGCTATGCTGCACTTCTAGCATCTTTGTTGGTATAATTTCTATAATTATATATTTTTTCTGGTCTCTGTCCATTCATTCACGTCATCCATGACAGACTTTCTTTTTTTTTTCTCTTCATAATTTGTTCCCCATTAACAATTCTGATGAGAGGGGATGAAACCGGTTGACTGGTGTGCGTGTTTTTGTTTTTATTTTAAATCTATCATGGCCTATAATATAAAATTTATTGCTTTTTATGCCATAATATATATATATACACTATTTACATTATTTGGACTATTGTCCTCATCTTTGTCACCATATTTATTACTACATTTCGACCATTCTACACTCCGTCCATCTTTAGGTGGTTGGAATGTCATACTGAACCATTTATTTTGCTCACTGGGGTTGTAATAAATATGGTGACAAAGATGAGGAGAATAGTCCAAATAATGTAAATAGTGTACATAATACCTCATCTCAGAAATATAGACACGTATGTGTATATATATATATATATATATATATATATATATATATATATATTTAATCATTTCACCTCAAGCAAGGTAGTAATGCTACTAGTATACAGGGAGTTACATGGAGTGAAAGAGAATGGAAAGACTGAGAATAGGGAGGATTGAGGAAAGGACAAAAAAATGAACAGGGTTGAAAGAGACCGAAGATGATGATTGATGTTGCATTTAAATTTTTGAACCTTGTAGATATAAGGATAGCAAGGAAATGGAAGGGAGTTCCACAGATAGGAAGTGTGAGAACTGTTGGAGTAGAAATGGCAGTTGCATTTAGCTATTTCAACAGTAAAATAGTGGGAACTAGATGCCAATCTAGCAGCACACTTAAATTCATGTAGATGGAGCATCAATAAAAAAAAAACTTGTTAGTACAATTGCTATGTAAATATTTGTAGAAAAGACAGGGTAGCCACATCATGTCCTGTCAAACAAACAAATGTTCAAAAAGACATTTTTTTTTTACAAAAAGTTTTCCTTTAAATAAAATCAAATGAATATATACATTTTTAATTAAAGAACAAAGATTTACATAAATTAATAAAAGTATATATCCATTTATTCTTCATTTAAGATAAATAATTATTATCTCTCTATGTTTACATTTTGAAAAAAATCCCATAAAAAAAACGTTTTAAAAAAAAGATATTAAAAAAAAATTTCTAAAATACAGAAAATTAAACAAAAATAAATGCATATATCAATGATTTAGGCACAGTTTCAAAATTTACATTTATAAATATCAATTCAGATAACTTTATAAAAAGTTAGGGATTGATTTTTCACTGCATCAATATTATGAACAGGACCCCCACTTTTAAATCAACAAAAATTTCTTGATTCTGTCAAATGTTGTGTCCTGAGAAAAGGTCTAAGAAATGTTAATCTACAAAAACTATTTCCAAAAGAATTTTTCCCATTTTTTTTTTTTTTTTTTTTTTTTTGAGTGGACCAGTGTATTCCATAATATTTTTATATATGCATATTTTAAATTTCATTCTTTTTTCTTTTGTTCCAATCATTTCAGCACACACAGTCAGAGTGGCAGCGAGTTTTTTTTGTTTGTGCTGGCCTTTCTGCATTTGGGGGTATATTCTTTGCAATATTTGCTAAAGGTGAAGTCCAGACATGGGCAGTCCAGGAAAAATCAAACATCCAGTTGGAGAGAAAGCGGAGTATATACATCCAGAGAACCAGTGTTGGTACAATTGAGTAATTGCATGTGCTTTCTAGAATTCACCTCTGCCTGCCTACCTGCCACGCTATCTGTGTTTCTAATCACATTTTTCTTGCTATTTATTTTCTTTTTCATTCATTTCTTCTATTGAAATAAAGAGATTGGATAAACCCTCTTTGTTACACAATATGTCGTCATCATATTCAAATTTAACAATTCAAGCTTAAAACCAACAATTTAACAATCCTAGTTAATGTCAACAATTTAACAATCCAAGCTAACATCAACAATTTAACAATCCAAGCTAACATCAACAATTTAAATAACCAAGTTAACACTAACAATTTTAGAATCCAAACTAATGCCAACTGATTCATTTTTTTAGACCTGTTGCAGCAGTAGGGAATAGATTTTTTAGATTATTTATAAAAAATGAAAATCTGTTAAATTTTATTTTAAAAGTGTCTTTATGAAATGCTGTTAAATCAAAAAAATTATTTTTAATTGGCATATAAAACAAAATAAAATTAATCCTTGATTATAAAATAAAATTTAATCTTAATTTCATATCAAAACCAAGAAAGGATGAATAACAGTGTCCAAGTCACAAAACAGTGAAAAACTGTTTTGTAACTTTAGTTGAAAGTATCAAATATAATTAGTTAGACCTGCAGCAAATTTGAGAGCATCTGATCAGGTTTTTCCTTTTCAATTCATTGGTAAGAAATGAAAAATCTACAACAATTTATCCATTTCATTGAATCTTCATAAAAAATTACCAAATTTGTAAAGACAACAAGGTCATTTTATACTGGCTGAAGCAAATTGGGTCAATGTATTCTGTTTACTGTAAGACATGTAAGAATCATGGTTTTCATTGTTTTGAACATATCAATTACTGGTTATTGGTTGCTATTAATAGTCAATGCTAAAAAGAGAATTTCTTGTATGTTATTCAAGTCTTTTTTATACTTGCTGCCAACCATGAATCCTTTAATCAACATATGTGGCCCTTAAAAAAAAAAGAATGTTATATTCCGTGCTACTAGGAATATATACTTGAAAAACAAGGTGGATAACATAAGTAGAGGTTTATTGTAAAAAACTAGTACAATAAGAATGAAGGTAAAAGTTATGTACAAGGTCATCGCAAGTGTTTTTACACAGTCTACAGTCTAGATATTGTTAAGGAAATATTAATAGCATTTGTGTATCAAGAGAAACTAAAACACAGATTGATTCTAAAACTACCAATAAATACAGAAGAAAAGGAATAGTTGATCTTTCAGCAAGTTGCTGATTCTGCAATGACAACTGTTTTGTACCTCAGTGATCACTTTTCATCTATATTCAAGTGGCTTGCTTTGTCTCCAGAGCCCAATCCCATAGAAATTGTTTGGGGAATGATAGCAAGGGATATGTGCACTGGCAAAGCCTATTATTTTACTCTTGAGAAAAAAGACTATCAGTGGAAGATAGAATTGTGGAAGAGAATTCATCAATTTAATCAGTGACAGATCATGCCATTTAGGTTTTGAAGACGAACAGTGAAACCGTAAAGTATTAACTTCTTGCTAAATAATTATTTGTTAATGTAATATCGCAGCTCAGACCAGACCAAACCAGACACCAGGTTCAATCTCAGAGTGCAGCTTCTTCCAGTCAAACGTTTGTGGCTTAAAAATAACACTTCAGCCAGATTGTCACCCATGAATTAAGACCATGAGATTATTTGTAGGCAGATTTTATTCTGGTTGTATCCTACCCTGGTAGATGAGCAAAACAGGTGAGAGAGAGATAAACAGTCTAATGGGTGTCTTCCCTTTTACATCACTACAAAGGTGGCTTCTGTCCCTCCCTGTGCCTTTGCCTTTCCCTGGGTCTTTCTGTCTCTTTGTTTTCTGCTGATAGTAACTACTATCTTATAAAAAACATTATTCTTTGTCTTGTCATCTTTGTCTAAAAAAAGTAATCTACCAAGGTTTAACTTCATTTATTGACCCTTCCTGTCAGAGCCATTTACCATGGTACTTGCGAAGTCCACTTCACTTAGCTGATAATCATCAAGTAAATAAATACCTGAAGCAATTTTTGTGACAGCTCAGGTGTTTCCATTTGACAAGATATCAGCTGACACAATAAAAACAATTGATTTTTGTTTTTTTCTTTTCATAATTACTGGGCATCAGTTTTTATTTTTTTAAAGTGTTCCCTAAAATGAATAATAAAAATTAAAATTTTACAAACATGAAGAAAAAAACTTTAAATCTATCTTTAAAAATCCAAACTAATTTTTAAACAAAATTTCACTAAAATTGTTAACATTTATAATTTTTGAACTGAGTGTATATGATTAATTCATACCTGATTTCATTGACATTACATAGGGTGTGGTAGAAATACATCCCATAATAGTGGCAATAGTGTCTTTATCTAGCTAATGTCTTACCATTCATTAGTAGGAGGTTTTGTTGCCACAGCCTGTATAATTGATTAATGCTTAATTCTTTGCTTACTGCTTTTATAGACAGTATTTTTAAGCTTTTTAAAACATTCTCCATTGTGCAATTAATTGCATGCTCAGGTTGAAAGCTGTTGTTAATGAGTTAGTTTCTCACTGTGTGCTGCACTAATATTGCTTTGTAATGTTCTATGCTTAGCTAACAAAAAAATGATGCTGAAGAAAATGATCAGATTCTGAATTCTTTATTCTAGCAATAAATTTTGTCTCTATAGTAATGGTAATATTAGTAGTTTCCCTACAAGGAAACATTTAACATTCATTGACTAAGCAGCCTTTACTGCTTTTGGTTTTCTCTTAAAACTTTTTTTCAGGAAAACAGGTTTCTCAAGTCCAGTAGCTATTATTGTTCTTTCCAGTATTTGTGCTGACTTTCCTTCCTAATCTTTTGTTTAAAGTAGTTTGGAATGTCAACATCTTAATTATGCCATTATTTTCTCTCTTGCCATGATTGGCAACCAGTCTAAGAGAAGCACAACTTTGTATGGAAAACAGGTTGGGTAAGAGAGCGGCAACTCGACTCTATAAAAACTTTCTTGCTACAGAAACTACAGTATAGTGTGGTGAGGCTGTGACCCTAGACTATATAGGAGAGTCTAAACGGTTAACATGCACACACTGTGACATTGTACCAAATCTAAGCTGAGCAGTTGACCAGGAATGGTTGCATTGGTATTGAATTAACCATTAATACTGAGTTTGATCCTCACTGGGTGCCCCATATTTGTAATCTTATACAAATATGTTTATAATGTGCGATGGATAAATTGTCGTCATTTCATATTTCTAATTTCACACATGCATGTTGTTGACTACACAGTATAGTAGGGTCAGTTGGACACTGTGAGAAAAAGAGCACCATGATGCAATTCACTCCACCAGAAATTTGAAAACATGTTGTAATACTTGGCATTCACTATGGAAGCTCCAATACAAACATTTCAAAGTGTTTAGGTGTCAATCTGAGGACAGTGCAGACGATTCATAAAGAGTTGGATGAGTCTAATGGTGATTACAAAGATATGGCAGCTCAGAAAACTCATTTTGATCATTCTGATAAGAAAAGAACTCCCAAATTTGTTGGTGATGGTCTCAGATGCAACACAAGGGCCTAAATCAAGTGCCTTGAGGAGGTAGTGCTACCCTGAGTAAAGAGGGTGGCTGCTGGGAGACCTTATGTCTGGCAACAGGACTTTGCATCATGCCACACATGCTGGATGACCCAGTTATGGCTGTCAGACAATTTCTTCAACCACATCGCCCCATACATCTGGCCACCTAACTACTCAGACTGCAACCCACTTGATTATTATGTGTGGAGTGCAGTTGGGCAAGAGACCAAGAAAACTCTTTGTAAGACCAAAGATGAACTGAAGGCAAGGATTATGGCATCATTTATTAACTTAAACAAGGAGACCGTCCAGAAGAGTTGCAGAAGATTCCGAAGTCGGCTTGAGGCTGTGATTGAAGCTAATGGCAACTTTATTGAATAAATGTACTCTTTAATATTTCAAGATATTTTGAGTAATTTTGGTAAATATATCTATTAAAATGAGATGTCAGTGATATTATAATTTTTGCATAATTCAGATGACAATTTATCCATCGCACCCTATATATATGAGCAATTTCTTTTTATGTATTGTTGTTCATATGAGCCATTTTCTGTTCGTCCCTGCTGATATGTTCTGCTATACTGGCAGTTGTGAAATAGTGAAATTTACCCAAAAAGTCCAGGGAGAGTGTATCAGTAAATGCTCATCAATGCTAATCAACTGATACCAGTTCTCATCAACTAAATTCTTACATAACTGCTGTGAACAGTAGCAATTATTAAGGATTTAAAATATATATATTTTCATCTTTGTTTTAATTATCATGTCTTTTAGTTCAGATGATAGCATCCTTTTGGATAAATTGTAGAGACAAAAACAAAATTCTCTGGTTTTTAGTGAGAAAGATTCCAGTCAGTATCAAGTAGGTTCTAGTGACACAAAGAAACAGAGAAGGGAAATAACCCCAGAGAATGACTTACCTAAGTCATTATGGATGGGGATTCCCCTTCCAAGTAATAACACCTTTCCTCTCTCTCTCTTCCACCTCACCATCTTACCTATTCTAACAAGAGTCATCAATAAAGGTAAAGTGAAGTTAAATGTTCTTTTATTATTTATCATTTGTCATTTATATTTATTTATTATTATTGTTTTCTGCATGTAAAACTATAGTTATTCTGTATAAAATGCATTTTTTTCTTTTGCTATTTTTGGGTGTGTGGAAAGCATTAATTGGATTTACATTATTTCTTATGGAAATATTATCTCAGTTTTCATGCATTTCAGTTTTCAGCCAACTTTCTGGAACAGATTATGCCCAATGACTGCAGTTCAACCATAAATCTGTGGTTGTAGAACAATGACAGAAACCAATTTATACAAATAGCCTTTAAGACATTTTATCAAGGATATCAGACTTAATCGACAGAGTTTTATCATTTAGATAATAAAAAGCAACTTCTGGCAAATGTTGGTCTGACACTTCTTTTAATCTGGACAAAATTAAAAATGAGCTTTAAAATTTCATGTCATTGCTTAATTGACTTGACAACTACAGGTGAGGTTGTATATAGCAGTAGTTTAATGTAGGTTTCTAGGTCAATGAATGATTGATTGAGTGATTCGTTTTCTATGGCTTATCAACCCTTTGCAGGTTATTTAAAGCCAGAAAATATTTTTTAGATTATAAGAATATATTTTGACAATAATAATGGTTTACAGGTCTTACTAATTTCTTCTTTTAATTTCTTATTTTTAATCAGTAGATTGATTCGTTTTTACGGCTTATCAACCCTATTTTTTAGATTGTAAGAATATATTTTGGCAATAATAATGGTTTACAAGTCTTACTAATTAATCCATAGCTGGAAGTTTGAAGTGATGAAGTCATACTTTTCCCAATGTTATTTGTGCATAAGTGAATATAACAAACCTAACTGGAATTGGAACTTGTCTCTCTGATTTGAAATTCGAAGCCATTTTCCATTGCACTAGCTGCACATCCAAGCTTACAGCACCTGGTATTCACACATGATCACCCATCTAGGTACTGACCAGGCTTGATGTTGCTTAACCAGTGAACGTACATGAACTGATGTTTCAACATGATATGGCTGTAATTCTCTAAGAGTCAATGATGCCATAGAGATAAGATATGTACGCACCAGAATTTTGTTTGGCATCTCTTTTTGTTTAGGCCAAAAACATTTCAATATTAATAGTCTGTCAGTGTAACTTGCTAAGAAAGGAATCTGTAGCAATACAAAGCATTCTTTTATTTTGGTATATTCACCAGATGATTATTTGAAAGATTTTAACAAAGAGAAATTCTTTCATTGGTGTTTTTTTTTTATCTTTTCATTTCTGATAGACAAAGATCCATTGTTATTTGTCCATTTCAATAACTCTCTTTTTTTTTTAGCTAGATGTTAAAAAACCAATTGCCAGCAGAGCTATTATATCACTTTTCCCTCCCTATTTCCCTGGCACTACAAAGAGACAACAAATTAATAGCAAGCAAATTCTATTTATCACAGATGAAAAGTACACTTTTTTTTTTTTTTTAAGCCCATTACAAAAATTCAACATTAAATAAGTCACCCAAGATTGAAATGTCATAAAATCAACCAGGTCAACCCTACCCAACATCTTTTTTGATGAACCTCAAAAAAATCCTGATCATATTTCACCTTGTGTAAATCTGATCTTTACTGTGGAATGATGTTACCTTATTTGTGTGTGTGTGTGTGTGTATACACCCCTGGTCAAAATCTTAAGACCAGATACAAAAGGGTTAAAAAAAATATAAAATACTGTTACTTTAGTGAAAAAATATTTGCGAAACATTTAATTAGAAAATGTAGTTTATCAACAAACAAGTGAACATTTTAAGCTTTTAATTGATTAATTTAAACAAACATTGAAAAAGTTTTTTTTTTTTTTTTTTTTTTTGGTTGGTCCTAAAGATAAGAGCATGTAAATGAAAATAGCAAATACAGAACAAATAATTCACAATGGCAATTTAATTCTCAGTATATCCTTCTTTTTTATGAATTACTTCGAATATTTGCTTTGGCATATTTATTATTAACTTCTGCATGAGGGTGCTTGGGATGCTCACCCAGGATGCATAAACTGCAGCACGAAGAGCATCCACAGTTTCAAATTGTGATCCATGTTTATAAACATCCTTTGCAAGTGAAAAATTAATTTCAAAAACAAAATACTTTAAAAAATAAACTTATGGGCTTTGCCATGATTAACCAATCGAATGTGACCTACACTAAATTCAAATTCACTAGAAAAAATTTTTTAATATAGCTCATGACAAAGTTGTCTGCATATAAAACCTAGACAATTTCCTTATGGGCAAATACAGATTGTTACATTGAAGTATATTGAATGTATTGAAGTCTGACGCTCAAACTTCCCAAGAACTAAAAATTAAAGAGATGCAGTAGGGTAATTTAACATAATGCTATCCAGTTATATGCTCATTCAGCTTTTTACATAAAAGTTTAGAAATTGTAACAAATTTTATGTTAAACTTACATAAATTCTCAGTTCTTGTTGTGATAGAGTTGGTGGGTAGAACAATTTATTTTGATTTACAGGGTTTGTCAAGAAGGTCCAGTTTTCTATTCTTAAATATTTTACAAGCCCTTTTGTTTCTTGTTAAATATGAAATAATTAGGCTATTAGAGGAATTTAAAGGTATTTTCAATATATTTTTCCTGTAAATAGTGAGGAGCTACAAATTTGAAATGCTCTTAAATAGAATCCAATGATTACTCTGGATTTTATTTTGTTCTGGTGAAAATTTTTAAGATCATTTTTACTAGTTGATTTTCAATGAACACCTGGTTTTAGGCTATTGTTATTACAGTGTAACATGATATCAAGAAAAGGTAATGTATTGTTTGTTTCAATTTCTTAAGTAAATTCTGTTGTATGTTCTTTCCAATTGTAGCTGTGATAGATATATTATTTTACCGCCCCAATTTTTTTTTTTTCAAGATGAAAAACAAAGGTCACAGTAGAGAAATAAAAATGCAAATTCTGTTTCTAATATTATATTTAGACATTTTATTTAGAGCTTCACCTGGGTGAATAGATATGTGACACTTGGGACAACTTTTGCTATGTTGATCTCATAGAACAGCTCTTCTCTGATATGTCGCTGGTAATATGAACAGGTGGCATTGGAACCATGCAATGGACAAGTTTGTCTAAGAGTGAACCAGAACTCTCTGAGCATAATTGTTTATATAGACCAGCACCTGGATATACCATAGTTTTGTTGCTCTCAATTACTCTTTTATTCTTCTGTTTCCCTTCAGTCAAAGTGGATGCCATTTAGAAGACCAGACTTTAAAGAAATCATCCACTAGCCATAAAACCAAAACATTTGAGATCAAGATAAAATCTCACCTTCTTCCTCCACATCAATGTCACAGTATAATGGTTTTCCCCACTAAAAATGGAATCAGATAAATGAGTTCCAATTTTGGGATTATGTTCATTTCCAAAGAATTCCTTCAGGAAAGCATGATTCCACTTTTTTCTTGTTCTGTTTCATAGCCAGACATCTTGACAAAGGTTGATTGACAGAGAAAAGAGAATAGGTGAAAACTTGAGAAAACCACATACTTGCTAAGATAGTAAAAAAAAAAGTCGTTTTCCCCAATTGTTTACCATGGTTAAAACTTTGCTAAATACAAAGTTTCTTGTACTGAAATCATTGATGATTTGGGTAAGAAATATTTCCTTGGAAATTGAATCTCTAAGTAAACTACCAAAAAATTAATAAAAAAAAAAAAACACATACCACTGACTTTCCAGAATAGTTGGTTCCAGAATCCTGACAGATTATTAATTTTGCCAGACCAATAGAAGTCATGTAATAACAAAACTGATAATACACATCTGATCCATTAAAATTATACATCCCTCCTATCTCAACAATGTGATCAGCTATTGGAAACTTGTATCAAACTCATGCTACATGCAACACCACCTGTGATTGCCCAGTGAATTAGTCTGGCAATCACAAGAAATTAAAAAATTTGCTTGTAATTTTGTTCAGATTCAAGGAAGTGCAAGACCAACACTTTTTTTATAATCATTTCACCCCAAGCAAGGCAATAATGCCACTAAGATACAAGGCATTATAGGGAGTGAAAGAGAATGAGAAAACTTTAGTGAAGAGAAAGGACAATAAAAGAACAGGATTCAAAAAAGCAGAAGATGGCAGCTGACATCACATTTACATTTTTGAAGACTGTGGGTGGCAGGAAAACAAGAAACCAGAAGAGAGTTCTACATATGGGAAATGCAAGAAAAGAAACTATTAGAATAGAACTTAAGGTTACATCTCGCTATTTCAACAGTAAAACAATGAGACCTAATTGCCAATCTAGTAGTATGTTTGAATTCATGTGGTCAAAGTAACAAGGAGGAGAGTTCATTAGAACAACTACCATAAAAATATTTATTGAAAAGCCACATGATGGTGGTGGAAAAATACTTGAAGTCAAGATTCCAGTTCTGGACTGATATTACAGACCATTCTTTGATGTTTTGTAAAGAATTTCAAGATATATATCTGGAGTACCAGGCTAGATATAGCAGCAATATTTATTACATGGATAAATGGTAGATTTATAAATGTATGAGTTGCAAAAGAAAAATTTATGGTACATTTGTGTATACAGTGTAACCCGGATATAAGAGATTTTCTCTGGTCCCAAATTAGAGCCTGTGTTAATGTATATAAAATAGACCAAACCCGGATATAAGAGACTTCTTCTCCGGTCCCGACAACTCTCTTATATCCAGGTTACACTGTATATATATTTGTTTAATTTCTTTCTAAAATTTAAATACTGTTTTTTCTTTTTCTTTACAGAGTTGTTGGATATTGTGTTGTCAGAAGAAAAAAGCAGAGTACAAACTTTAAAGAGATTTTGGCTAGCATTTTCCCATATTCTTGTCCATTTGTATAAATGGTCCTCCCATTTTTCCCCCAAAAAATGCATGCACATTCAGTTTGTTAATAGTGGCTGTGCTTATGACTTGAAAGTTAAATTATCACACAAAGATAAATGTTCAGAATAAAAGTGTGGAATTAAAAGCACTTCACGTTTATGCTTAAAGGATACTTTAGCTGAAGTGTTGAAAATGTTCAGGAATATAGAAAAAAGCCTTACAAAGTTTTAAATTAATAAATTATTTTAATATATTCAGAATGTCTACCAAAATATACAAATTAATATTATTACTTGAAAGTTAATTAAGCTCTCTGACAAATAAATAAAAATTACAATCAAAATTAAAAATTCAAGTAGAAAATATCTACAATTAAAAATATTATCTGTCTATAGTGCTGAGTAAGGTATTATGATTATTTACATTATTTATCTTATTCGGACTGTTATCCTCATCTTCATTGCTATATTCATAACATTTTGGCCGTTGTACTCTCTGGCCTTCTTCGGGTGATTGGAATTTCAAACCGAACTCTTTATTTCATTCACCAGGTTAGATTGGCCCAGTGGATAAAGGCGTTGGTTAGATCCAGTGACTAGATCCAAAGAGTTGTGAGTTCAGTACCAGACTAAAGCAGTCGCGAACCCAAAAACTTGGAGAGTTAAAGGGAAATAACTGAAACATTTGGAAAAGGCATGACACATGGAACTAGAACACTCTAACCCTGTGGCTGAAATAAAGGGTTTGAAATACCAATCACCTGAAGAAGGGTGGAGCATACAACATTCGAAACATGGAGAATATGGCAATGAAGATGTGGATTACAGTCCAAATAACGTATAATAATTAAAAATATTAATATCTGGCTGGAAGCAAAGTTCATGCAGATTTTATAAATAAATTTTATTATTTTGAAATGACAAATACTTTCCTTCCAACCAGATATAAATCTTTTTCATTATATAGAAATAATTTTTTTGCATATTTAGGGTGTCTAGTAAATGTATACACACTTTAAGATAAAATTTGATAAACATTTAAGTGCATTGTTCAATTTCTATATTGTAGTTTATTTATATCTCTCTATGCCAGTCTGTTTGCATCTATGTGTAGAAGAGAGGTATCAACATACTGACACTTTATTAACAGGAATATTACCCGAAATATAATTGTCTTTCATTCCATCTATGCTAATCTGTTTGCATCTATACGTATGAAAGAGAAGTGTCTCCAAATTATGGACATTTTAACTGGAGTTTTATCTGAAATATGACTGTCTCTTTTTCTCTCTATCTATGGCAGTCTGTTTGTATCTGATTGTGCTTTTGTTAAAGAGAGAGGTTATTTCCAATACTTACAGATGCTTTGTTTATTAATATTCGCTAATATTACCTGAAACTAAATTAGAAACTTATAATAAAGAACAAAACTTTATAAATATCAAGTAAATATTTTTGAAAATTCTAAAAGAAATCATTGTCATTGTTTCACAAGTTAACCTCATATAAAAAGATGCAAATATTTGTCCAAATAACTTATGGAATTATAATCAATGTCTCTGTATATACAGAATTTATAAAAAATGTATACAGACATTTTTAATATATCATTTAGTAACCATGAACATTGTTCTATCTCTGTATTGCAGTCTTGTATGTGTTTCTCTGATTATGCCAGTTTGTTCATATCTGTCTGAAAGAGAATGTTCACAGAATGAACAGACAATTGTTTATTATGAGAAACTAATATTGCCTGAAACACAACAATCTGTGTGTGTGTGTGTGTGAGTGAGTAACCAAAAAAGAAAGTGTGTCACCAAAATGTATTGACACTAATATAGGTACCTCCACTAATTTATGATACTTAAGGTTTAACATGAATTTTTAAAAAATGAAGCTTTCATTTTAGCTTTAAAGCTAAATGATCAAATTTACTATTTCCAGTAAGCAAAATACCTTGGTGTATTTCAAACAGAAATTATATTGATTGGAATCTATTTTCATTTTTTTTTTTTGTTACTAAAATAGCTGATCAGCAACCCATTTTTAGTCATCTTTCATCGCAATGTAATTCTTTTTATTAAAAAATCTTCCAAAAAATGAAACACTTTCTGAAACTTTACTTGAGCTAATTTAAAGTATAATTATTTACTTTAAGTTTAAAGTAACACAGAAATGTATTTTTTAAATTAAACAGTAGCTGTATTTTTAACTGAAAATAACCATGTTTACATGTCTGACGAGTAATAACAAATTGATGATAGGTTTATTCTTGTTCTACGGAGACTTTATCCATAAAACATAATTTAAGAAAATGACGTAAGCACCTTTTTTATATAATTTTTAAGTACTCAGTAAAAAATGGTGGAAAATATTCTCCATAATCAAATTTTAGGAATGTTGACTTAAAAGTTACGATAGTCATTGCTCTTATTTTCTGATAATGTTGTGTATGGTCACCCATACTTTCTAAAATTGGCACATTTATAGACAAAAAAAAAAAAAATAATTCAAAATTTGTTTAAAACTCTCGGAGTTTGAAAACAGGTATTAAGCTTTTCAATTTTTGATTACTAAATATACTTCTCACTATCAATATCACTGAACACAAAGTAATGCAGAAATTTAAAAGATTTGAAACTTTATAAATTATTACAATTAAAATATTACAATTAAAATTAATTAAAACAATTCTTGTAAAAATTCATTATTCATTGAAATTTTTTTTTCTTAAAACAATAATGTCCTTAATATATCTTATTTATAAAAGCAATTAAAAGCTTCCCTAATTAAATTATTGTTTCATTGCATATTTTTATTTTACAATTCAGAGATTTTCAGGAAATCAGTAACTGTTTGAAAAAAAAAAAAAAAAAAAAAAAAAAATTTATGATTGACATTCTCCAAGGAGTTCTACTTTTAACTAATAAAAAACATTTTGTGATCATTTTAATTTCAAAAAAATTTCATAAAATTAAGTTGGGTGGGGGGGTAAGAAATGTAAAAGAAAAAAATATTTTTATCAGAATTTTCTAGAAAAATATTTTTGAATAATTTCATTCATTTGTGAATAAGTCCTGAAAGTTTCATCAAAATCCGACAATTATTTGATTTTTGGAAGAATTTCCAAATCAGTGTGTTTTTTACCAGTAAAAAGGCACTAAAATACTCATAATAATCTTTGGTCCACTGCTGATGCAAAAAAGAAAAAAAAATCATTTTTTTTAACCAAAATTTCAAACATGCTAGAAAGGATTAAAAAATTTAATAAAATAATAAAAAATACTTTGGTCTTTCCTCTTAATAATAACAAATATTTTGATGATAAAACTAGTTTTTAACAAGTTTGGGGCCTTTTTTCATCATGCTGCTTTTTCAACAAATTAGTGGAGGTGTCCTAATTTTACTTGAAACTTAAACATTTCTGTCAGTAAATATTGTCTGAAATTTTAAGATCATTGTCATTATTCCACAAGTTAATCAACCTAGCATAAAAAATGATGTGAATATTCATCTAAATAACTTGCAGTATTATAATCAACTTGTGTATTTTGGTACATGTGGATGATGTAGATGCTTTCTGGAATGTTGTCGCCATCAGGCACAAAACCATTTTAAATAGAAGTAAACCCCAACAAAACCAGATTCTTGGACTTATTTTGCCATTTTTTGTTTTTTACCATAAAGTGGAATACTTCGATTTTCTTTTTACTTTACAAATGAAAATTTTAAAAGCCAAACAATATAACACTTAAATGAAAGAGTTTTCTTGTTTTATTTTTTTTTTAAATGACAAAATTTTAATTTCAGAAGTAAAACAGAATGTTTACTTGGAGTAAAAAATTTATAAATCACACACCACCCTTAAAATGAAAAAGAAAAATACTGCTTTTATTTTAAATTCGGAGTGACCTACTTCTGAAATTGATCAGTATTTAAAAGGAAGGCAGATTTGTACCCCCATGTTTCTTGTAATTCGACAACATTTGTTAGACTAAAAAAATGTCTTCATTGCTTTGTATGTTTTTTTTTTTTATTCTGAATATTTAAATATATATTTTAAATACGTTTTTAAAATAAAGCTTCATTAAAAAAAATGCTTCTTTTTTAAAAGCATTATTGCTTTATCGTATAAGTTTTTAATGAATTCCTTTCTTAAACAAGGCTTAACAAATAATGTAGGCAGACATTTTAGGCAAGTAGTGGGAAGTACCACTCTCTCTCTTGCAAATCTATCCAGCATTTTAATAGAATGATGAAAGCAGATTTATTGTAGAAAAATTTGATGCAGTCATAAAATATTTGAAATGAAATCATTAATGAAAAAAAAAAAAAAAAAAAAAAAGATATAATACCATGTTATATGTATTTAAAAATTCTTTTTATGAAAATAAATCCGAACAAATCCATTTTTTATCAATGTGTATGTTTAAAAGATAAACTATTCTTCTAAAATCATTAAACTGATCAAGTCATCAAGAAGACTTAAATTTAGCTGCTAACTTTGTGGCGTACAAAAACAATTTAAAATTCATTTTACATTTTTAATACAAAAGGCAAATAAACAAATTTATTCAAGAGTCAATGAAACTAATATCAAATTTCCACCTATCCATCATAATCTCAAATGTTAAAGTTAATATATTTTCCAACTTTGACAAAAACATTCTGCTATTGTTCCTCAGTTAAAAAATGACCACAATTTCAAAAAGGAAAAATGTAGAAAGTTTTAAAAAAATTACTAATAGTTACAAATATTGAATAAATTTACTTTAATTTGCATTTTGTTTGATATTTATATTCGACATAAAAGTTATCAAAACTTTAAATTACCCAAAGATGCATATTTTTTCTGTGAATAAAAGATTTGTTTGTTTGTTCTCTTTTGTTTTTCCTTTACTTTATGGTATTGTTGTGATGTGGGGTCTGGCACAATACAACACTTAACAGAGTAAGACATGATCGTAGTATTCAATACTCAGCTAGACAAGTTACTGCAATAGCATTATCTCCCTCCTTTGATAATTACCCAGAATTACTTATCATGAATGGATCAGTCCATTCATGATAGTAAAAAGAGTAACTGGCTCCCACCCCAACATGTATAAAAACTCAAATAATCAAAAGTATTTCTAACTGGTTATTTTTCATGAAAGAAAAATGAATTCCTGCTTTAAAGAGCCTCACTTTAGAACAAGGTTAACGAACCCAGCGATTAATTAATACCGCAGTTTAAGGCCATGCTAAAGTAACTATCAATGAACACTTCAAATTCCTAGTTTTTATTTGAGCTTGAACCCTGACCCTAGTCTCAGATACACAACTATCTCAACAAATGGTCTAAGCATTTTCTTTGGCAAAGCAAACTCTTAAAAATTAAGATCAACAAAATACAAACAAAAAAAATAAAAAATTTATTCTGAAATTGATTAGATGATCTCTGAGTAGACATAATATCTTGTAGTGCTTATCGTCTGTAACGGTAACGTTTGAAATGGAACCACAGCTGAAAAATGTTGTTCTGGAATTGACATCGGAAACCTCTTTTATATGAATATTCCCATTCACGATTCACAATCTTGAAAGCAATATCCTTTAAGAAAAAAGAAAAAAGGACCAATTAAATAACACACGAGATTCACAGACAAAAAGAAATCAATAAAAATACACACAATTTTTGTTTTATCTTTATGATTAAAGCTACATAGCAAAAAAAGACTGAATTTAAAAATTGTTTTTCTTGGTTTTATATGGTTAACCTATATCCTCCTGGCATCAGTTTAAACTGATACATTCTTTTTTTTTTTTTTCATCTATTGTGACCATTTTTATTAAAGTTTGTACTTTTAAATGAAAATCTAGAAATTTTCCAATGTTTCAGTGAAATTTTCACTTTCTAAAATTATATATATATATATATATATATATATATATGAATAAAAAGAGACAAACGGAAAAACTATTCTTAGCCGACATGTTTCATCCTCCGAGAGACTTTATCAAGGTAAGTGTAAGGTTTTTATTTTGTTGCACATGTTTATATACAAAAGTGAGGATGTTATTGGTCTATCAAGGCTTTTAAATTTGAGAATACTCATGAATGTTCATCAGGTGCTTGAACAGTCTGTCAAAACATGGAGGACACAAAGCATCATAATTCAAAGTCTGGCAGAAAGTGAGCAAGTAATATTCAAGAATTTTTTTTATTTATATGAATATTGTTTAGATTATGGTGTGAGATGCATATGTGTGCTATAAATCTTCAAAAACATGAGGTGATGCATTTAATCATTTTCTTTTGATGTTTCTACATATTTGTGGTCATGTACATTGGCTTTGGAAAGTAGTAATTCTTTCAGGAATATATATATATATATATATATATATATATATAAAATGATATTCACCCTGTACAAGGTTCAAAGTAGAATGTTAAATAAGGAAAAAGCTTTAGAAGGAACCAGAAACCCAATCCTAAACAGAGGATAAACCTCTACTCCTTTTTAAAAGACTGGGAAGAAGTGTGAACCAGATTATAGGCAAACCTATCTACTTCTTTTAAGAAAATAAAATGTAATTCAATAGTAAATAAAAGTTAGGAGTTTTAGGCAGAGACTTTAGAAGTATAGGAATAAACCTCTACTCCTATTCAAAAAAGAAGATACCAGATTAAAATGACACCAGGACAATATAGGCTGATTAGAGTAATGGCAATATTAGCTGTTTCCTTGTAAGGAAACATTCGACAATCACTTCAGAACAGCAAGTGCAAGTGCTACTCTCAGTTGAAATTTATAAAATGGATTTCTCAAATCCAGCAGCTGTTATTGCACTTTCCAGTATTGATGGGAGTTTCCTTCCTTCTTAACCTTTCATTTGAAATAGAATGGAACATCACTGTCTTAATTATGTCCTTATTTTCTTTTTGAGTTACATGTACTGTTTTAGTTGTTGAAAGTCCTCAAGTGATGTGAATTTCATTATTTGGTAAAGATTTTGTGATACTGTAGCCTCAAGTTTATGAGGTTTGAAGAAAAATGGTCCTTGTTAAGGCCTACAGGCTTCATTCATAGCATTCAATTATAAATCTATCATCTATTGAAGAAATTAGTAGCAATCCATTCAGCAGCCTTAGTATAAAAAAAACAGGGAATTAGTAAATCACTTTGTTCCTTTGTCTTTCCTCTTCAGTTATGCAGTAATACAGACTAATTTCTGCATGGATTTTGTATGATGATGCCTGTTATGGTCTATGGCAGTGATCCTCAACCACCATGCTGCACAATCCTCTTAAGTGTACCACAAAATATTGTCCTGGTGTGTATATATATATATATATATATATATATATATATATATATGTGTGTGTGTGTGAGAAAGTAGTAATGTTACAGTGTTAGTATTTGAATAAATGAATAAGTATTAAACTTTTTTATCCCACATTAGCTAAAATGTCTTTATCAGTTATAATTTTCTAGTTCTTCTTTATGTAAATTAGGCTCTTTAACCTAAATAACATCAAAAATAAGAAGCGAGAAAGACTACACTCAACTGAAGAAGAAATGAGGGTCTGCTTTTTGCACATTTGACCAAACATTGAAGAAATCATAAAAAAAAACACTAGGCACAGGTTTCGCACTAAATAATCTGCACAAATAATTGAATAGAAACATTGAAATAAAGTAAGTTCATATTTGTGTGCATATTTTTTTAAAACTATGGTTTTATTTCCTCGCATTTAAATGTATGCACTTTAAAAATTTTGCTAAGGTTGCCATGATATTTTCATTTGTTCTGAGGTGTGACATTGCTTAAAAAGGTTGAGAGACAATGGTTGTCTATGGGTTATAAAAGCCAGTGTGTTCTCCCCCCGAACCCCTCAATCATGAGCCTGATTGGGGGCCCTGGATATTACTTTGTGAGCTTTGCTAGATTATCAACATTTACTTTTTTCTGCCTACATTTATATGTTACAAATTAAACTAAGTACAATTGACTATTAAAGAATGAAAAAAATGTGAATTTTGACGTCATTCTGTGGTCTTGTTTTTATTTACATCCAAATCCATGAATTTGTTTTAATCATGCTAAGTCTCGAAAAAACACTATATAGAATTCACTGTTTTTCATCCATGATATTCAATTATTTATCCATGATATTAAAATTCTTCAACTTTTTAACAAGAGAAATTTCAAGTTGATGTTAAAAATTGCTGCAAAACATTGTTAATTTATGAAAGCTGGAATAATCTGTTATATCATGTCTGTAATTTGGTATATTGAATTGTTTACCTATATTGCATATGATTTATTATTGTACATAATTAGGTTACAATAAAAATTTGTATTTTATATGAATACCAACTTATGAATTCGGAGATGTAGTAGTGGGTGGGTGGGGGATGGGTTGTATCATAGATTTGAAGGGGAGCCATGTGACCCTTGCAGTGGCACAGCATTTATCTTATAATTAACATTCTCTTTCGTCCCTCCCAATTTAAAATAACTTGACAACTGTTATCTCAAAATTGTTTCACAAAATATTTGCTTCCACATCACTTTAATTCAAGTGAACACAAATATAAAAAGCATGTTAATGTCAAACTTCCTGTTTGTCATGCCTCTAAAATAGAATTGGCACACCCCTCTCGTCATTAGTGTTCAAAGTTGTAGTTTTCACAGCATGAGTACTGAATGCTATTTCTCAAGTGTCTTTCACTAGAATTAGGATGTTAGGTGATGATTGCCAGAAACCAATTTCATATTTGCTCATTAGATCCTTAATTTGTAGTCAATGTGTACAAATAGTCATTTATTGCTTGATCATAATCAGATATTTATATATACAAAGCAGGCAAGCTAGCCTGGAATGGAGCATTACCACTGTAGCGAGTTTAACTGTTCTCCATCCCATGACCATAGGGAAGACTAAGCTATGTTTAAGGAATACTATTAATAATACTAAGCATATCACATGGTTTAAGGAATACTATTAATAATACTAAGCATATCACATGGGTGAAGGAATACTATTAATAATACTAAGCATATCACATGGGTGAAGGAATACTATTAATAATACTAAGCATATCACATGGGTGAAGGAATACTATTAATAATACTAAGCATATCACATGGGTGAAGGAATACTATTAATAATACTAAGCATATCACATGGTTTAAGGAATACTATTAATAATACTAAGCATATCACATGGGTGAAGGAAGGAATATTAATAATACTAAGCATATCACATGGTTTAAGGAATACTATTAATAATACTAAGCATATCACATGGGTGAAGGAATACTATTAATAATACTAAGCATATCACATGGGTGAAGGAATACTATTAATAATACTAAGCATATCACATGGGTGAAGGAATACTATTAATAATACTAAGCATATCACATGGTTTAAGGAATACTATTAATAATACTAAGCATATCACATGGGTGAAGGAAGACTGTAAGGTCAGGTAGAAAAAATGTGTCTACCTTGAAAATCACCATTAGAAAACTGATAGTTGATGAGTTGGAAAAATGGAACTATGTAAACCAACAAAACTTGTTATATATATATATATATATATATATATATATATATATATATATATATATATATTTCGTTGTTGGAAGTGCTACCTGATGATCCGGCTTCCTTTTAAAAGGACTCTGGTGAAATAAATTATTGTAATGGTACCTTAAAGTGGTATGTTTTTCTTATATATATATATATATATATATATATATATATATATATATATATATGTGTGTGTGTGTGTGTGTGTGAAAAGTGTATATAAATATATATATGTATAACTATATATTATATTATGCGTGGTACTTATTAGAAAGTGCTCAATATCAGAGATAGAGCTATTCACATCTATCCAACCAAATATAAATATATATATATATATATATATATATATATATACACACAAATAATAAGAAAGAACAGTAAGATTTACAATCCAGTGTTCTTAGTAATTATTTTGATTTAAAAAAAAAAAAAAAAAAAACAGTGCTCAAGACAAAACAGTAGAGACTAATATTATAATTGTTTTCTATTTTAAAAATATGGTTCCATCACTACACAGGAATTACCATGTTTCAAAACAGAAACTAAAATTTTAAATTTAATTATAAAATTAAATTTAAAATCCATAGCTCCATTGGTGTTTTATTGGTTTTGCACTTAAAAGAAACCAATAAAACACCAACAGTAAACTGGAAATCAATAAGAAGAGTTAGAGCTTGTAGGTCATTAAATGACCCATGTCCTTTGTGCATACATAAAAAAAATTATACATTATTAAGTTTCTGAAAAATAAAAATTTACCTAATGAAAAAAAAAAAAAGAAATGAAATAGCTATTTTTTGCAGACACTGTCAAATATTTTCCTTAAATAATGTTTCATTTTGAAAAAGAGATGGTAGAAGTAGGAACAGTACTTTAAATTTGTAGGAATAGATTTTAAATATTAAAAATACAACTTATTCATATTCAGATGACCTCTTTGTGCATAAAATTATAAATTAAGCAGCCAAATAAAAATGACAAAAAACTTTAATCACTGAAAAACCCAGATGACATGTGAAAAACAGATGTCATTGTTTGTGAGCAGGCACTCCTACCCCAACTTAACCGGATTATGAAAGTAACTTATATTTGATACATAAATTGTCAAGGGAAATTAAAACTCAACCACCCTTATCAAAAGAATTGAATTTTCCGAAACCATAACAATTTAAAATATTAAGATTGGCTGTGCTTATAAATTAAGTAAATTTCTAAATAGGTTATTCCAAAAATCGCTTGAGAATGGAATGGATCTATGGATTTTAAATTTAATTTTATAATTGAATTTAAAATTTTAGTTTCTGATTTGAAACTTGGTCATTTCTGTGTAGTGATGGAACCATATTTTTAAAATAGAAAATAATTATAACACACACATATATATATATATATATATATATATATATATATATATATATATATATATATATATATATCCCCAGGTAAGATTAGAACAAATAGAGTACAATTCCAACATTCATAACATTTAATTTAAAAGACAGCTCAATACAGAGTAGAGCAAAATATTATTTATTTTAGGATATTAAATCACAAACATGTTAAAAATTACTATACAATTGCGATCGTGTTTCAACACATATCAATGCGTCTCCTCAGGCAATTGTAAATTACTGGCGAGTAAATGATTAATTTCAAAAGCAAAATACCTCTGCTTTTTTCAAGAAAAAAAATATAGGCTTGAGGGCTTTACCTTGACCAACCAATTGAAAATGACCTACGTTAAATTCAAACTAAGCAAAAAAGAAAAATCTTTTTTAGAAATGGGTCATGACAGGAAGTTGTCTGCAAACAGATCATAAACATTAGATTAAAAATTGATACAGATGGTTATGTTAATTCATAAAGTGTATACAAATCAGACAATCAACTTTCCTAAGAAATTTTGCTCTCCCTTATGGTTGAGCACTGTTTACGTTTATTTAATACTCTAACATGATCAATTTCAGAATTTTTCTAAAAATCATTCCCAATACAAACAAACAGGAATATTTTGAAAAACTGGTTTTAAAGACCGAAGATCTGATTAAAAGAATCAGATGGAAAGCCCACTTCTTCCTTCTTGACCAGGATGTTTCATATATATCGGTTCCCTATGATTTCAGAAGTTAAAAAACTGCACTTCTCATAGAGCACTTACACAGCTTTGAAAACAATCTATTAAGCATTATAAATGACATCTCTTTGCATAAAAATATGAATCAGTTTCGGAGGCATTTAGATTATCTTGTTAAGGATATTAATAGATCCAATCAAGGATAACAGATCCGACCAAATCTTTGTTGATAAAACTGCTTTTATAAATTTAATCCCAAAGAATACAATGTATTAAGTAAAAACAATTTAACTAAGAATTATAAGTTGATGAATAATAACACTATTAATTTTGTTGATAGAATTAACACTGCCTGTAAAAATATCACCGATAAACTTAAAATTAGCGATAGAGTTAGTAAATTCTGTATTAATTCTATGTCTTAATTAAAGACTTTTTTAATTAACCAGACTTTCAGATCAAACTTCCTACAAGGAATATCAACCTTACCAAACCAGAAATCAGAAGGAAAAGCAAAGTTATCCTGGATCGAGTCAACAGATTCAATAACACTTTGGACTTATACACTGGATTGGTACCACAAATGTCATTAAGTGGTTCAAAGGAATTAGTAACAAAAGCAGCTGTTCTTTTATCCAATTTGGTATTGTGGATTTTTACCCCTCCATTTCCAAGGATCTTTTTATCCTGGCTTTGGAATTTGCCAAAGAATATTCTAACATCTCCAGTGAAGAAATAAATATAATAATGAACTGTAGAAGATCTATTCTCATTCACAATAATGAACAGTGGGTTATTACTTTGATATTTCAATGGGTTCATTAGATTCTGCAGTCTTCTGACCTAGTGGGTTTATTTATCCTAAATAACCTTAGCACTTATGATGATTTTAATGTTGATAATATAGGGTTATATAGAAATGATGGTCTTATGATAGTAAAAAATTCTAAAATTAAGGTTGATAAATTAAGGAAAATTATTCATAGAAAATTAAAAAGTTTAAATCTTAAGGTTCAGGTAACTATTAATGTTAAATGAGTAAATTTTCTTGATGTTACATTAGATCCTGTTAATGATATATTTCAACCTTATACGAAAAATAATGCCAACCTTATATATATTCACCCCAATTCTAACCACCCTCCATCTATAATTAAGCATATACCTTCATCTATAGAATGTATGATTAGCAATCACTCATCTGATAAAGATGAGTTCAATAAATATAGTGGTGTTTATAATACTGTTTTAAAGAATAGTGGTTACAAATATGCTGAAATCAAGTATAGAAAATATGATGATAGTGGTCTAAAGAAAAATAGAAAAATCTTTTGATACATAGCCCCCATTTAATCAATTGGTCAGTACTAAGTTGGGCCAGAAGTTCCTCCATTTAATTGATAAACATTTCCCTAAAAGTAACCCTTTTAGTAAAATATTTAACAGAAACACATTAAAACTAAGTTATAGCTGCACTGATAATTGTGAGAAGATTATAAAGTTACACAACAATAAAATTTTAAACCAATTTAAAAATCTAGATCATAATGCACATCCTAAGATAAATACTATTGATAATGCTAATCAATGTAATTGTAGGAATTTTGACCAATGCCCATTAGTAAACAAATGTTTAATTAAATCTCTTGTTTATCTAAGTACTTTTTCTACAACTGAGAATACGAATGTGGAAAAATTCTGTATTGGTAGTACTAAGAATTCTTTTAAGACTAGGTGATATCAACATATCTTGTCCTTTACCAATAGCACTTACAGAAATAATACATCACTTTCTAAATATTTTTGGAGTTTAAAATATGCTAATAAAGCTCCTAAGGTGAAATGGAAAATTTTAAAAATAGCTAGAACATGTAGATCTTTATATGAACCTTGTTTTCTGTGTTTACATGAAAAATTGGAAATTATCAGATTTTTTGATAAAAACCCTTTATTAAATCAAAGAAGTGAATTAATGGTAAATTGCAGACATAGTCTAACTTTTATCTTGCAATTTAGTTAAACTTTGGAATTTGATAATGCTTTTTATTATATTTTAGTAGATGAACTGCAATGCATCTTATATGGCTTATTTTTTGTATTTGTAAGATTAATTTAGATTTAATATAGTTCTGTATTAATCTCCTGTTAGTATTATTAACATCTTACATGTATGTACTGGTATTTAGTGTTTTTAATATCCTGCATTTATTGGTTGGTATTATTAACATCTTATATAGATGCTCTTTACTTACAAAAGCATATTAATTTAACAAATAATTCTATACATTTAAATTATTTACTAGTTTCTTAAAGAGGCCTCTTATTTATCAACTACAAAAATTTTATGTAAGAATCTCACAAAGCATATAAACAAGTTGGCATTAGGCTAAATTACCTCCCTACCCCCTCCACACTTATTTCTTGGAGAAGTTGTCAAGTCTATATTATTTTTCTCGAAAAAAGAGGAGGTATTTTGCTTTTGAAATTCAATTAATCATTCACTTGCCAGTAATTTACAATCGCCTGATGAGATGCACTAATATGCCAAAACACGACCGCAATTGTGTAGCAATTTTTAAGAGGTTTTTGATTTAATATCCTGAAATATATATATATATATATATATATATATATGTATGTATAAAAAGAAGTGAAAAAAAATGATGAAAAAAGCAGATCAAAATCAATTAACAACTGTAACAGTCCATGAATACTCTTTCTCTAACAGACAAGCAGTTAAAAGTTCTCAGCCTAACCCACTTCCCAAATCTAAGCAAATGTAATGTTTTTAATGGCTACTTGTTCAAGTGAAAAACTTTTCAGCACTGCCCATCTCTCTCTCATATATGTATGTGTGTATATATATATATATATATATATATATATGATAGAGACAGACAGATATTGCAAATTTTCTGTGTTAAATTTTATTGGGTGCACAAGCCAGTAGACTTATGCACGCTGTTTACAATAAAAAACAACAAAAAAAACAGGGCATCTATTTCAAACACAGGTATCCACTAAAAATAACATTTGAATATATATATATATATATATATATATATATATATAGCTGGCTGCTTGTTTCCAAGTATACTTGTCTGCTAGTGTGGCTAGCTAATGCCTGTTGCAGACACCTGCTGAAGAATATTTATGATTCTTCAGCACCCACAGAGCTAACTTGTGGCTTATATTGCAACTATGCTAAGCAGACCTTAGTTACAGTTTTTGGAAGAGAGCACATCATCTGGCATGATCAACAGTCTGAACAAGGCTAGTAACTCTCTGCCATGATGACTTGTGACTTGTGCTAGCACAATCATGAACAGCTGTTGAAGTTTTGTCTACCCAGTTTCTCTCACAAGGCTTGGGTCAACCTATGGTTTAGTTACAGGTACACCCCCAGTAGGTATAAATGCTTCTTTTGAGAATACACATAAAAATTTACAAAGAAAAATAAATAGTTCACAATAGAGGTATAAGAAGCCACTCTTACCTCATATGGAGGACCAGCATGAAACCGCAAGAGAGCAAAATCTTTGTTGTCAACACAAGGAATCTGCAATGAAACAGAAAAAAATTGATTAAACTATATCCCAAACTGAATAAGTAATTTAGAGTGGTAGTGTGTGAGAGAGAGAGAGTATGTATGTATGTATGTATGTATCAACATTACATATATAAAATTCAGATATAAATAAATCAGCAAATATTGATAGAAGAAAAGACTAGGGGAAAACATTTATGCACGAATATAAAAATGTTTAAAAGTTAAAAGGAAAACAGCTAATTTATGGACTTATAAAAATAAGTAAATAAAAAAATTTTTAACAACCCAATAATAACAACATTAATTCACTTTCATTTAAACAATGTGCCAAATATTTAGGTCACTTAATGTTCTCCATAGTTTTTGTTATGGAGTAAATAACACACCTCCAGTAACACAAATGAACAAGGCAAGAGGTGTTAAATAAAGAACTCCAAGTGAGGGAAGTCTGTTGGAGTCAGTTGCAGAGAATTCTATTGACATCACGGTGAGTAGTTGAAGTGAGACATAATATTATAACTGCTAGGAATGAGTTATAACAGTGGCAACAAGGAATTGAAACTCATACAAATAGGAAAAAAGTACTCTCTTTTTTTTTTTACTTCAGTACACATAACAGTGACAACCAGAAATCAGAACCATGTTGGTTTAGCTTCTTTTCTTTGATGTGTGTAAAAAAAGAAACAAGAAAGAGAAAGAAGGGAAAAAAATCCCAGATATTCTTAAAATATGGAAGAGTTATTAGCCCAAGTGGTAAAAAAACAGTAGCAGCAGTTACTGGAACTCCAGAAACAACAAAAAAATTTAATTGAAATAATACAGAAGAAACTGGGATATTTCCCAAGGTTTTTTTACTCCCAAGGTTGTTGGCAAATGTCATAACTGAATTCATATTCCAATGATGGAATTACCTTTATTATAGAAGATACAAGCAAATTTTCAGAGAAGAATGCAGCGAGTGGGAAGATGAGAAAAAAAATAAGACTTTTGTTGATAAAGTTAGCACTGATAGAACATAAAAGATACTATAATTCTGTACTAGTGAAAAAAAACAGAAATTTGATTTTGAAGAAACACCTTATGTCTTAAAAAATACAATAAACTTGTTCGGTACTGACTGGATGAAATTATTTGAGTTGTGGGATTTACCTATAAATATTTATTGTAAAAATGTTAGTGGACAAGAGATCAGTTTAAAAAAAACAATGTGAAAATTTAAAGGAAGAATTGAAAAAATGTTTTCCAACTGTTCTATCAGATAGGTTGGGCTGGTGTTCCAAAGTCAAAGCAAAATTTTGAGTAAAAAAGGGTCAATGCCAGTGTTTAAACTGAAACATAGTGTACCATTTGCTGCATTGGATCAGGTCAATGAAGAATTAGACATAGTTGAAAAAATAGGTGTCATTGAAAAGATTGACCATTCAAAATGGGCAGAACCAGCAGTGTATGTAGAGAAAAAAATAAAAATAAAATTTGTGTTTGTGCTGATTTTTCAACGGGGTTAAACAAATGTTTAGAATCCTTTCAATGCCCATTACCAAGTCCAGAGGAAATTTTTGTGAATTTAAATGGTGGAAAAAATTTTTTTAGAGCCAGATCTTTCTGAAGGTTATTTGCAAATACAGGTTGAAGAAGAATATTCATAGTTAATAACTATAAATATACACAAGGGATTGTACAAGTTCAACTGACTTGCTTTTGGATAAAAGTGGCTCCAGTTATATTTCAACAAGCAATGGATACTATGTGTGCAGATTGTGATTTTTCATTTGCTTATCTGGATGAGTTATTAATTAAAAGTGTATCGAAGGAACAACATATCGGGCATGTGAAAAGAGTTTTTGAAAAATATGTGAGTACAGATTCAAACTCAGAAATGTGCAAATTGTTTTTGCCTAAAATCTAGTACCTATGACAAATCATTGACAAAAAATGGTTGTCACCCAGATCCATTGAGGGCAAGTGCAATTAAGAATATCTATGCTCGAATAAATGTTACTAGGCTACAAGCATTTCCAAGACAAGCAAACTCTTATCAAATCTGTATACCTAATATGCAGAATTTGAGAGCTTCACTGAACAATTTTCTTAAAAAAGGTGTAAAGTGGAACAGGACTGATAAGTGTCAGAAGGTGTTTGAAGAAATCAAGAAAATACTAATGTCAGACTCATCATTAGTGCACTATGATCCAAAAACAAAAATCATATTGGCTTTAGATGCTAGTGACTATGGTATAGGAGGAGTGATTCTACATAAATATGATGATGCCAACATGAAATCTATTGCACATGCTTTGCATTCATTACTACCGGCAGAAAAAAAAACCATAGCCAGATCAAAAAAGGTGTTTGCAATAATATTTGCAGTGAAAAAATTTCACAAATTTATACACAGAATGAGTTTTTGTTTACAGACAGACCACTGTCCTCTATTATCAATTTATGGTCGAAAAAATGAATTCCTATGTATACAGCAAATAGATGACAACACTGGGGGTATCATCTTATTAAATTATAATTTGAGGATGGAATACCAACTGTCCGAAAAACTAGGACATACTAGTGGTTTATCAAGATTGATACCAAAATATACTGAACCATTTGAGGACACTGTTATTGCAGCATTAAAAAGTGAAATTGAAATTAGAAATATATTATGCAATGTAGTACACAAACTACCAGTTACCCCAGAAGAAATAAAAAGTAAAACAGAACAAGACATGTTTATTTTGAAAAAAAAAAAATGACTAAAAGAAAGTAAGATAGATAAAAGATTTTTAGAATACAATCCAGACTTTAATGCTTACTTGCTATGTGACGGAGTACTGATGTTTGCACAAAGAGTAATAATACCTATCATAGAAAAGTGGAGATTAAATAAATTTCATAGTGGACATCCGGGAATTTCAAGGATGAAATCTGTTATGAGTAGCTATTTATACAGGACCAAAATGAATCAAGACATTTAAAAATTAGTAAAAGACTGCAGAGGTTGTGCTCTGACAGAAAAATCACCTAACACAAAATTACAACCTTAGCCAAAGACAGATGCTTCATGGCTAAGACAGCACATAAATTTCCCAGGTCCAATAAATGGATCATATTATCTTGTGTTAATGAATATCTTTACTAAGTGGCTTGAAATTTGTAAGTGCAAAAAACCAACTTCCATGGTTACAGTGAATTTTTTAAACAAACTGTTTGCAAGATGTGGCATTCTGGATGCCATAGTCTTGGATAGCAGTACACAATTCATTACTTACAAATTCAAAGAATTCACATTTGTAAAATGTTCTTGGTTGAATATATTATTACCCTGCCATGGTCAAGCGGACAAGCTGAACAGTTTGTGGGTACTTTTAAGAGAGCTTTGAAAAAAGCAAGTAATGAAAAAGAAGAAGCATTAGAAAAATTCTTGAGAGTATACAGAAAAATGCTGAGTCCCAATACACCATCAGGCATGTCACCGGCAGAATTGATGTTTGCAAGTAAGATTAAATTGGTGTTTGAAAAGTTGATACCAGGTCAAAAAAGAATAAGAACGGGTAACAAAAAGGACACAAAATTGGCAAAAAAGTGTTTTTCAGAGTATATAAAAATAGAAAAGAAATGTGGGAAGAAGGCATAATAAGGTCACAAATTGAAAAAATGATATGTATGGTAAAAGGAAAAAGAATGGGAACATAAAAGGCAATGGAATCAGTTAAAGGACAGGTTTACTGAAGAAAGGCCTGCAAATAAAGAAAAGACTCATGCAACTACTGTATGATACTTTTGATGTACCAACATTCCAAGAATTCATTGACTGTACAAATATGATTACCAGAAAAAGGAAAAATACAGAAAAACTAAAGGTTGACACAAAACAAAAGAAATACAAAGTTCAATACATTGGTGAACTTGCTCAGAAAGAGGAAGGGGGTGAATACTAAGAAATAAAATATTTACTAATGAAAAAATAAAAAATCTCAAAAGGGAAATGCTGTGGAGTAAATAACAAAGCCCTGGTAACACAAATGAACTAGGCAAGACACCTTAAAAAAAGGAAGTTAGGGAAGTCAGTTGGAGTCGGTCAAAGAGAATTCTGTTGATGTCACAGCATGTAGTCAAAGCGAGACATAACATTATAACCGCTAGGAGTGACTTATAGCAGTTTTCCTTTCCTTTAACACAGACATTTTCAAATATTTTAGAACTTTTTCTAATTCAAATTTTAATATTTTTTGGAGTGTTACTTATTCTCTGTGTATAAGTACAGGATGCTAAATAAAATTTCTACATGTCTTGATAAAGTTCCTTAAGGAATGAAACACACTGGCATAAAATGTTTTCAGATTATTATTTTTATGAAACAGACTATTACTGCTGGGTGCTGATCTCAATGTCCACTTTCATATTTACATACACTCTACCGTTGATATTGAGAACATTTACCCATAAATATAGCATACCTTAAAACTATATATATGATAATACAAATATAAAATTTTCACTTAGCTGATTGATGCTATTACATAGATTTAATAAAATCTAGCACAAATATGTTAATTTCTATCAGAATTGCCAAAGAAAAATGTCTCTTGCATGATTCATTTGAGTTCAAGGTCCTCTTCAATGTATAGAACAAATCACCAAATTTCTTTTTGTCTTTTTCCTTATAAACCCCCAAGTTTCTTTTCAAATGCCTAGTTGCCTTTTCTGTGCAAGGATGCAAATCACTGAAACACTAAAAGCAAATAGAAATGTCTTCTGACATGATTCAATTGTAAATTGGCTTCATTAAGGTCAATTCACATTTGTTCTTAATTATAAAACAATTGCTACAATTCATAGCTGTGCATCATCAATGAATATTAAAATATAATTGTGGCTTAAATCACACACACACAACTCTAATGCTTTCCATTTATCAGTCAACAGAATGAAACCTTGTTCTCCGAAGTTTGGAGAGTATTTGCAGTATTCCATGAAGTATCCAAAGTAGCATCTTTGTTATTTTTGTCCAATTTTGGTCAATATGAATGTCATGAAAATCAGCAATACTCTTTACTATAATAACATTTAGTTCATTTTATAAGATACAATTGAAACATAAATAATAATTAAATATCATAAATTGTATAAAAAATAATGTCCTAACTTGAATACCATAAATTAAAATTTTGAGGATATTTAATTGTTCATGATGATCTACACAGAACTTGAGGAGCTTAGAAAGATTGGTTAATGATTCAGTTAAATTGTAATTTCAATGAAGCTTATTTATTCAAAACAATGATCATCAGCCTTTCTTAAGTGTATGTCATGTCCCAAATTCTTTTTAACCACCATACAAAATTTGAGCAGTTGTCACATGTTCATAGACAGAAACATCAGCCTGACTTGAGAGTTTCTGATATATGAGTCATGAAAATTTGATACTTGAAATGACCACATCATGTTACCGGAGTAATGAATCAGGTAAATATTTGTACCTGAGCACATCTGGACATGTTTCAATTTCCACTTTCTTGAGAACATAATTAGTTTTTTTTTTGTTTTTTTGTTTTTTTTTACGAAATGGTCAAACCCAAACTCAAACAAAAACATTGCTTTCAATCGTTATGAGTCTATCGATTGAATAAAATTTTATTATAAACAATTGCCTTGTAAATGGAATTTTTAAAGCATTCTGAATGTAAAAATAAAAAAAAAGTGTGCAAGACAATAAGAAACACTACCTGCCAAAAAAAAAAAGTGAGTTTTGTTGAAATCGGTTGAAATATGTAGAAAATCCAATCCCATATATAAACCAACACACTCACACACAAACAACCTGGGTTTTATAATAAGTTTAACTCGATATGAGTTGTCCCTCTTTCATTCTGGCGACAGAATCATGTTTTATCATGTTTTCAAATTGATTTTGTGCAATCTTGTTAGAACCACCACAAGGTAATTTTACGTAGTCCTGTGAAGTTTTGTTGAAATCGGTTGAAAAATGTAGGAAATCCGATCCAATATATAAACGTACAGACACACAGACAATCTGCGTTTTATAATAAGTAAGATAAGGATGGCATAATACACAGATTTTTTATTTATAGCAATAGAAATGTTTTAACTTCTGAATACAGTCAGCAGATTGGAGCCATTATCATAATTCATATTATTCAGAGTTGGTTTCTTAAAAACTCTTAATATTAACAATCTATGCCCAAGGTTTAAATAAAGGGTTTGGTTTGAAATTCCAAAGTATATCACCTGAAGGAGGCTGGAGCATACAATGGTCAAAACATTGTGAATATAGCAATAAAGATGAGGACAACAGTCTGAATAATGTAAATAGTGTAAATAGTTACAATACCGCATTTCAGAAATATAGATAAATCCTGAAGAAGGCTGGAGCATACAACAGTCGAAATGTTGTGAATATGACAAAGATGAGGATAACAGTCTGAATAATGTAAATAGTTACAATAAAAATATAGAAAGAAGCTAAGGTTTAATATTTAATTTCAGCTCTATACTCATTGATGTATTTTCTCTCTTTCTTAATCCTTTATTTGTTTGTATAAAAATACAAGTAAATATCTCCATGTTGAAATTCACTCATTCCACATTCATTACATTTCCTTTTGCCTCTGAAAATAATGACAACCTGCCATTTACATGTGAAAATTTTGTTTGCTACTGCTTTTAGCAAAATTAGCAGCAGTATCTGCAACAGAACTCTGGAGTAGCAAGTTAACATCTAATTTTGTATGAAAATTGGTAAAAGTGTTAGTGAAGTGTTAGCACTATTAAAAATGGCTTACAGCAAACATGCCATGAAACAAGTTGTGTGCTTTTTAAGCAGTATAGGCAGTTCGGGAAAGATCAAGATGTGCACCATGATATAAGAAGTAGATAACCAAAAACACAAATGTGTGCGACTGATAACAGAATTGAAAATGATTCTGGAAACAGTACAGATGATTCTAATAGAGGATTTGGGATTAAGAAAAATTTGCTCAAAGATGGTTCCTTGAATCTTGACTGTTGAGCAGAAACAACATTTATTTCATGTTTCATCAGAAATGTCTCATCTTTTGAATAATACAAAGATTCTTGACAAGATCGGTACCTGTGATGAAACGTAGTGTTTTCAATACGGCCTGGAAGCAAGATGCTAGAGCATGCAATGGAAAACAATCCACCTCAGCCAAAGAAAAAGCAGGCGAATCTCACTTACAGTTCACAAACAGTTGTTCTTTGATTGCAAGAAGATAGTTCACTACAAATTTTTTGTATAAAGACAATTTCTCAAGGAACATATTTGTGGGTTACTCCACTTGACTTTTGCAAAAAAAAAAAAAAAAAAAACGTTCATTTTTCTCCCTACTCTCTTTCAGCTTTTTTTTTTTTTTTTTTTTAAGCGTTTCACCCCAAGCAAGGCGGGAAGCCACTAGGATGCAAGGGGTTACAGAAAATTTGGAGCAAGATCAGATAGGAGTGATAGAAGAAAGGATGAGGAGAAGGGTAGTGGATAGATCAAGGCAACTGGAGATGTCGATTGACATTACATTTGAATAGCTGGAGATTATAGCTCTCAAGGAAACTGGAATAGGGAAGGGAGTTCCACAGGTGAGAGGTGCGAGACATGAAGCTATTGGAGTAGAAGAGACAGCTACATTTAAGAGTTTTGACAGTGAAGGGGTGAGAGCGGGATGCCAGCCTCGTAGGGCACTTGAACTCATGAAGTTTGGGAACCAGTGAATGCAGCTCCTCGGAGCAATTACCATGAAAGTATTTGTAAAACAGACAGACAGAGGCGACTACGATCTGTGAGAGAGTGACTGTAGATGAGATGCTTCTGGGTATAAAATGTAGTTGTACATGGGGGGGGGGGTGCCTTCCACTAAAGTTGCATCGTTCTTTTTTTTTACAAGTTCTACATTTGCTGGTGTTAATTTTGACACATTGCCACTGAAGACAGTGATAAATTCTGACTTACCAGTGTGTATTCTGGTGTATCTGCTTTGTCAATTAAATCTGGGTAGAAAATCTGAAAAAGACAAAGAAAGTAAAAATAAAATAAAAATAAAGACACAAAGAAAAAAAAATAAATATCTTAAATAATATAAAAATATTCATTTATAAAATAAAATTTTAGAATATAATTACAAAATTAAAATTTAAAATAAAAAATAAATAAAATAAATTAAAATAAGAAAATTAAACTAAAATTATTATAAAAAGTAAAATAAAATTTAAAAATATAATAAAAATAAAATAAACATATATGTTAAAATAAAGACAAAGAAAATAAAAAGTAAACATTTAGCATTATCTGAAAGACTGAACAAATTGTCTTTTGAAGATATGTTTTATTTTTATTTAGCAACACACATTTTTTTTAAAGAATTAATATTTTCATGAGATTAGATTGCCATTAATGGTGATTAGTAGAAAACTAAAAGAAAGGACCCAACAGTGATTTGTACAATTTGAGAAACAATATTAATCTCAATTCATCTAAGGTTATAATATCGGAGCATCCATTGAGGATCAAAATGGTGAATAGTCTACAATACAAGCTTGTTAACCATTGCTATGATAGACACCCTTAAGCCATCATGTTAATAAAGAGATTAGCTAAGCTTAACTTACTATGACACCAGCCCTTAATACGAGAGCACCTAGTGATGATCAAAGTCATTAGACAGATATTCAACAAGATTTGCTTTACAGTCATTTTAGTAAGGGAAACAAAATTTGTTTTGTAACTGAAATGAAAGAGAAATATCATCAGTCAATACTTACATTAAATTTGTATCCCTGCACAATTTTAGGAGGGGGGTTATCAATATCATAATGGGTTTGGTTATATTTGTTCCATTCAAAGCCCTGAAAACAAATAAAAAAAAAAGATTATCAGCTCAGACTCAAAGAAAGACATTCCAACTGCAACATTTCCTTATCACAGGAAATGAAAACCAACATAGAAAGGGCAAAATGGAACTCGGCTCTACTGACAAAAAATTCCTTTTATCAATATTTTAGATTTTGGAAAAGAAAAAAAATAAAGCAAAGAAATGTAGCCCTGTACTAAACAGATATTGACTCAACTTCTCTTAGCCTGTCACAAGGCCACAACAGATATTGTGCTCCATAAAGATCAAACCCACTAAACTAATAGTTTAGTGAGATTAGCTTGCTGAACATCATTCTTTGTCAGATGTATTTTATCTTAGTACAGCACAAGGCCAAAATTGTGGAGCAACCAGTAAGGATCAAATTCATCACAATAGTAATGCTCAGTGAGATTATTTGGTCACCTTGACATGAGGTAAATGATTAGTTAGACTAGTTTGGTTGACCAATACTAATAAACGGTGAGTTTGATCCTCAGCAGGTGCTCAATATTTGTGACTTTGTGTCAAAACTAAGCTGGGCTAGTTTGCTAACTACTGATCCTCAATAAAATTCTATAGAATTTACTTAACTTAGTTTGACACAAGGCCTCAAATATGGAGCACTAAATACAGACTAGGCTCACTACAGTAGTAATAGTTTGATTTGGTTTGTTTTACAGCATATCAACCTCAATGGGTTATTTAATGCCGACAAGATTTTTATTGCTGGTAATAATTTTTCCTCAAAAAATTTAACAGATCAAGTGGAAGATTGAATAAAGTTGTTGAATTTACCATATCTTGCATAGTCTTTGTGTTGCTTCAACTTTTCAATGGCTAGTCTCATATAATTTATCTTTCCACCCTAAGCCCAGTGAAACACATAGTATATGATGTAAGGCATACACAAAAGGTTTTAGTAGAATTTGAGGATAAAACATTTCACATTAAGAGAAAAAAAAATGCACAAAATGAAACTGATCTATATATCTTGATAAATATCTTAAGAAAAGGTTTCAGATTCCAGACATCATTCACATGAAAAGCTGAAAAGTGCTTAATATCAAATAGATTATCTTTGAGAAGTAAATTCATTTGAATTGATAAATAGTAAGAATAGTCAATAATCAATATTCAATTTTTCAATGTTTTTGTCTGAAGCATTTTCACTGTTGTTATTTATTACTAGTTTTACTCTTAATTATTATTGCATTTTAGATGAAGCATTTTCAAGATCTTCAATCTGGTAAAAACTGACAGCATATTTTTTTTTTTTAAGTCTTTACAATATATGAGCATTTTCACTATTATTATTATTTCATTACTATTATCGTTGTATTTTAAATGAAGCGTTTTCGCAATTATTTTATTACCAATTTGTCCATATCATAAAGACAGCATTAGAATAACTATAGGCTTGGTTGGTGAGAAGACTCGTTTCAATCCAACTGATTATCATTATTACCTTTTTATTTTCTTTAAATTATTCTTTTTATGAGTAACCAGCCAATGGAAGTTTCAATTTATTTTTTGTGCAATTACCCTTCTTGAACAAAATAATCAGAAAACTCAATAATGGAAAATAAGCTGGTAAAACACTACAGACAGTGAAAGGTAACATTGGTACTTACAGTATGCACTCTATTGAAAAATCGAGGCTTGCGAGGTCTGTACTTGTCTGACCAGAGGAAAGCTTGTTGATCAAGAGCAACTTCCACACTGAACTGAGCCTCATCATCTCCCATACCTTCACGGGCCTTCTTCTCAAATTCTGTCTCACCATCCAACTGAAAAGAATTTTGTATATTATATAATAAAAATCATGGATAATTCTCTAATAACAATTACTGATGCAATTTCGAATATAATATGAAAGACAAAAACCAAACAGAGATTAAACTATTTTACATCAAAAACACAAAAGAAACAAATCCTTGAAAAATATTGATCAAGCATCATTAGTCCCATGACAGAGTGTGGTCATAGGGTCACTGCACAGTTGAACACCTGACCAACTTCCTCCACATATCTGGGTTGAAAGCTGGAGAGATATTCATTCATGTATAACATGTGTTGGGCAAGTAGACCCAGCAGAGACCATCCTACTTTGGGTCAAACCACACCTAATTTGAAGGCTTGGTCATGGGCAACAGCTGTTGATACCATTGGGGAACCCTCTACCCTGGCTGTTGATTTGGTCTAGGAATCTCTTTGCCCAGTGATGCCATGTCCTCACCACACTGACTGCATACATAACTATGGAGCCCAATCTAGCCAGATGGCAACTGACCTGACCAGAGAGGTTATCTGCCCCTTGGCAGGTCTGTTTTTTAATCCAGCTGGAAAAACAATGGCTGGTGGGAGAGGTGGTATACTTAGCACAAGTCTGGGAAAAGGTCACATTAATGGAGCAACTTGTGTAGACTGAACTTACTAAACTTGTGCAAGATTAATGATGATTATCATGATAATGCTTGTAAGCACTTCCAGTCCCAATATGGAAGGCTGGAAGCAAAATGGATCAAGCAGGAACCAAAGCTATACAGTTAAAATTTAAACAAATTTACATAAGATTTTTAAATTTACACAATATTGAAAAGTAACAGAATAACAAACAATCTGAGAGATGCAATGAAAAGCAACAGAGAAGTAAAAAAATAACCAGAAATATTTTTGAATAATTCATAAATAAGACTTTAGCTTAGGATTTTAGACTTGTATCAAAACTTTTGTTGTTTTTAATCACAAATATTTTTGCTGATACATTTTCCAGCCTTCATCAAGCATATGTTGCAATTAACGGATTCAAATGAAAAAAGTTCCAGACTTGTTCAAATCTGTGAATTGGTTAAATTTGTGAAAATCAGGACTCCATTCACTCACCCACAGAATAGGATGAAGAGAGGTCTGTTCAAATAGTATTAGATGTGATACAAGTGAGGGAGACTGGAGAATGCACTAGTTGAAATAATGATCAAAACAACAAAGATGAAGATACTAGCCTGTATAATTAATGAAACTACTGAATATTGAAATATTTCAAATGAACATGATCATTAAAAAAAAAAAAAACTGGCTGAGAATGAAAAAGAAAACAATGAATTAATAAGGATTTTTTTCATTTATTCTTAGTTCAATAGTAATTCATATTTCTTTTGGCAAGATTTTTGTGGTGAATGGGAAAAATCACTGACCTCAAAATGGAGTTTCTATCCTGTTCATAGTTTGTCAAAGAAAAGGAAAAAAAATAAATCCTAGATAATTGCTGCCTCAAGCAAGTTTTTTTTTTTTTAACCCTACCTGATTATTATGAACAATTGCAAAATTTACTTCTGTTGATTTCAATCTTACTGTGAATGACTGCAAAACACTTGCCCCTGTTATAGGAAAAAGCACACAAATACATGCTGGGATTTTTTTTTCTTAGCCAATAAAATAGGCCAGTTTGCAGTTTCACATGACTCAGTCCCGATCTGTCTTGCCTTGAAATCAGAATGCTGCTTATTTGCTTGTCCAAACTTGCTTTGGTGTGTCAACAACAATTCTTAGTTTATGAACTTTTGCCTTGTTTGCTTCCTTTATATTCTTTTTGCCTTGTTCCTTTCTTTCTTTCTCTTATTGCAAATTTTGTCAATTCTGTTTGTTGGACAGTTCTGTTATTTATATTTGTATTTGATAATGGCTACTCACTCCATAACCTCAATAAAAGCTGTTGCTTTAATTGATGACAAAAGCATATTTTTTAGTTCATGAGCAAAAGTGAGTTCACTGTTTGACCATTTTATTTTGCTTCTTGGACTTTTGACGTTGGACTTGTGATTTCTGATTTTCCTACCTTTTCGATTTATGAGACTGGATTTGCAATATAGATTTTTTCACCACCCTTCTTGTTTTGGACGTTTGTTAACAGATACAATTTTGTTCAGAAATTTAGTAGAAATAATAGTTTACATCTGACCCAGCTCTTCATCATCCTGCTGTGACTATATACTGATAATATTGGGAGAGTTTTAAGGCATTTTCTTTTCAATTATGGAATTTTTTGACTTCTCACTCTCTAAAGTGTTATGACATTTTTTATTTTATATAATCTTATTGAAGGTACAAAATTTAATCAATGCTATAAAAATAAATATGTTTTTTAAAAAAACAAATAAAAAAGAAGCGACTGTCTCCCAAAACTCCATCCTTAGTCCTACTCTGTTTATAATTTTCATTAATAACCTTCCTTATGACATAAACATTTATTTCTGCCTCGATAGTAAGGCTGAGCAGTCTGACAAAGTCATAATGGCAGGTTATGTCGAAAATGACCAAGTCTATTGTTAACTGGGGCAAAAGATGGCTTGTTAATTTTAATGCCTTCACAAATAAACCCCTCCCTGCACAAAAAAGAATTGTACATATGGGGGCTAGTTATGAATTCAAGGAGATTTTGAGGTATTATGGTGAATGTAGTAAGAATGGAATGAAAGAATATGTTGTTTTGGTGTAAGGAATATTGTGGTATGTTTGGGTAGATTGGGGCTAGCTAAGTTTAATTATAAGAAGTCGACCATCTTTTCCCCTAGTGCCACATTTTTATATTTATACAGAATAAATATCGCTATCACTATGGTACCTAAACATTTTCAATTTATGTACAGTACTAGACTGGCGCTGAGTTCTCATCAATTTACAGTTAAGTTGGCTAGATATAACCATAAATTCTATGCTAAGAGTGTATTTTCTTGCACTTCTCACTTGTGGAACTCCATTCCGGCTCCATGCTTTCCAGCCAGCTTTAATTTGCAAAAATTTAAATGCAATGTCAATTGCTATCTACTTTCCTCCTGATTACTCTTTTTTCTTCCCACTTATTATTGTTTCTGTTCCTAATTCATCCACACCTAGTAACCCTGTGTGTCTTAGCTGCTTTTCTGTTTTGCATGGGGTGAAACTGATTAAAAAAAAAAGACATATCAATAATAAATTGACACATGTACAATTCTGCTATAAACATATAACGTGTATTCCTCATCCTCGTTTTTCTTCCCATTCTTTTAGTCACTGTACACATTATGTGAATTCCTCAATTAAACTCTGATGAGACAGGCATGAAAACTGGTCAGCTATTACTAATATTTCTTTCTTGATTTTTCATATTGCCGTTTATTGTGGCTGTAATTTATTTTGTTCAAGTTTTTTATTCCTTTTTAAATATATCAATTTTTATAGAACTGATTATTATTTTTTAATTAGCCTATTTGCTTCCATGAATGAGATAATTAATCTTGGCAAATTGCCAGTCTAGTAATATGAACAAGATAACATCCCGTTGTAAAAGGAGTTATTCAATTTGCAAGATAACAGCATCTCTTAAAAACAAAATGCCCAATTATGTACATTGGTGAAATAAATGGAAACATTAAAAAAAAAGTCTATATAAACATTGCAGACATATGCTGCATAACAACACTTTAAACTCAGCTCAACATAATACATCTGACCAAAATTTCACTTTAATAAATGTCAGTCTGATCAGGAAAGAAAAGGAGTCATGAAGAAGAAAATATATTGAAAGTGCACTAATCTCATAATTCTTAACAATAAACTTAAAATCAAGACCATACATAATATCAACAATCATCACAAAAGCAATAATAGCACAATGTGGCAGACAAGCTAGTAAAGAAAAAAAAGATCTACTTGGATTATATATATATATATATATATATATATATATATATATAACAAGCAAACACTTTCTGGTTTCTGATCATTGAAGCTGATACGCTGATTTATTGCCCCTCTTATCCTCAAACATCCCAAAGCATTTTCCTTACACATAGTTCTGGTTTTCATTCCAACCTGAAGAAACTGAACCCAACACGTCCGTAAAATGCGTTGTTTATAAGCTTTCCCACTTTCTTTCATCATCTCTACTTTTGTTTCAGATAGTATTATACATCCTATACACACATATATTCACTTTGGTAATATAACTTGTGAATGTTTGCACAAATTCATACTTGACATGTTGATCCAAGTTTAAGATATTTCAAATGAATTTCAATTATGCTACAACACACACACACACAAAAGTAATAATAATTCACTCTGTGTATTATATGTGATGCTGAGGCTTTTCATAGGCTAATTTTGATCCCTAACAATCACCATCATGCTATGATTTTACTTCAGTCACTTCTATTCAGTCCATCTCCATAGAAATATTAAACCACATTATTATTATTATTATTACTAGTACTGTAAAAGAAATGATCATAACAAGGTACTAGCAAATTTCACTGGTGCCATCTGATCCCTCATACTTAAATATGCCCAACACACACCTATCATTAAACATCTGTGAACTACAAAAGAAAGAGAGATAAATGGAAAGAAATACCAATACTGGTAAAACACTAAGCTGGGAAACATAAACATAAAATTGCAAAGAATTATGTCCATCATATGAAGCAGCCAAAGAAGAACAACTGGTGAAGAGGTGGGGATGTTTTATGTTCAGCTGTACTTGCTTTTTATATACTGTAATGTTTTAAGCAATAGCAAAAGTGCTTTTGTAATTTTTCATTGTACTTATAACTGTTTTAAATATTACATGTTTAAATAAGCTAGAAACTTATTATCTGAATAAATAAATGTTCTCTGCATCGAATATACAGATGCATCTTTTTTTAGCACCAAATTATCAAATGCCTTGTTGTACATATTAGCTGAGTTCTGTAAATATAAAAACATTTTAAACATACAATGAAAACTTTCTATTCTCATCAATTTGATATAAAAAAAGAAGCAATCTCTATTGATCCTTTGAAAAATGAAAGTATTAATTACTTCCAAATTAATAAATAATAATAATTTTTGGATCGCCATTGTGATGTAATGAATATCAGCTTGGAATGAGAAATTGGAGAACCAAGTTCAAATTCCAGTTGAGTTCATTACATTCACTTATATTCAAATACCTTTGGAAAAAAATATGAATCCATCTCCTCTTACTCCCACTAAGTTATGGATTGAATAGCCAATGTCCTATAGCCTTGGTTGGCAACCAGTCTACTACAAAAAGAAACAGCATCCTACTGTGGAAAAATCTTCTGCCTAATCAATCATGAATCGAAAGTCATTATCACCCAAGTATCACATATAGCACTTAACTGACTGACTGAATAAATTTTGGAATTGTGGAGTAAATGTAAATAACATCGACATACCCTCACTCTGCCAGTGGTGCGGACTTGTTCTCGTGCCAGCTCCAATTTTTTCATATCATCCACAGGATCATAGACTATGGCATCAATCTCCAATTCTTCTACCCTCAACATCCGTGGAGAATAATTGCCAGTGACATACTCGTCCTGGCATTGGAGGGCCAAATCTTCTTCAGTGAAAACTGGTTCATTACTGTCAAATCAAAAATAAAGTCACATTCACATCAGGGACTTAAAAACACAAGCAAAAACATTCACTGATTTTAGAGTCATTACACAAAACCAGGATTGTTGATTTAAAAAAATTTTTTAAAAAAATTTTAAATCAAATTTTTTAAATTTTCAAAATGAAAAAAAAAAAAAATTTTTTTTTTTTTTTTAAAGAAAGCAAAAGAAAGATCAAAGCCAATATGAATTGCTTGAGAGCTTAAGAAGGGCAGTAAGATAATTTAGTGTTGCCAAATTAACAATTTTTGGTTATCTCTAACAGACTTTTTCTCAATTTAATTGATACAAATCTACATTTAATTTTTACTATTTGTTAAGGTTTTGGGTGTTTAATTGGGCTAAATTTCAGATCCAGTGGACATTAATGACCTCAGTCATATTCTTGCATAGATACAAACTGTAAAAAAGTTGGCATCATCTGATCGGAATGAGAAACAGACTTTCATGAAGAAAAAGGGGAAGGAAAGAGGCAACGACAAGGGAAGGAAAGAGGCAACAAAAATGATAAGAAGCAATAAAAAATCTTTATCCTGTGACCTGACAAAAGGATTGGGTTTCTCACACTGAGGTCATTAATGACTGTTGAATTTTAAATTTAGCAGAGTTAAAAAAAAATACTATTCAATATCAAACACCAACAAAGGTAAAAACATTTTGTAATTTCGAAAAAACAACTGTATTTATACTCCCACATGTCAACTAAAAAAAAAAAAAAAAAAAATATATATATATATATATATATATATATATATATATATATATATACAATATATAAAGATTATTTTTGTCATCACTTTATATAAAATTTGTTTTTATTGAATCCTCTGCCAAAAGTGGAGTATTATATTAAAATTAGTGGGCACTAAAAATCTTTTAATCCCTGAATTAGTCACTAGAACAGATTTAACAAAAAAAAAGAAGTTGAATTACATTAATGAAGTTAAAGTATTTATGGTGATGTTTTTAAGAAGTTGCTTTTTTAGCAGTCTGCTAACAAGAAATGTTTGATTTTGGAAAAGTAATTGCCCTGAAAGCCTATACTATTTGAAATAGATAAAAAAAATAATAATTGAATAACAACAAGTATTAACACAAATCATTATTTGCCTCTTTTATAAAATGCAGAGTAAATTCAGTTTGAAAACATAAATTAAAAATGTGCATTTCTGATAGATTAGAGACAAATCTTACTCTCTCCAAGGGAACTAGCTACAAATGTTGTGCTTGTTATTACTAAACTTACTTTTCTTCTTCCTCTTCATCATCTTCCATCTCATCCTCTTCTCTGGGGCTGTGTACTGCTTCTCCTGTATCCTGTGCACGGTCAGAGCTTGTAGCCTCAACATAAGGACTTTTCTCCCTTTTCACCCTGTCTTGGCTGTTATCATTCAGATGGGAAGAAGTACGGCTCATGCTCCTTGAAGGCATCTCATTGGAACCCAAGATGGGAAACAAAGGCGCTGATTCAATGCCTTGCTGTTGGAAAATTTAAAAAAAATACATAATTACACAAAAAAAAGGTAAATTAATTTTAATGGGCATGCAATAAATAAAGAAGAATAAATTGTTTTCCAAAACCCTATGGAAAATTTTTCTAATGAAAATATATCTTATCTACCTTGACTATTCAATTTCTCTTCATAATATCTCTTGGAAAATAGAAAATTATTCTGAGATTTTATAATCAGCTTTTAATCAAGTGATTTATACAATTATAAAAATACAGTTAGTTACTTATATATGAACAGTTTGCTAAACAAAGAAATTGAATAATGAACAGCAAGTAAACTATATATACATATAAGAGGCTGATAAGGTCCTCAAAGCTAACTCAGTCTCTATACTGTACTCATTTAGTGTCATAAACTGTGAACCATACTTTTTCATATTCTCTAACACTCAGTAACCCCCCCCCCACTTGCATCTTAGTGGCTTTATTGCCTTGCTTGGGGTGAAATGATTAAAAAGTTTTATATTGAAAATAATTTTTCATAATACTTTTTTTTTAACAAAAACCTAACCCTAAATCAACAAGAAATTGTTTATTTCTGTATTTATTTGTTTTCTTTTTTTTACATATATATTTATGTATTTGATATTTAATGTGTGCATTTTCTATCTTTTATTTGTTTTTATGTGGAGTCAGAGTGGAGCTCAAAAAGCATTACCCTTATTTTTATGTACTTCAATTACTCATGTAATGAAACATTTGGTCAATAAACATCACTTTAGAATGGATTATGTTCATCTATAGAAACTATTGTGTATGTATACGTGTGTGTGTGTTTCATTAAAAACAACTGACAAGATATTTCTGTTAAGTGTTTTTCTTGAGTGTGAACAGGATATTTCTTTTTTGCAAATGGTATGTAAGTTGCTGAGCAGTAGACATATTGTTAATTCCCATATATGGCCTGTATATCATGGCTATGCTTGTAACTGATGTTAAGTGTTGGTTTTTTTAGTTGATATTTTTTTCTCAATTTTTTTTTAGGGTTTATATATTTTTAGACATTTTTTTCAATTAACAGATGCGTATATCATACTTGTGTTTTCAATAAGTATCTGAGTTGGCAAGTTTTCAAGTAGGTTTAAATGATCAGAGAGATGTAAAGTCGGACATTTTGATAAGTGAGTTGTGGTCATCACTAATGTAATTATTCATGAATTCATTTATTTTTGTGTTTCTTATTAAAATTCACTCAATACAAGGCCTAAGAGCCACTCAAGACAGAGAGTTATCAAATGTAGTGTGTGACATGAATGCAAGAGGAGACAAGGAAATGAAGATTACAAGGATAAGGAAAATAGATAACAATTGATCTTTGACTTTATGAAATTAGAATTGTAGTGTTAAAGAAAGAATCCATGTGGAAGTCTGTTCCACAAAGTAGCAGTTCTTGGGAAGAAGTTGTCTAAATGGTACTTCTTCTTTACAATTGGAATACAGAGGAAAACATGAGTGATTCAACTCCATGGACAGAAAAACAAGTACTAGTTATAAAGGTTTGAACTGGTGGAACTAATGAATAAAACTCATGAAATTATTTGCCATGAAAAATTGTGATAGAGTAGCAATAGTGTTGTGATGCTGTGTCTGTGAAATAGGCTGCAGAGTGGGAAATGTCAACCTCTTCGTGAACAATTGATTCATTTCCTATGGTTTATTAACGCTTTGCAGGTTATTTAAAGTCAGAAAATATTTTAGATTATAAAAATTCAAGGTGTGGAGGGGGGAGATAATAATGGTTTAGTGATACAAGTTTTATTAATTAACCCATAGCTGGGGGGAGATGAAGTTGATTCATACTTTTCCCAAAGATATTTGCGCGTAAGTGAATATAATGAATGTGACTAGAATTGGAACACTGCGCTTCCAAGTCATTACGTTGCACCACCCACACATTCAAGCTTAGAGCACCTTGTATTCCCAGGCAGTCAATCATCCAGGCTCGATGTTGCTTAACTTTGGCAATTGGATGGAAACCAGTGTTTGAACATGATGTAACCGTAAGCCTCATTCCCTTCAAGGCCGTGTAAACAATTTTGAAATTTATCAAGGCTGGAAAGTGGGGATTGAACAGTTCTATCTGAAATATGACAACAATACTTCATTTTGGATCTGATTTTATACATACAATGTGTGTGTGTGTGTGTGTGCATGTATGTATGTATATATATATATATATATATATATATATATATATATATGTGTGTGTGTGTGTGTGTGTGTTGTATATTTGGGAAGCAATCCTCCTTTTATGCTCATTTCATTGAACATGATGGGCAAGTAATATTTCTTAACATTTTACCCAGTTTTTCCTGCGTCCTTGTAATTTTTATTTTATTAGGACTAAATGTGTGAGACAATCAGCACCAACGGACAGTTTGTACACTCCCTTAGTCCTCATAAATGAAAAAAAACTAGAAAAACACTATAAAAAACTGGAAAAAAAAAATATATATATATATATATATATATATATATATATATATAATATATAAATAATATATTTGTTTGAGTTTGACAATATATAAATAGTTTGTTTGACAACCCAGAGTCACAAACTCACATCAATCCAACTAATATATATTTTCCTCATCTGTGACATTCAACAAAACAGAGACGTGTGTGCACCTGTTTTGTTGAATGGCATAGAGATGGAACTTAGGTCAACACCCACCAGCAACAGTCTGTTCCATGTTCGAGCACAATCTTCAGGTTATGAAGATTGTGTTGAAGCATGAAACAAACTGTCATTGCTGGGTGTTGTCCTCAATGTCCACTTTTATATTTATGTACACTATTCCTGATATTGACCCCTTTAACCCATAAATACAGCATATCTTAAAACTTAATTTTAATATATATATATATATATATATATATATATATATATATCATACTTATTAAAAAACCCAGGTTGTGTGTGTGTGTCTGTACGTTTATATATTGGATCGGATTTCCTACATTTTTCAACCGATTTCAACAAAACTTCACAGAACTACGAAAATTACCTTTGGGTGGTTCTGACAGCGCCAAAAAATTGGAAAAAACACAATTGTTTTTGCATGAAATCAATTTGAAAATATGATTAAGAGGCATCGCGAGAATGAAAGGGGGACAACTCATATTGAGTTATACTTGTTATAAAACCCAGGTTGTTTGGGTGTGTGTGTTCGTTTATACATGGGATCAGATTTTCTACATTTTTCCACTGATTTCAAGAAAACTTTACTTTTTTTTGGCAGGTAGTGTTTCTTATTGTCTTGTACACTTTTTTCTTTATTTTTACATTCAGAATGTTTTAAAAATTCCATTTACAAGACAATCATTTATAATAAAATTCTATTCAATCGGTAGACTCATAACGATTGAAAACAATGTTTTTGTTTGAGTTTGGGTTTGACCAATTCGTAAAAAACAAAAAAAAATAATTAAGACATGTGTGTCCGTCAGCCTTAAACAATAATCTTTGTCAATTTTATTTTTCAGTCTTTTTAATGGTCGATACTTGATCTATCTCTTACTGTTAATATCCCCGGGCAACGCCGGGCTCTACTGCTAGTATATATATATATATATATATATATGTGTGTGTGTGTGTTTGTAGCATGTTCAAGTGTTATTTTTTAGTAGATATCCATGTTTGAAATAAATGCTCTGTTTTTATTTCAAACAGTGTGTATTACACGTATCAGCTTGCGCACTCAAGAAATCTTAATAAAGAAAACGTGCTCTCTGGCAGGGTTGAAACAACATCCCCCTCATATATATATATGTATAATGTGTATGTGTGAGAGAGAGAAATAGTTTGATACATAGATAGATATCTGTTTCTAGAAACTCCACATTAGTTAATTATGTACAACTTTCCAAAGGAATTCTATCTGCTGAAAATAAATCAGTATTTAGCATGGTTCTTATTACATCAGTTTTGATTTACATGTCAAAATTGTCATCAAACAGGTAAGAAATAATTGGGTGCTAATTTTGTCATTCTCCTACACTGTACATAAATAGATCAGAAAAGGGTTTACAGATGTTAAACAGCATCTGAAATCATCTTTACCTCTTGTTTTAGTTTGAACAGTTTCTGTCGTAAAACTTCTTGGTGACGTTCTCTTAAGCGTGTCCTGGCAATGTGAGCATTCAGCTGTGACAACAATGACTCCCAATAGCCTGATAAAGAAAAAAAATGGTTTTAAGTTATCTTTGCTTTTATATAAAATTTCTTAATTACAAATGTGTTGCATTAATGAAATTCAGAAAATGTCTGATAATGAAAATAATCTGCACTTGTTTTCTATTTTAAAATCAAAACAATAACACATTTTCCACTTTCAAAAATGGTACAACCATCACAAAGGACTTATTTAAATTGTAAAATTAATTGAGCTAAAAGAATTTGCTTAAATTTATTGTACATATCTTCACTGAGCATGTGGCCGAGGAAATGTAAGTGTCCCCGGTCCACTGATGACTGAACTTTTTTCTCTTACCAACAATATCCTCGGATGTGTTTTCAGCATCCCTACTCATGAAGTAAATGTTTGGTCTTCCCAACTTTGCATAAAGCTGACTTGAGCTCGACCATCTTTACCCATTTTTATCCTTACTTCCCATAAATAATTTCTGAACCAAAAAGGAAAACAGACATACTCAAGAGACATTTAACTTTGTTTCAACACAGTTAACATAAAAGAAATAAACATCTGTAGCAGAAACTCAAGTTTTTTTGTATTCTTCTATTTTCTTTGTATATATATTGAACATGCACCTTGACCTAAAAAATAAACACATAACCCACACCTTTATCCAGTTACACTTTTAATTGGGTAGAAAGAGATGTAAAGGAAAATTAGATCCTAAAAATCACCAACCTTATAAAATACAGAAACTGTGAGCTGCAGACTGCAAATGGTTAGACAGCCATAGTATAAACCAGTTATAGGTGACATGTGGCTCACTTGGCTCCCTACATGACACATCAATTTCATGAGGAAAATAACTTTTATCAAAATTTAGTTTGTTTTGTTCTCCTACAATAACATATACACAAACAATAAGTACAATGTTTCAGTTGGTGCCAATCATACATAGGAATGGTTTCAAAACACTTTCCTCTCCCCAATTTATAGGCAGAAGCACACAAATGCATGCTGGGATTTTTTCCTAGCCAATAAAACAGGCCAGTTCTCAGTTTCATGTGACTTAGTCCTGGTTTATCTTGTCTTAAAGTCAGACCTCTATGTTCACTTGTCTGAACTTGCTTGTGTGTCAGCCTCAATTCTTAGTTCGTGAACTTTTTGCCATATTACTGTTTTATTGCCTTATTTGCCTTCCATATATTCTTTGCTTGCTTTATATTATTTTTTGCTCTGTTCTTTTCTTTTTCTTGTTATTGTTTATTGCAAACTTTGTTAATTTTGTTTGTTGGGCAGTTTAACCATGACCACTCACTCTACAGTTTCTTGAATTTTGTTAACTTTATGTTGTTGGCAATTTTTACTAAGGAAGATCATGTGTGTAAATATCATTTGCTTTAGAAACAGGATGTTCATAATCAATTGTTTTGGTCTCTGGATAAAAAATACATTTTTTTATTTTAACAGTGTATGTTAATCAGTCATTTGTGGTAAGATTATACTTTATAATTATTGAGAAATATTTTCTCAAAAAAAAAAAACCCCCCCAAAAAAAATCCTTTCCTCATTTCTAAGATCCTTATGCATATGGTCTCCTGTAATGAAAATAGCTGAGGTATCGTCAAGAAAAAAATTACTTAGAATCTTTTTTAGTAGTGCCCCCTGCCTTACTGATGTGGGCCACTGATCAAAAAAAGTTGTCCATGCCTGGTATAGACAAAATATTGGCCTATACAATAGCTGAAAGTGTTGCATATTTCTCTCAGAAACCAATGGTTGATGTTTGAATCAAAGCAAAAGACAAGATTTCAAATGCTAATCTTTATGCCTCTCCATTCTGAACATTGGTGCAGCACAATCTTCTTAACATCTTTTGGCCTTGTGCTGCCTAAAGCAATCATTAGTATTGACAGAGGTGCTTATCATAGCATAAAAATAAGTAAGCTTTTACTGAAGACCAATTCACTAGCATTTCAATTATGATCTTCACTGAAAACCCTAGACTTGCTTGCCTAAAGTAAACTTAAAAAAAAAAAAAAAAAATCTGTATATTGAATCATTATTAGCTCTCCTGCAGAAAAGATAACTAAATTTACTCACCAACATCAACCCCTTCACCACCTTGAAGTTTTTTTTTCATTTGCTCTTGAAGCAGAAGTAATTGGTTGGTGGTTTTGCCTTTGAAAATATTGGATACTTCACTACTAACAGATTGGTTGATTCCTTCACGACGGTCACCAGCATAGTCTAAAAATAAAACACAGAAAAGACATTATTATGAAGCATAGTTTATATTATAAACTGAATTCAAGAGAAACAATGAAAATAAATAAAAATAGGGCATCTATTATATATGAAGTGTCCACTTTAATAACATTTGAAATAATAAAAATGTTGGATTAAAAAATTAATCATTATATAATCATTAATATAGCAGCTTCCAATCTGACACTGGAAACAAAAAAAAAAGCAAGATGTACTCATAGTACTAGCTGACAACAACAGCAACTTATTGGTAGCAAGTTTATTGATAGTGGCAAGGTTCTTGTTAAAATGTTGGGTACAAACATTTTACTTGTAGCATAAAGACAGTTGAGTTTGACCTCTTAGCTGTTTAGGAGTCATTCATGTTTGTAGATTTTCTTGCTATTTATGGAAGAAATACAAAAGGGACAAGGTTGCCAGATTGAAATTTTAATATAACGCCAAGCAATAAAAGCCAAATAAGTTTTAATATATTTCATCATTTTTCTCACACTTACAACAGAAGCTAGAGATAAAGGTTATTATTAGCCTGCAAACTTTAAAAATAACATTCTTCTTATTTTTTCAGAGATACATTTTCTCTTCTATCATTCTTCTCGTCTACATTTTCTGAATCAAGTTTGATTCTCAAACTTGTTACTTTTGGCAACAATTTAGACAAACATAGCTTACTCATAGATACACATTGACATGGGATGCATAAAGTATTTATTTTTTCAGCATGAACTCATCGCTGACAAGAGATCAAAAGGACTTTTTACTTTTGAAATTGACATGTGAATTAAATTCCTTCAATAGTTCAAATTTTAAAAAGCACTGATAAATCTTTTGACATTCTACTAAAATGCATTTTATTACTGTAAAATAATTTATCATTTTCCTTTCAACTACAAATTAAATTAGTGTGAATTAATTTATCTTTGATGGAGATGTTTGTTTCTGACACCTTTTATCTTTGCTTTTCCTTTTTTCTTGTTGAGTGAGGGTAGCAGCTAGAAAACACACCTCCCTTTCTTTCTCGTCACCTAGACAAGAAAATACAGAAGTAAATACGATGTCATGAACTCGTTCTAATTGAGGAAACAAACCAATGTTGAGTGTGGATAGCAGCTAGAAAACACACCTCCCTTTCTTTCTAGTCACCTTGATGAGAAAATACAGAACTACAAGGTCATGAGCTTGTTCTAATCAAGGAAACAAACCAATGTTCACAATAATTGCCAAATATTACTGATGACTAAAAAAACATTTTTCTTAAAGGACAATTCTAGCTTGTAAAAAAAGCCAGATTTCTGGGTTTTGGCATTTTGACTTTCATGAATTGAGCAAAAGGATATGTGGGCAGCCCAATTTAGAAAATTCCAGGACTTTTCAAAGAGCTTTTGGGCTATTGCTGTTTTTCCAGGACTTTTCAAGGTTTACAAAACCTGTACGAACCCTGTACAAAGGACAGAAAATTGTAGAGAGTCATGATGGCCTACATCCTGAAAGGATACAACACAAAGAAGAACTAGCATGAACATGAACCACCTGATCCAGGCATGCAATCATTGACAAAACCGTATCGAGGACAGCTTTATTGAATAACCTTTTCTTATTTTTTTCTCTAAATTGGATATGTGTACAAAATTTTTGGAAAATTTTCTTATATTATGATCCATTTTCAATTATCTGATACATCCTCTATAGGCAACCTTACAACAACTGGGAAGTGGTTGTTTGGTTGTTGGATTTAACGGCATGTCAAATCCTATTTGGAAAGTGGGTCTTAAGAGACACGTCTATAGACATAAGAGTTATATATATTTCTAATGCAAAAAGTATACGTGAAAAAAAAGAGATTTTTATTTATTTGGGTGAATTAAAAAAAAAAATGACTGCATTTCATGTTACAGAATGTTGAGGCTGGATCGGGATAGTGAGCAATTGGTCCAAATAACTTGTGGGTGTGGAATTCTAACAGTTATAGATTGCTTTTGCCTAAGTGTTAGCACACTTTCTGCACCCACATTCCTTAGAGAGGCTAGACTGCATGTGGCTGAATACTAAGAGCTTCCAACCGCTACCTAGAATCTATGCTACTACATCTGTCTTTGTATAATAAAATGAAGAAATAGAAAACATTTTTCATTGATAATTTTTAGTAATCATCAGTAATTTTTAGCAAAAAAATTGACAAACTCAAGTTATTTTTTGATTTTGATTTTTACCTCTGCTGGTGGGATCAAGTTTCTTGAGTTTGTTGACCTCATCCTCTGTAACAGTGATGATGTCTCTCCAATAATCTGCATTTTTGCCTTGTTCTAATTGGAGATACACTTTGATATCTTCCAGCAAGTCTTCAAGGTCAGGAATGGTCAGTCCCTGCAAATGGCAATAAAATCAAATACTTGAAAACAAACTAGAACAAGAATTCTTAAAATCTTATGAATCTCTCTGATGACATCTTGGCCAAACGTAAGAAATAATTTGCAACAAACAAAATGATCAATAATAACAAATAGAAACATATTTGAACAATGCAAATTTCTTGACTAAGTTGAAAATGATAACATTAAAACATTAATAAAGTTAGTAATTTGATATTTGCAAAATCTTTGCATGCCATATTAATCCATACTAAAGATCATCCTAATATCTAATTCAGTGACTATGGTCTAAAAATGGAAAAGAAAATTACTAACCATATGATTTTCACTAAAGTGAAAGCAAAGAAAAAGTGAAACCCAAAAAAACGCCGAAATTTGGATTCAGTTTGTCTAGAAACATGGTTAGATTTTGAGAGACAAGAAATTATTGATAAATTGTCTTGTTATAAATTTATTCCCTTCCTTTATTTTAGCAGCAACTGTCATCTCCTTGTTTTCAATGGCAATTTTAATGCGGTGCAACAGTTCCACCCATACGACTAGCTGAATTCCACAAAGTCTGTCCTAAAAGACATTATCAGAAGAATCAGGTTTGTTTTTAATGGTTCTAAGTTAAAGTCTTTGAAGTTTAGAGTTCAAAACAACAAATCACTTAAGTGAAGAGAAAGAAAACACTAAAGAAATAAATGAAAAAGGGGCCAAGTGGCACTTCAACAAAAACCAGATGTTTTCACTAGCAGTCTTATATAAGTATAGTTCCTGGTTAGGGCTGGATGGAGAGAGGAGCAGTCTATTAAACCAGTCACTTCAGCAGCAGTCCCTTAGCTGAAGTAAGAAGAATCGAAGGGATCTATGTGCCACCTACTTACTACAAGAGAGAATACTAGGTCTGACCAAGGAACCTCATCGAAACAAACACCAAATTGTTGAGAACAGGATTCAAGGCTATATTTCTTAATGTTGATTTAATCTTTTGTTTATTGTGAATGTACAGCAAGTCTTTTACAATTTTTGTACACTACCAGCACTGAAAAGTAAAACAGAATAAGGGGGATTGGATCAGGATTGATTTGTCTGATCAGTCATTAAAAGACAGGGAGAGGCCTGTTGTATGTTCACATTAGTTCTGTGAAATGTCACCATGTTACTTAGGATGAAATGACAGCTTTTATCCACCCATGGATAATTGGATAATTCAATAATTCAATTGGTAAAAAAAAAAAAAAAAAAAAAATGCCTTAACTACTGTTTACCAAGTATGCTTAGGAAAAGCAGTAGTGATTTATTACCCACATTTTTTGTTTTTAAAATGAAAAAAATTAATTAAATTTACTATTGTGGCTATTTTTTTTTTTGTTATCTTTTTTCACAAAAGAATTAAATTTCCTATAACTTCTTTTTCCTGAAGCCAATTAATTAATTCCAACCTACCTCATAAATATTGTCATTTTATTTATTATTTTCATCTTTTTTTTTTTATTCATGCATATCAATTTTTGTCATTATTGTTTAGAAAATTTAATTCAGTTGTTTTGTATAAAAAAAACAAAACAAACATGCAACAAATTGCTACTGCTTTTCCTAAGTGTGTCCAGTAAAGTGTCATGAAACCCCCAAAATATTTACTTAGTCAGATCTGAGAGGGCAATTTGGAAAGGGTTAATTCATAAGCTTCTTAATTTTTTTTTAAAATCATTTCAGCTCAAGCAAGACAGTAAAGCCACTAAGACACAAGGGGTTACTGGGTGTGAAAGAATAAGAAAAAGGAAAACATTATGAAGTGAGAATAATAAAAAAGAGAAAGCATGAACGAATGGTAGACCTGTAAGATAAATTTTGAAGAGAAAAAATTGTCTAGCATGAACCAACTTTCCTAGCAGCAGACCTAACAATTGATTCAAAATAATATTTCCATTCTTAGAAGGCACAAATCACTTTCCTGGAGGTTAGCATCAGCCATGCTGACTGAAGACAGAAAGGGGTCTTTCAAATGATTAATAGACAGCAGTTTTGGAGGTGCTAAAATTAACAAGCTATTCCTTGTCCTAATTAACTGCAGATTTTAGGTTACTTTTGAGATCAGCTGCCAATTTGACCTCATTGAACTGATTAGACTTACTATTAAGACAGAAGTAAATATTTGTCATCAGTACAGATATCAAGTGATGGAAATGGCTAAATGAAACACAAAATGAGAAAAACAGAAACAATTTCTTTAAAATATTTTAACTTGCTTCAATCACACACAGGGTCCTCCCCAAAAGAAAAACAAACAAATTAAATTATCGCAAATATTTTGTACTTTTTATATAAAGTATATTTAGACAAGAGATTGCATCACATTACTTAGTCATTTTTGCTTGTGATAGAAGTCTAGATTTTACAAGCAAGATATGTGTGTAGTTTGTGTATTAAGCTAATTTTTATGCAATGTGAATAATAACTAATTGTTTACTTACATAAAGATAAGTGTATGGTTCGTGCATTTCAATGGCAAGATCATCATCTTCTGCACTTATATATTTTGCTAAAAGGTCAATTGGTTTGGCTGTAAAAAAAGAGGTTTTTCATTTTGTTAATTAAAACATTCCATCAATAAGAGAATTTTCTTCTGTCTCTAAAAACTTGGAAAGATTTGTATCATTGTATCATTCATGAAAGTTTGTATAATGCTCACAGTTGTTGGTTAGTAAGACTCTAAGGAAAACACTGTAAACAAAAAGGTTGAATGAAGAAGGGTTTAATCACATGAGAACATGGATTGAGTATACAGTAATTCAGTGCAAGTGAAAATGCTACATCTTAGCAACACACTTTTTACCCATTCCATGAGTAGACATTCTACTCATATCAAATGGATGAATCCAGGTTTCAATAATAGTGTAGAGTAGGTTTTGATTTGATTTGGTTTATGCCATATCAAACACAATGGGTTATTTAATGCCAACAAAATTTTTATTGCTGGTAATATTTTTTTTTCAAAAATGTATTTCTGGTAATATCTTTTGTTTCTCCAAAAATGTATTGCTGATAATAATTTTTTTTTTTAAAAAAAACAAAGTATTTCTGGTTTCAAAACCTATTTTTACACTTTCATAGTGTTTTGACCCCAGTTTGGGAGTTAACTATTTGCCCATATCTGGGACCCTAACAGGTGCTACCACCCAGGTCAAAGTGGACTTGGGAACACCGGCAATTAAGAGGTGGTTTCACACACCTCAAAACCTCCTGATCAGAGGCCTTGCTGTTGGACATAGTTTATCATCTTACTCAGGACGTGGATGTAGTTTATCGTCATACCAAGGACAGGTGCAGAGTAGGTTAGACAGTCTTTCTACACAACAGTCATAGTAGAATCAAGTGATGGAGGCAGAAAATACAGAGACTATTATACTAGTCTAGTTTGAAAAGATAGTGACAGATAAGTTCTCAGTAAATGAAGATGCTGAAAATCATAACTGGAATCAGTTAGGAGTTAAATAGTAGGGCAGCCTGGGCTCTCTAGTCATGGTTGGCAACCAGTCTAGAAAAAAGACAACTCTGAATTAAAATCTATGCTATGGTGAGATGGTACTTCTGAATTCAACCACCCACCTGAAGTTGTACAAAGATGGTTACACATGGGGGTGATGATACTATGTGTCTGAAACACAAATATGATAGATCTCAACAACTGTTTATAATCCTGCTGGAGTGAGATTATCCAGAATACTATTGACACCAATGTTCATTGGGGGCCAAGAAAATTAAAAAAACAAACATTAATCAGTATAAAAATTAAGACATTTTTTTTTAAATTCAGGGTGTCCCAGAATTAATTATTTCAGTGAAATTGGACATTTAAAAAAAAAAAAAAAAAAATTATTTCTTTTCATCATGTTTAGTATGTGTTAGAAGTGTATAAATTTCTAACTTTATAATTTTTTTTAATTTTTTTTCTAATTTCATTTTCATTCCCTTTCAGAACCCTATTAATAATCAATAGTCAAGAGTGCATCTTTGTTGACTCCACACCTTGATTTCTTTGCATTGGGTGTCATAAAAACAAATGTTTATCATCAAAAGATCAATAGTTTAGCAGTGTTTAAAGAACACATTCAGTAAGCAGTGCAGGAGGAGATAAAACCTGAAAATGCTTCAAAATGTATTCCACAAGACTAACAATAGATTTGAAATTTGAAGCAATACAGATGGAGCAGCTGTTCAAAATTTTCAATAACATTTTGACATAAGATTTATATAAATGTATTTGTTTTGTATTGTAATTAAGTAATAAACATAAAATTGTATCAGTTTTTTTCCAACATTTTCCTGGTTTCCTTTAAATAGTTAATTCTGGGCCACCATGTATTTAAAAAAAAAAATTCAAATTGGGATTATAAAAGTCTATGAATGACAATCAAGTATTCTTAAATTTAAATATCATTTAAAAAAAGTTACAGATGAATATGCATGAAAAGAAAATCTTTTCATAAAAGAGAAAACATACCTCTGCCATCATGAATTCTAATTTTTGACCTCATTTTTGCTTGGTGCAAATGAAACTGAAGAAAAATAAAATAAAGAGAAATTTTTGTGATGCAAGTTAAACAATTAAAAACATGATGAAAAACTAAAACCCATAACAAATATGATTACTAAAACTTATTAAGCATAGATTTTTTTCTTCCAATTATTTTCTGATTAACAGTTAACCTTTCGGCAAGGTGACTTAACACTGAACAGAGTCTGCTGAATGGAGCATAGTTTTAATTTCCATCATTAAAAAGGCAAAATATTAAATAGAAAGAATCTCAGCGTCAAGAAATTAACAGCTGCAACACCTCCCATCAAGTTTGTGTCAACAAGAGATTGTGAAATGAAAAATTGAATTAAATGATGTGAATAAAATTAATCATGAAGTGGTGCTATAAAATAATATTCTAATATTTATCGAATAAATATTTTTCCACTAACATCTTTCATCTTTGCTCTATTACAGGACTGAAACATATCATCATCCAGTAAATTGTGACAAAAACAACATAGTTAAAATTGTGAGACCAAAAGAATAATTGAATAAAAACAAAAGCTGGTCTCAGAAATGCAGACAGAAAAACAATTATTTTTTTCAGTAGGGTAAAGTCGCCTTCAGTGTAAACAGGATTAACAATATTGTGCAATAATAGTCATTAAAGGAAGATGATGAAATAAAAAAAGAAGACAGAGAAAGAAAAGCAAAGCGAGTGAAAAAGAAAAGTAAAAAGGAAAGAAAAGAGAGAAAGAAAGGAAATGGTAATAATACTTACACTATCCTCTTGTTTTTCCCACTCTCGGAAATATTCTGCTTCTTTTTCTCGTTGCAGTCTTTCCTGAGGCAAAGGTATACAAAAATTCCATTAGTACTGGAATACAATTACAACATTTATGGCTTATATCACACAGACTTAAAAAAAATGTCTCAAAATTCATTTGGTACACTGAGGTATCTAGCAGTCTGAGGTTTACTCAGTCAAGTCATGGATTCCACCAACACTTTCATCTACTATATCCTCAAGTGCACATGGCCCAGTGGATAAAAGCGTTGGCTGAATTCACTTGACCCAAAGAGTTGTGAGTACAATACCTACCAACAGCTGAGGTGAACAAAAAGAGTTGATTTAAAGGGACACAAAGACATCCAGAAGAGGCACAACACATGGAACTAGAACAATTTATCCTGGTGGATGAAATAAAGGGTTCAGTTTGAAATTCCAATCACCTGAAGAAGGCCAGAACATACAACAGCAATAAAGATGAGGACAACAGTCCAAACAATGTAAATAGTGTAAATAATTACAATACCTCATCTCAGAAATATAGACAAATATTGTTAGGTTTATATTTTTTGGTAGTAACATGTCACAACATCTTTTGACTTGTATTCTGACGTCCCAGCAGATATCATGAAAATAGATAAATGGTTTTCAAGAGCCCCAGCTCTTATTGCTTCTCCTTACATTTCTAGGTTTCCTCAATTCCTCATCCATTTTAAATTCTCATAGGGTGGATGAGTAAGTGTAAAAAATAACTTAATAGATGAGAATTTAAAATGGGTGAGGAATTGAGGAAACCTAGAAATGTAAGGAGAAGCAATAAGAGTTGGGGCTCTTGAAAACCATTTATCTATTTTCATGATAGAAACAATCACATTAAATATTAATTATTATAAAGAAGATTTCTTCTATGTTTGCTTACTCGTTCTTTTTCTCTTTCTTCCTGTTCTTTTTCTCGCTCGAGTCGTCTCTTTTTGACTTTCTCAAGTTCACGCTAAATTAAAAGAAAGAAAAATAGAAAGGATTAAAAAGATGAACAGAACTTTCATAAATCCAAATTTTATAACAACAGTTTTACATGCACCAACATTCATTGAAATAAAAAATAATTCCCAGCCTGAGTCTGTCTATATTTCTGAGATGAGGTATTATGTACATTATTTACATTATTTACATTATTTGGACTATTGTCCTCATCTTTGTCGCCATATTTATCCGGCCTTCTTCAGCTGGTTGGAATGTCGAACTGAACCCTTTATTTCACTCACTGGGGTAGACTGTTCTAGTTCCACGTGCCATATTTGATGGATGTCAGCTATCAGTTACCTCCTGTTAATTTTCCCTCTGAAAGTTCTCCACTGCCTTAACCGAGTATTGAACTCACACTCTTTGGGTCTTGTCACTGGATCTAACCAACGCCTTTATCCACTGTGCCATGTGTCCTTGAGGACATCTGGGTATTATAAACCTAATGTCTTCAGCAACCATTTTTACCAGTGCTCATATTGCAATTTTCCAGTGAGCGAAATAAAGGGTTCAGTTCGACATTCCAACCAGCTGAAGAAGGCTGGAGGGTACAACGGCTGAAACGTTGTGATAAATATGGCAACAAAGATGAGGACAATAGTCCGAATAATGTAAATAATGTAAATTCCCAGCCTGATCATTGAATAAAATTCCCTGATTTATCTGAAAAATTCCACTGAAATTCCTTGATTTTGGATCATTATGTAACAGGCAGACAGTAGTACATATATAGCTGTGCTTTAGGCACTGCTAAAAAGACAAAGAAAGAAACATGCATCATAGAATATAAACTTTCTAATCATATAAAATCTAACATCTCAGTATTTACCGATCCCCCCATGAGGATTGAATGTGGCACAAGGCCGAGTTTAATGTGGGTTTCTCTGAGCCCGTATGCTCAGCCAAAAATATAGCCCTTGAACCTGCCTAAACGGGTTCAGGGCCTGTCTACCTCCCCGGACGAAACCTTGCCCTTCGGCAAAGCTTCGTCCGGGTTCCTCTCTGCTGAGAGTTCGACAGACGTCGCAAACAGTCAAAGACTGTATCAAGACGAATCTCTAAAAAAAATCTAACATCTCTATCCTAGATAGATGTGGTCAAGTTTATTTCTTTCTTGACTTAAGTTCTGCAATGTCTTTGTCAATGTCATTTAGTTCTTTTCTGATGTTCTTTTTTTTTTATCTTTTTCTAGGTTTCTGTGCTTTGAATTTTTTAATCTGCCCCTTTTTCTTTCTTTTGCTTTCTGTTCTTCAGATGATACTTTTCAGCCCCAATTAAATTTTAAACATTCTTGATAATGAGAACAAGATTCGTTTAGCATACCACACCTCTTTTGACAAAGAGCAGCACATAACTTTACTGGTATCATCTTTTCACTAGTAAGACCCGTGAAGCAAATTCATGATTAAGACTTTTGTCCATCTATTCAGGATTGAAAGAATTAGACATTTTTTTTTCAATTTTTTTTCTAATTCTGGAAAACAGATATCATATAAATAACATTTAGAATTTATTTTCAAACCATTTCCAATCTAAAAAAAAAAAAACATGTAATAAACATATTGCTCAATGCATGCCAATTAAGAAAATACTTATTTCCCAGACATTAAACCAAAATTAACTAATTTTTCTTAATAAAAACTTTTTTAATTCCTCGATTTCCCTGCTTTCCACATGTGAACCCTTGTCTGAGAGCAAAAAACAATACTTTTCATTTAGATTTCAAAGTATATGTCTTGTTATCAGAGAAACCTAAAATGTTTTCAGGGTTTTTGCAAAACTCAATACAAGTAGATAAGTTTGCCTAGCCCCCTGATCATACTCCTCCCCAGTCTTTTGAAAAAGAGTAGAGGTTTGTTTCCTGTTTAGGATTGGGTTTCCGGTTCCTTGTAAAGTCTACTTCCACAATATACTTTTAACGTCTCCGACTGAACTCGGAAATGTTATTCACTAATTAAATCTTGATCTCTTCAAATCTAGAGTTAGTTGTCATCTTTCCTACAACACTACAGAGTAACCCTCTACTTTGAGTGGCTCTTAGGCCTTGTATTATGTGAATATTAGTGTAAAAAAATTTTTTGAAAAAAATTCTTCTTCCTAAGAAATCTTGTTATCATTTAAAAACTTTATTATAGCCAAATAAGATAATTATACAAATGAGTAAAACTATGATTGACATGAAATAGAAAAAAAAAAATACTCACTCGGTTTTCTTCCATTTTTAGCTTCTGCATCTTCTGCAGTTCTTCCTGCAAAAGACCTTTCTTCCCTTCCTTCTCCATTTTCCGATGCCAAACAAACGTGTCCAGTAAATGTTCATCACCAAATGGATTATCGGCATTGGTATAACCCTAAAATATTGATTTGCAAGCAAAATCATGAAAACTGATTTTACAATTGATCAAATTACATATGAGAAACTTGCCAGGGTAATACAAGTTTACTATTATAACAGTTGATCAAAAAGATGCTACATTGAAATGATAATTCACCATCCAGAATCCACAAAGATCTATCATCCTCACTTTACTAGAGAGAGTGTGTGCTAAACAATTTCTTAGATTGGATATCAACTTAGATTATTAATTTGAAAAGGACCAAAGTGGTTCTTATTCTTAACTTGAGTTTGGGTATTCAAGAGGTTGGAATGTAGAAAGTGGGATTTTTCTTTTTTAAGAAACATGGATATCAATTATATGTTTTATTTTATATTTGATGGGATATTTTTGTGTATAGTTTGATTTCTTTCAGAAATCATAATATATTGTTAGATTTGATGCTGTTGAAAACTTCTTTTAATTATTTCTTAACCCAATCCAACTGATGCCCATTCCCAAAATGGACAAACAGACCCGCATTTAGCATGACTAAAACACAGACATTTCTGTAGTCTATATTAATGGTTCTTAACTGGGGACCATGTGGCCACAAGACAGCCTGGTAAACTGGGGAGTGGGGAGGGAACACACAGAAAAATCTGGGCAAGAAAAAGTTCAATGAACGGGAGGGAGACAAAATTTCAATGAAAGTGTGGGGATTTGAGAAACAAAAGTTCAATGAAAAAGGGGCCAGAGTGTTACAACTGTGTTGCTCTCCATATTTTAGTTCTAATAAATTTAAATTATGCAATAAAAAAACTTTCAAGTAACTTTTATGTTACTAGTATACATTTATGTAAAATTTATGTGCAGAACTTTTTTTTTTTATTTTGCAGAACTTTTTAAATTTGTGTTTACATTTATGCACAGAACATTTTTTGACAAAATAAAAGTTTATTTCATTTAACTGGTTTAGTTTCGAAAATCAGTTTATTTTTCTAGAAATTATAAAATGAGCTTTTTGTTAAAAAGTAAACAGCTAAGAGGGGGCCATTAAAAAAAACATCAATCAAAAGGCAGCCATAAGTAGAAAAAAGTTGAGAATCACTGGTCTATACGGTGAACATAAAGGGGTGCAAATGATCTGCAACAAAACCAGTGTATATTAGCCCTTTAACATTTAACACACTCAAACCCACCCCATAAATATTGGCTCTCAAAGTCTTACCGTGTGACTTCCTGTGTTATTTATGATAATGTTGTCATATATTATGGCAGAACATACATGGAGCAGGTTACGGCGGGTTGAAAATTGAGAGCCGATATTTATGGGGTGGGTTTGAATGGGTTGAATTTTATAGGGTTAGACCTATCAAAATAGACTCCAATTTCATTAGTGGTCTTTATAAGCTCTAAAAGAAGACACAGAACAACTGGTTTTAACTGTTCCACAAAAGGAGGTGGGTTATTTTATTAATAATTTTTATAGATTAGCATTCCTTCACTAACGATATTTGTAAGAAAAGAAAAAAAATATTAATTTTTTTTTTTTTTTATCATTTTAGAAGAGGAGCCATAATATAAATACTGTGTCAAATCAATCCCTAAAATTGTTATCTGTACTTTATTTCTGTTGGAGTTATTTCGCAGTGGAGGCTTGTATTTGTACTAAATTGGTCCTAAAATAGGTTTGACGTACAAAATCTTAGGAACTTGATATAATAGGTATTACACAGAGTAATCTTATTGTGGTCGCTGACTACTTTCATATTCGACTACTGTCGTCCGACATCAACTGACCCTCGTTTCTTTTACTATTCATACTTATATTAGGTGGGAGAGTCTATTAACTATAGAATAGGTGTGTTTCACCATAACAATTTCAAATGTCAAGTTTTACACTGTGTTTAAGTCTTTGACAACTGCATACTATTATGAACAGGGGAAAAAAGACAACTTGTTTCATGAAATGAATCATTGGTCAATCCTTCAAACATGCTTATTGTAAAGCTTTAAATTCATTTATCTTCAGTTGGAACAGTCCTCCTGAATTTTATCTTCTAATGATGATTTGCAGAAAAAGAATTAAACTGTAATATTCATCAATGAAACAAGTCTGATTTAAAATGGGGTTCAGCTGATGATATTCATTCAGTCAGTCAGTAATATAAATTTTAATGCATCAGACTGTTTCACACAAAATGAATGCAGTATACCTTTTTTTTGATTCATATACACCTCAAATTTTATGGGCACAAAGATGTGAAACAAAAATATTATTAAAGACTAAACATTGCTCTACCAGAAGGTGCAATTTTCATTTATTTTCAACAGAAATTTTTTGTGAAAGAATTTCAAACACTATCTTAAGTCCACTGAATTGATGGGTGTCCTTTTTTTCTTTGATATAGAACTATTTTAATATACGTAGGGAGACAACTTGAAGCAGAACAAATTTTAAAAAACACCACTATGAAATTGTCAACTTGGAAAAAGCAATGCTCATCATTAAAATAGTGATATAATTTAAAGAGACATGGAATAAAAACTAATGGTCACACATGGGAAAAAATTGTATTTTTATAAAGAGAAAAGATTAAAATTTCTTTTTACATACTAATTTTATCAAAATAGCCTGGAAAATAAATGAGATATCAGCAGTTGAAATTGAAGGAAATTACACTATTTTGACACATTTTCAGTGTAAATTAGGATAGTTAAGGATACCTATTCATATATCCAAGCAAAATTGTGCAAGTCTTCCACAGCCCAACAACAATGTTCTCTGGATGAAATGAAGTACAGTAAGCAATGATGGGGTTTCAATAATATTACCCTTGTTGAAATGACTATGAAAGCCCTTGGAATGAATACAGTGTATTTTATGTAATGCATTGACTGATGGGTTGAATAGCACCAACATTGAAGGATGATGTAATTTGATGCAATGTTCTTCCTTGTTGGGTAGTTACCATTTATCGAAATTGTTGGTAATTCCATTTTTGTCTCACATCTGTTTAACCAGTTTTCACATACCAACAATATCTGTCCAGATTCTATATATTCCTGATATACATTGGCTATAGTTGCCCAAGAAATGACAGGAGTAGTTGCCACTACAGAGTATCCCATCTTTCTGGTCCATCATCCCATTGTCAAATAGTGTTAAGACCATGTTCCAATGAATGCCACAGCTACACTATATCTTTACCTATTATGTTACACATATGTCCTCTGGTTGAGTACATTTCTAAATGTTGGGGATAGAAAAGCCAACAAGGGTATTGCTGCCTGTAAATTTTTAGCACTTCAGTTTATTTTAGAATAATCCGTTCAAAAACATTTCTTTTTCTTCTTTTTTTTTGCAAACAAGAATCTTTATATACTGTCACCCTTTAGAATGACTTACTGTCTCATTGAAATAATTGTTGTAAGAAAATAATAAAAGATGCCTTGTTTTGTTGTTTTTGTTTCTTTTTTTTCTGTTATATTTTTTGATTCATCACTTTATGGTCAGTAATTTTTTTTTCTTATCCTTACTCTCCCTCTGTTTGTATATATTATGTGAATAGTCTTTTAAAATGTCCATCTTTAAAGCCATAAGACAAAGATGCTTTAAAAAAAAAAAAAAAAAAAAAAAACAACAACAAAAAAAAAACAAGTGACTAAAACAGGAGGTTGAGAAGAGCCACTTACCAAATAATCTTGATCCCAACCCATTCTCTCTTTTCGTTTCCTTTCCTTTGCTTCCTGGAAAATTAAGTTTGCAATATTATTTTTAATTTCAACTCCAGTAAATCAAGATAACATATTAAAATAGATTCGGAAGCAAAAATAGACACAAATTTACAAAAGCAAAATACAGCAGATAAATCTTCCTGGTGAAGTAACTGAAGCAGAATAAAACCAGCAAGGAATCATGGAACCCATAAAAAGTATTTTATGGCGATTTTCTAAGCTTAGTTTAGATGTAGCACAAGGCTGAAAGTAAGGTGAACTCAGTAATGATTGAACTTACTATTCAGTCATGATCTAGGGAGACAAGCTTGCTAACCATTACACCATGGTGAAGTGCCTAATGATTTTTGAAGCATAACTTAGATGTGGCACAAGACTGATGGCACATGATACCCAGTGAGGATCAAACTCACTATTCAAGCATAATTGATATAGCAAGACAGGCTTGCTAACCATTACACCATGTCGAAGCACCTTAAAAAAAAATCCTATGTTTAAATATAAATGTAATGCAGATATTTTCACTTTACATGCAAGTAAGGGTCCTCTCACTACAAATAAACAATTTCTTTGAATAAACAATTTAGGATTTTTACCAGTACTCAAGCTGGTTGATCTTTTGCAGAAGAATTAGTACTTCAATAAATTTTTTATGTTGGGGTCTAATAATGAGGAAGACAGAATTGTAGAAAGTAGAAGTGAGAGAACTCTTGAATATAGTATAAAATAAATTATTGAGTAACTATTTTTGTTCAATTGTGCATTTTTCTTTTAAGTTGCTCAAGTTACACTGACAGCAATGTCTCATGGCAACCATAGAAAGTATTTTATGTTTAAATCTAACATGGAAACTTTCACTATGCATGTAAGTAAGGGACTTCTCACTACAAATTCAAAATTTCTTTTGAATAAGCAACTTAGGATTTTAACCAGCACTTGACTTGCTTAATTTCTACATAAGAATTAGCACTCAAGTTACTTAAATGGTTGCCTGTGTCTAATCAACAGAAAATAAAGACATTTCACTAAACCAACTGAATTGGAACAATTGTTGAATACAGTATAAAATAATGGATTTAGTGATTATTTTTGTTTAATTTTACATTTTTCTTTTAACAGGGTTCCTACAGATTTCTGTAAAAAAAAAAAAAAAAAGTCCAGGACTCTTTCAAGACCATGTTAATAAGTTTCAAAGACTAAAACTCACACACACACACACACACAAAATGAATGGTCATCATTTTCAAAAACACAAACTTTGTGATTTATCTTTTAATAGTTTGACAGATTAGATGTTCAAAGAAAAGCTACAACTGGTTCCAATAATTCATGTCACATGGATCTATCTGCAAGATATCTGCACTATCTTTGCAGCATCTTTGGGTTTGACAAAATCCTTACAAATTCATTCAGTTTGGTTTGATTTATTTTGTTTTATGGTATATCAATCTCAATGGATTATTTAATGCAAACAAAATTTTTAGAATAGGTTTTTATGAATAGAATATGTATTCTTTGTAAGAAATTTGTAGATTAGGTTCCATTGAGAGTTAATTCTATTGCTGGTGATTTTTTTTTTTTTTTTCAAAATTGTATTTTACTGGTACTAATTTTTACAGCCTTCATGCTTCCACTGTATGATATTTTGCATCATGCTTATGTATTAGGTGGTTATGAGTTTTTGCTTGCTCGGTTTACGTTTACTGGGTGAAGTGTCCATAATTTCTATGCTCTCCAGCCTGTTAGCACTTTGTTTCTTGTCATGTTTTGTTCTTCTGAGGTCTTTTGTTCTTACTTATTTGTTTGGTCTTGTTTTATTTGTTTTTTCCATTAGGTTCTTTTGACAATCTTTGTCTGGATGATGACCATTCCCTTATTTGAGGTAAAATAGAGTTTTGCTCATCTATGTCCATTTCTCTTGGTTCTTCAGTCATGTACTGGGTTGTGTCATTTCTTTTATGAACCTTTTGTTTCTCTTGTGAATGTTTGGAGGGTTCTAGTTCTTGAAGGATTTTTGTACTTTGAATTGGGGTTTTCAAAGTTATTCATTTTTTTTACTTATAGATTCTTTTATGTTTCAGGTTGACAGGATAGGATTTGTTTTGACTATAGGTGTTTGGTTTATGCATGGTATACTAAATTTAAGTAGTTCTATTAGTCTTTTTAATTCATTTATTAGAGTTTTAACTTCTTGATTTATTATTGTGTTGTACTCTTGTCTGTCATTTTGGTAATTTGTTATTTTACTAGTATGACATGACATTGGAAGCGAGTTAGTTTCAACCTGTTTTTTAGCCTCTTGGAATGAGATGCTTTGTGTATATTTTATTCTTGTTATTTGCTTTTCCTTTTTCCAGACGTTACACTCTTTAGAATCTCCTGAGTGATTTTGTTTGCCGTTTGGGCATAAAGGAGGCCTTTCACAGGGTGACTCTTTATGATCAGTCTCAAATTCCCCACATCTTCAACAGACTGATACATTGATCTTGTAGATGGCCAAATTTCTGATATTTGTGACATCTACAGGAATTAGGGATGTCTTATTCTACCTTGGATATTGTGTATCTTATTTTTATTCCTTTTGGTAGGGTAAGTTCATTGAATGTCAAAATGTATATGTTTGTGCTTATTGATGTGCAATTTCTTTTTATTTGCATTCTTTCGACATCTGTTACACCTTAGGGTGTCATCATTTTTAATTTCTTCTGGTGACAGTTCTGGTCATTTTATTACTCCCTTAGAGGAGTTAAGAAATTCTATCCTAAGACACATCAAAGGCACATTTTCTATTCTATTCTCAAACTTGTTACTTTTAGCAAAAATTTAGACAAACATAGTTTACTCATAGATACACATTGACATGGGATGCATAAAGTATTTATTTTTTCAGTATGAACTCACCCACCACTGACAAGAGATCAAAAGAACATTTTACTTTTGAAATTGACATGTGAATAAAATTTCTTCAAGTATTCAAATTTTAAAAAACACTGATAAATTTTTTGAGAGTGTACTAAAATGTATTTTATTACTGTAAAATAATTTATCATTTTCCTTTCAACTACAAATTCAATGAGTGTGAATTAATTTATCTTTGATGGAGATGTTAACTAGTCTGACGCTTTTCATCTTTGCTTTTCCTCTTTTCTTGTTGAGCGTGGATAGCAGCTAGAAAACACACCTCCCTTTCTTTCTAGTCACCTTGATGAGAAAATACAGAACTACAAGGTCATGAGCTTGTTCTAATCAAAAAACAAACCAATGTTCACAATAATTGCCAAATATTACTGATGACTAAAAAAACATTTTTCTTAAAGGACAATTCTAGCTTGTAAAAAAAAGCCAGATTTCTGGCATTTGGCATTTTGACTTTCATGAATTGAGCAAAAGGATGTGTGGGCAGCCCTATTTAGAAAATCCCAGAACTTTTAAGAGCTTTTAGACTATTGCTGTTTTACCAGGACTTTTGAAGCCCTGGGAAAGGCCCTGCCAATTTTCCAGGACTTTTCAAGGTTTCCAGGATTTGTATGGATCCTGTTTTAAGTTGCTCAAGCTACAATGACATCAGTTGTAGAATTTCTTAAGATTTAGTCAAATTTGAGTACAGTTGCTTATAAATGAATTGCTTATTAAAAATAAATCATGTGAGTAGAATGAAAATAATCGCAACAGTTATTTAGAAAGTCCACAAGTCTGTTAGCATCCAGTGAGGATTGAACTCCTTCTAAACAAGCTTGCTAATCATTCCAAGGCATCAAATATTTCTTTATAATACAATGGAATTGTATAATTTCAGTTTTGAAATAAAGAAAGTTCTCCCTAGTTGTAGGATTGGAACCAGACAGCCTTCCTACTGCCAATTTGACCTTGCTCTAAGTAAATATCAAGAAAACTTTAAAAAATCATTCTTTTCTGATTTTAGAGAACTAACTGGCAATTATTAAGGCAATTTTGTGTTTGAAAATATTTATGAAAACAAATCTAGAAAAAAATTATCAACACAGACCCAAGATTTAACCCTTAGCACTCTGTATGTAGGCAGCTTCATTTGTCAAATTAAATGTTTGTACAGTCACTGGAGGCAATTCTGATCATCAGACAATAATGTGGTTGAATTTTGCACTAGTGTTGTCTTATCCTACTATGGCAACAGGAAAATGACTAACTGAAAATCAAAGATGATGCTACTGCTATTGTCTGGCTACTTATACCCAATTGATGAATTAATTATGAATATTGCAGAGTGCTAAAGGTTAAAAAGTATGCCAAAAGTATTGAACAGCTTAGAGACAAGCAGAAAGTAACTAAATTTTTATTTCTTGGGCTTTCACTCAGTTTTCGTTTTCAACATCTCATATTATGGGTTTTCTCAAAGTTGTACAGTCTCGAACAGATAGCACTTTTCACAGAATATTTGCAAAACCAAGCAACACAGACTTCTGAAGTAATGGGATATGAGGCTTTACTCTGATCTTAACAATGTAGAGGTTCAGTAGTACAGATCCCAACACCCCAAAGATAATGGATTCAATAGTGGCCTGAACATCTGCATTTTCATAACTCCAATCTGTAGGTCAATGTATTTCTTCAGCATTTTCTTGTTTTTTTTTTTTTCATTGACAGTGATGTCTGGTTTGGTGGCCTCAAGGATGTGGTCTGTTTAGATGTTGAAATCTTACAATATATTGGTTGTTTTTTATCACATCCTCTGGCTTGAATTATTATTCATTATTAACCAAAGCAATATCAACCATCATTAATTTTAAACAAGTATTTTTGTTATTTTAATTTTAGTTGCTTTTAACTACCTAAAGCTTCAGTCAACGGCCATTAGTAACCAGTGCAGATAGAAATTAAGATCAAATTCAATGTAGAATGACAGTTGAGGAAGTGCAATGAAAAGTAACTGAAATTAAGATGAAAAAAATACAAATGAAAAATTAATAATGGTCAAGTAGAAAGTTTGGTAAATCACAAAAACAAAATCCAAATACCTTTTTACTTAATCTTCGTGCTCTTTTCTCTTCTGGGGTTTCAGTTGACTTTATAATTTCTTTCCGGCGCCTAAAATAATAATAATAATAATGATAAGATAGATTGCAAAGATCTAAAAGTAGAAACTGAGAAAATGAATAAAGACCATAATACCAGTGAGAATAGGTGCATTTAGTCTGGCAAAGAAAGGGATGGAAAAATACAACAAAATCCCTGTCAACATCAGGATAAAAGAAATAAAAAATCTTCTTCTTCAGCATTGCTCACATATTAAGGACACTATTCACCAGATAAAGCCATCACACCCTCATGTCTTTAATTAGTTTCCAAAAGTTAACAATGTGCTCCTGGAAATTAAAACCTGATCATTGGGAAGTTGATGCACTGAACCTTTCAAACAACAATGCCTGATACTTTTTTTTAAAGCTTGTTTCATACTGATAAAATATCTTTCTTCTAATTTTTTTTATTTACATCTTTCAATATGTGTGAAAAACAAGTTTAAAATCAAAACAAATTTATAAAACTTGCTTTCAGGTTTTCCTTTGTTTTGTTAGGTTTTAAATTATTTTTTATTTTGTTAACATTGTTATCTACACTATGAATGACCTTTTGTAATTTGAAAAATAATTAAAACAGACAAATAATAATTTTTAGCTCTTATATAAAATTAAATATTGGGGGATTATTTAAAAAAAAAATGAAGACAAATGGTCAAATCATTCAAGCATAAATTTTAAATACTAATTATCAATACTGATTAGATGAGCAGTTCTAGTGGCTTTCAGAAACTACTTAAAAGCAGCAGATTGTCTCTTGAAATGTAATTTATATTCAGACAAATATCTTCATCTTTGCTCTTATAGTCCAATGTAAGTAATAATAACTTCTTATCACAGAAATTCAGACTGAAAAGTAATTTATCATATTACAAAATTTATACCTTTTCTCTATTTGATGCTTCTCGATTTGGGCAAGTTTTTTCTGGTCAATTTCGTTCAACCGTTTCTGTAGACTAGATTCAGTATCACTGTCAGAAGTTGAGGAGGAACTCGATGAAGATGAAGATTTTTTCTTATGTTTAGATTTTGATTTCTTCTTTTGCTTGTTTTCTGGTGATCTTGACCTTGATCTTGATCGGGAACGAGACTGTGAACTGTTAGCTTTTGAAGAATCTGAGGAATAACTTCTGAAAAAATTTAAAAAGGGAAAAATATTATCACTAAGAACATCCAAAAATATAACAGCATAAAAAAAACGATGTGAACTTCTGGTAAGCATTATCACGTAAACTGTCTCAAAAAAAAAAAAAAAAAAAAAAATCTTTATATCTTGATCTGTTCTAACCCAATACCATATTCACCATACCCAAGCAATTATTAGCTTTTTTTAATCACTGAAAATGCTCTGGTGGGGAAAAATTTCTCTAACAAAAACCAGACTCAAGAGTTTGTCAAAAACACTTTCCATACCAAGACATGCAGAATTTTGCTCAAAATCAAAAAGCTGCCTGATAAGTAACAAATCATTGCAAATAATGTTGAATATGTAATTGAATAAAATTCAATTGTACTTCAGTTTTTGAAGAATAAAGTTTGCTAAACAAAAACGGAAATTATTTATGACTCAACCTAATAATAATTAAAGAAACAATAGACATCAATATATGCCAAGAACTATTTTACTGCAGGGGTTTGGTTTGGTTTGGTTTATGGCATATCAACCTCAATGCCAACAAAATTTTTATTACTGGTAATAATTTTTTTTTCCAAATGTATTCCTCAAAAATCTATTTCTGGTAATATTTTTTTCTTCAAAAATGTATCACTTGTAATTTTTTTTTCCAAAAATGTATTGCTGGTAATAATTTTTTCTTCAAAATCTTGCCAGTAGTAAGTTTTTTTACAAAGTATTTCTGGTATTAAAACCTATTTTTACACTTTCATAGTGTTTTGACCCCAGTTTGGGGGTTAACTATTTGCACATAGTTGGGACCCTAACAGGTGCTACCACTTTGGGTCAGGGTGGAACTGGGAACAACAGCAATTAAGTGATGGCTCCATGCTCCTCAAAACCTCCTGATCAGAGGCCTTGCTGTTGGATGTAGTTTATTGTCTTTCCCAAGATTTGGATGTAGTTTATCGTCATACCCAGGAAGGTTATTGCTAAGGCAATAATATTCATTTAAAAATAAGACTTGAAAGTTTGATTACACAATTAAATCCTCAATCGAGCCTGCTATTTTTTAAAAATATTGACAGGTTTTAAGTTTTATACAATTCATCATTAATCACAAAAAAGGAATAAAGAAAAATTTTTTTTTTTTTTGGAAAAGAATGTTAAAAGATTCAGTTGACTGAAGTGAAGTAACATGAAATATGAAAATGGATTTTTTTATGCAGTTTGCATTGGTTTGTTCAAATATGACATTCATTTCTTTTCAGAAATTTTTCAATTTTCATGTTTGAAAAACATTTTCAGCTAAATTATGGGGCTCTATAATATTATTTGTACTTTAGGGGGATTTTTGTACATTGAGTTTTTGTCCTGTTATCATCATAGATAATAAAGAAAAGTAATCTGGGAGGAGAAATGATTGCTGACATCCTGGAAAAGACAATAAAAACAATTTATAAAAAAAGTTCTTGTAAACAATGTCTTTTTATCTCTGATTCTGTTTACTTATTGGCTGTATTTCTGAAACAGTGACATCATTTATGAACATGTATGCGTGTGTGTGACTGAATTTATACAGTGTAACCCGATATAAGAGAGATTTTCTCTGGTCACAAATTAGAGCCTGTGTTAATGTAAAAATAGACCAAACCCGGATATAAGAGACTTCTTCTCCGGTCCCGACAACTCTCTTATATCCGGGTAACACTGTATGTGCGTATTTAAATTTTTATTAACTTTTTCAAAATCATCTAATTTTACTTTGATTTCAAGTCTTGGGATAACCCTAAGAAAGGTTTTTAAAAAATTTAGTAATTCCCCTTCTTACTTATCTTGTTCTTTTATTATCTTCTCTCCTTCCTTAACAAGTTAATTATATTTTTCTCATATTCTCTAACACTCAGTAACCCCCCACCTTTGTGTCTTAATGGCTTTATTGCCTTGCTTGGAGTGAAATAAAAAAAATTAAAAACACTCAAGTTAAACTAGTAATAACCTCTCCATTGTTATTTTTTTATTTGAATGTTTCGGACTATGAGTAGCAATAAAAACAAGGGTACTACTAATCCAAATAATTCGTGAAATAACTCAACAAATCTGTTGATTTGTTGAGTTATTTCACAAATTATTATTATTTGGATTTAGTTTCGAAACCAGGTAAAATGTAAAAATTTGAATGATGAAATTGAAATTAATGGTTAATGGTCTGTGTGTGTGTGTGTCTGTCTCTCTCTCTCTCATTAAGTTTTGTATAATATAATCTTCCCAACTCCTATGCTACCCAACTGGTCTTGCGTGTTGTACATAGTAAAAGTCGAAGTTAAAAGCTCAATTGATGAACGCGTGAAAACGAACGTAACTACAATGTTTTGAAAACATTCGTTATTCTAAATACCTTTTACTGTGCTTCTTTTTATCCTTATGCCGAGATTTGTGCGATGACTTGTGCTTGTCCATACTTCTTGACGTATTTACACAATCCATTTGTTTAAGTTTAATCCAAATGCCCCGTTAAAAACTTGTGATATTATTTAATTCAACACAGCATTTATTGTCGCCATATAATACTTTCAACTTCTTCAAACTTTTTAGCCTCAAAATTCGAGAGTAATTCAAGGGAGATCACTCTAAATTAACAAAAACAATCGCTCTTCAATCCCCGGAAACCAGTAAATGACGTAAAACACATGTCCTAGAACGGGTCGAGGTTAATATGGCTTTGAAATAGAGGAAATATTTTACGTGTGTAGTTTGTATTTGTTTAATGCCTATGTCATATTAAACCCCTCCATACAAGTGATCGAAAATGTTGCCTCAACCATCTGTTGTTATTGAGGCTATGAAGCTTCTCATTTCACCAGGCAATCTCGCAATTTCTAAGAAAGATAGCGAAAAGAAAAGCAGTGATGGCTTGGATATTATACTAGAAAACAGCTTAAAGGATTACACGGAGAAAATCAATACAGATGCAAAATTCAGTGGATTGAATTTTTTTGAACTTGAGAGAAAACCACGATATTTTCCGCCTGAGGCAAACCTTAAATGGAAGTTTGCCTCAACCTGTTTGATTCTTATCGAAGCTTTGACGACATCTCTTCAAGAGGCTTCAATACGCGAAAAACAAACAAAACCAGAACATAACAGCGGCGAGGTAAAATCAAATAAAAAAAAGCCAGTTGCTCCCCGATTACCAGCCGACGCCCTAAGCATTGAACAACAAAAGGTTTTTATGAATACAATGCAATTTATACTGTGCCTTGGAGTTTATCCACATCTTGCTAAAGGTGTGGGCATTCCCTTGGAGCGAAGGTCAGGTTATGGACTTTTATTAACCTCGTCTGTATCTGATATCCAGTCTATACTGGAAAGACAATACAGGTTAGTGTTGATCGCTCGTGTTTTCTCTGCATGTCTTAACATTACGTCTGTATCCAGCCTTTTTTTATCACGATATCTTGGTGATTGCCTTGCAGTCATGTTTCAGTTGTGTTATGGAGTAAAGAAGTCGAATGTACCTAAATCCACGCCAGAAAGCAATACTTGCCCTAAAAGTGACACAAAAGTTCCTGATAATGCGAACCTGAATTGTAATTCTGCTAATAAAGATCCTCAAGCGAAAACCGTAGAGCCGTCAGAAACTCCAAAGAATACAACTTCAGTGTCAACTAACACTTCATTTCTTTCTTCAAATAACAATAGTCAAGCGACATCCACTTCTTATCGTGTTGCTATCACTGAAGAAGATATGGAATTATGTAAAACATTCCTTGAAAATTTAAAACGACGATCCTACCAACCATCACTAGTGAAAGAACTCCTGCTTCTCCAGGGTGGACCTGGTTCTAAAGTCATCAAATCTTTGCAACAGAACAACCCTCAGGCAACAGCTATCTCTAGTAATCTAAACTTACCTCCTGCTCCTGTCTGGTTAAAAAATGCTTGCAGCCAAAGCTTAAATAAAATCCTTCTGTCCAAGCCTAATGGTATAAATCACATTATCCAAGGAATGCTTGATGCCCCGGTCAACTCTAAAACTGATGAAGTCCAAGAATACCAGAAATGTTATGGAATTGCCAGGGTGATTGCTACCCACCCACCCACTGTTGCCACTGATGATGAATACTACAAACAGATGGCTCCACAAGTGATGAACCTGATAAGAGATTCACACAATGATCAATTTCATCAGATGTTGCGTGTTGCTTGCTGTGCGATGAATCTTGTATCAAACAAGAATCCGTCTTTATTTCAAAAGTACTTTCTTAAAAAGTTACTGGCACCTCTGTACTCTTGCATTGAGTATGTGCCTGATAGCAGTCCTGAATCAGGGCTAATTGTGGTAGATGAATTTCAGTTAAACACCTGCATTGAAGACATCCACAAAGTTTTTGTTTGTGGATCTGAGCCCCAAGCAGACTTATTAAATCAACTCCGTCCTTTTGTCCACATCATCTTTTCTATATTTAGCTACACTGATATGACTTCATCTCACGTGCAATCTCTTACTGAAGAGATCTTGTTGGCATATTTGAAGTTTGCCGATATAGATGTTGCAATGATGTGTTTGAGAATATTTACTTTTGGTTCCTTGTCTAAGAACTGGAACCTTGGTATCCATCTGATGCACCCCATGTTGACATTCACTGTTGGGGATAATGACTGTCCCAGAGTTATCACAAAACCTCAAGGTGACACCAGTGATGAAGAACTGGATTTATTGTGTGATGAATCTGAAAGAATAGCTAGCCTGCTCAATCTGGTTTGTAAATTAAACAAGGAAGAACTCACTGAGAAATTCCTCATTTACATGCTGCAAGAGCTAACGCGGACTTTGGATTCAGAAATGACATCAGATAGCACTTATGAAAATGAGTCTTCTGAGACCAGTTGCACAGAATTGCTTGACATTGAAAAGAAACAAGAAGAAAACAGAGATGAAGTTTTCTACCAGCTTACAATACTCAACCTTCTTGCAGCAGTTTATGAAAAGCTTGGGCCAAGTAGTTTGAAAAGCACAAAACATGTGCTCGAGTTCATAAAAGCTACTTTAGTAAAAAGCATTGATGAACTTGATCCAGTGGAGAAAGAATTTGGTGGCATTTTTAATAATGAAATCCTAACCATGTCCCTTGGTATGCTCACAGCTGTAGTTGCTGGTGCTCTGCAAATAACTGATGAAGACCAAAAGACATTAACAAGTTTTATTCCTTTATTACAAAATGTGATCATCACAACTAATAATTCCAGTATTAAAGCAATGGCCTCCAGTCTGCGAGTCGCCATCTCTACATATGGTAAAGTCTGGCCAGAGATGGACTTTGCTGATGTTTGTAAAAGTGAGTTCAAACAAGAAAATCCCCACCAGTTAATAACAGAATTACCTTATGCAGAAAAGTTTCCCAGAAATGAAGCAACTGCTACAAAAGACTCAAGGGTATCAAGCAAGAAAAGCAAAAAGTCTGGTAAGAAGCAATCAGTCAGCGCTGCCTCAAATTCTAGCTCTAAACCTTCTCCTAGTAATAAAGATTCCGCTGAAGGTGTCAGTTTGCCAAAAGACCTGCTTTCTGAAAGTCCAAATGAGCACACAGATTTAAAACAAAGTGTTCAATTTACAAAATCTCCAGATATCAGTAAAGGCAAGGTGTTTACTCCTCAAGATACAAAGTCTAAAATTTCTAGACATTCCGAACTGCAAGATGCTCTCAAAGAAACCTATGACCCTCTCATTCCTGTACAAGGTCACGGTTTGATCACCTTGACAAAACTAATTCAGAACAAAGACAAAGAAACAGTGAAAAAGCAAGACCTCATTTTACATGTGTTTGAAGAAAAACTGACTCATCCAGACTCTTATATTTACTTATCAGCCGTTAACGGACTTGCTGCCATGGCAGATAATTTTCCAGAAAAAGTAATTCCCAGACTAATAGACTTGTTTCGTGATCCAGAATCAGAAATTCAGAATGCTGAAGCCATTCCTTCTGAAATGAAAATAAAATTAGGTGAATCCATAGTGAAAGCATCCAGAAGCCTTGGTCCAATCATTCCCAAATACCGGGATATCCTTCTGGGAGCTTTCTTACAAGGTGCTAAAGACACTGACCCACTTGTACGAGCCAGCAGCCTTTCAAATTTGGGTGAAGCATGCAAGCAGCTTCACTTCTCCCTTGGGAATGTTATTCATGAGATTTTCTCTTGCTGCAGCTCACTGGCCAAATCCGACCCCAGCATAGATGTCAGAGCTGCAGCAGTTCTGCTTATTACACAGTTGCTGCAGGGACTTGGAAAAGATGCTCTGCAAGTATTGGAATTTGTTATGAAGGATCTTTATCAGTTGCTCAAGTCCATCATGAACTTGGAAAAAGAAGAGCAAGTCAAGTTGCATGCAAATTTGGCTCTAAATGAGCTTGACAACATTATGAGAGAAACACTTTTTCCAAAACAAAATCTGACTAAGAAGATCCGAGTTCTTGATCCAGAATAAAAAAATAAAAAAAAGAATGAATTTTTTTGGAACAAGTTTTGTAGATTATCATTCATTATATTTGCCTCTAGTGATGACATTTGTTAGAATTGAAAATTGTTTATTTTCATTTTAGAAGGAAGTAGTTGTATAATATAAATAGTGACAAATCGATCCCTGACTTCTTAAAAAGTTATCAGTACTTTGTTTTTATTTTCAAATGTTGAAATTGTGTTTATGTCACTGCATATAAATTACAAATTAGGAAAAAGGTCAACATCAGTAGTAAGAAGTTATCAATGATGGAAACACAGTTTCTAACTTGAATCATAAATATTGTTGATTGATTCATTTTATACACCTTATCAACCCATTGCAGGTTATTTAAAGCCAGAAAATATTTCTTTTTAGATTGTAAGAATTTTATTTAGTTATTTTTTTTTTAGATAATAATGGTTTAGTGATACAAGTTTTACTTATTAACTCATAACTTGAGGAAAGAAGAGGTGGATTCATACCTTTCCCAAGAGTGTAAGTGAATATAATGAACCTAATGAGAATTGGAACTTGGCTTTCCAATTAACAATCCTGACCCATTATCCATTACACCACCCACACATCCAAGCTTACAAAACCTGGTATTCATAAGCAGTCACCCATCTAGTTACTGACCTAGCTTGGTATTGCTTAGTTTCCGTGATCATACCAAACCAGTGTTTCAACATGAAGTGGCCATAAGCCTTGAATCATGAATAGGGGAAGGTCTAATAAAGCCTTGTTTACAAATACTGTTTCAAAAAATTCTTCCCTATTTTTTACAAACCAGGCCAGTCAACTTCAGTCACACCAAATAATGTTTTTTTGAAGAAGACAATGGGAAATTAATCTATTATTGTTCCCAAGAATGCATGACAATTCACAGATAATAAAGAAAAATTTATGATGACTCATGATTGTCTACATGTTACATGGCATTAAAAATATATATCTTTTC